AATTTCAATGTTTAATTATACTGAGTTATAGAACACCCTGTACAGATATTGTGGAAGTGATGGAATTTGCATAATATCCATTTTCGGTACCGCAACAATCCTCACTACATTACACTGGAGTCTCAATACCATTCAAAACTATTATAGGTCTTAATGATTTTCCGGTAATCCAAATGCCTATTTTACTAGAAGATCTGCCGCATTTTTCAAGAAATTTGCGAGAATATTTACATCAAATATCACCAGAGGTCACTTGGAGGTAAAAGTCTATTTCCTTGGCCACCCCGTTCCCCAGACCTCACTGGTTTGAACTTTTATCTGTGGGGTCGGTTAAAGGATATTGTTTACCAAGTTCCACCGAAAACGAGAGAGCCTGTCAGGCTAACTAACTTTTCTTACTACGATATTTTAGGTTAGGAATAAGATATCAAGATACGATTTTCCCAAGCATATTTGGGTATCATTTGATTACATCTTATTGCCTTTAATTTTTTATAGAATTTTTCCATTTCCTGTTATTATATCAAATAACGCGCTCTAGCGGGTTCACTAAGAATTAGACATATTTCAGATAAGATGTAAAAAGTAGTCAAGCTTATAAGGAGACCAAAGCATCCGAAAACTAATGTCACATGCATTTCAAATTTTTCCCGGAATCTCGTGATATTTTCCCGTGAAAACCGGCAACGATGGATGCATGTTTCGTGAATGTTTTCTTATGGGCGGTTTATCAAAACTATCTCCCTAAAAAAAACACGGTCCCGTTATAAATAGAGCTTCCGTCTAACGACGCAAAAAATAGTATGGGAATTATTTACTTAGTCGGTAAACCATACGTCAACATTTGCCCCTCCCAAAAAATCGCTTTTCTTGGAATACTAGGCTTCTACGCGAACGCGTCTGTCGCTTGAGAAAGGAAAGAATTTGAGAACAGACCTACGTCGAACCCCTAATCGATTGGATGTCTCTGCTCAACGGACTCACCCCGCGATGTTGTCACGTTTTCTTACGAAACATCCCTACCCATTGCACCATTAAGCTGATATATTTTCAATCTTCAGATCTCTGCAGATTGCCCAAAAGTCACCGGAATTCACCGATAAACCGCTCTAAAACCTCAAGAAACCAATGCGAACCATTGATAAACCGCTATAAATCTTTGCAAACCCTGTAAACGTCACCAAAATTCTTAATAAATCCCAAACTTACTCAACAAATCCATGAGAACCACCGATGAACTATATAGCTTCAAATCCTAAATAAATCAATAAACATCGCTTATAAACCACTATAAATTTCTGTAAATCCTCTACAAAAATTAAAAATGACTAAAAACTCTAAAAAAACTAACCAAACTTCTATAAATCGCTGGAAACCGCATAAATCGTCAATAAAGCCGTAAAAGTTTTCGATAGACTATTATGAATCACTTTAAATCTTAAGCAAGTCAATAAAAATCACGGATAAACCGCTGTAAATCGCTGTAAATGTTCTACAAGTTACAATAAATGACTAAAAATTATCAATAAATTAATTAATTAATTAATTAAATAATAACAAATAATAAATTAAAGCTTTAGTCGCTATAAAATTACTATAAATAACTGCAAACCGTGTAAATCGTCAATAAGTCCATATAAGTTATCGACAGACTATCACGAACCACTTTAAATCCTCAGCAAGTCAATAAAAATCACGGATAAACCACTGCAAATCTCTGTAAATCTTCTACAAGTTACCATAAATGACTAAAAATCCTCAATAAATTAATTAATAAATTAAATAAATAATAACAAATAATAAATTAAAGCTTTAGTCGCTATAAAATTACTATAAATAACTGCAAACCGTGTAAATCGTCAGTAAGTCCATATAAATTATCGATAGACTATCATGAATCACTTTAAATCTTCAGCAAGTCAATAAAAATCACGGATAAACCGCTGTAAATCGCTGTAAATGTTCTACAAGTTACAATAAATGACAAAAAATTATCAATAAATAAATAAATTAATTAATTAAATAATAACAAATAATAAATTAAAGCTTTAGTCGCTATAAAATTACTATAAATAACTGCAAACCGTGTAAATCGTCAATAAGTCCATATAAGTTATCGATAGACCATCATGAACCACTTTAAATCCTCAGCAAGTCAATAAAAATCACGAATAAACCACTGTAAATCTCTGTAAATCCTCTACAAGTTACCATAAATGACTAAAAATTCTCAATAAATTAATTAATAAATTAAATAAATAATAACAAATAATAAATTAAAGCTTCAGTCGCTATAAAATTACTATAAATAACTGAAAACCGTGTAAATCGTCAATAAGTCCATATAAGTTATCGATAGACTATCATGAACCACTTTAAATCCTCAGCAAGTCAATAAAAATCACGAATAAACCACTGTAAATCTCTGTAAATCTTCTACAAGTTACCATAAATGACTAAAAATCCTCAATAAATTAATTAATAAATTAAATAAATAATAACAAATAATAAATTAAAGCTTCAGTCGCTATAAAATTACTATAAATAACTGCAAACCGTGTAAATCGTCAATAAGTCCATATAAGTTATCGATAGACTATCATGAACCACTTTAAATCCTCAGCAAGTCAATAAAAATCACGGATAAACCGCTGTAAATCTCTGTAAATCTTCTACAAGTTACCATAAATGACTAAAAATCCTCAATAAATTAATTAATAAATTAAATAAATAATAACAAATAATAAATTAAAGCTTCAGTCGCTATAAAATTACTATAAATAACTGCAAACCGTGTAAATCGTCAATAAGTCCATATAAGTTATCGATAGACTATCATGAACCACTTTAAATCTTCAGCAAGTCAATAAAAATCACGGATAAACCACTGTAAATCTCTGTAAATCATCTACAAGTTACCATAAATGACTAAAAATTCTTAATAAATTAATTAATACATTAAATAAATAATAACAAATAATAAATTAAAGCTTTAGTCGCTAGACAATTACTGAAAATCACTACAAACCTCGTAAATCGTCTATAAATCCATAAAAAATATCGACAGACTATCACGAATCACTTTAAATCGTAAGCAAGTCAATGAAAATCATGGATAAACCGCTGTAAATCTCTGTAAATCCTCTACACCATAAATGACTGAAAATTCTCAATAAATTCATGAAGTTATCGGTAAAGCTTTAGTCGCTATAAAATTACTATAAATAACTGCAAACCGTGTAAATCGTCAATAAGTCCATATAAGTTATCGATAGACTATCATGAACCACTTTAAATCCTCAGCAAGTCAATAAAAATCACGGATAAACCGCTGTAAATCTCTGTAAATCTTCTACAAGTTACCATAAATGACTAAAAATCCTCAATAAATTAATTAATAAATTAAATAAATAATAACAAATAATAAATTAAAGCTTTAGTCGCTATAAAATTACTATAAATAACTGCAAACCGTGTAAATCGTCAATAAGTCCATATAAGTTATCGATAGACCATCATGAACCACTTTAAATATATTTTCCAGTTTCTTTTACATAACGATATAGCCCGCATTGACAGCTAAAACTTTTGTATTAAGGGTTTTCACCTGTTATACAGGGTGTTCAAGATATTAAGTGCTATATTCAAAAATTAACAGGTGTCTTCAGCTATCGACTTCAGATTTGGCAGAAGGGTCGAAGTCCACAACCGCATTTCATATAGGACTCAAAATTTCGCAAAGAATTTTTTTAAAATTTTTGATTTTTTTTTACATTATATACAGGGTTTTTCAATTATAGACAAAAATCTAAAAAACCCTGAAAATCGTTCTTTTAGTTATTAAATCAATCAAAATTCGTGAAAAATATGGCCAATTGGCTACATCGATAGCTACAACTTTTGTATTTACGGTTTTCGTGTATCAGATACCTTGTTCGAGATATTTGAAAAAATCCAAATGAAAATCACCATTTCCCGCCCTCAATATAGAAGCGATGACGTCATTTACTATTACCACGTACTGCATTACTCTATTGGAAAAAATCATATACCAGGAAACGTGGGAGATCCAGCGCTATCACCTCTATTACGAACATTGTTTGAATCATATACAGGGTGTGTCGTTTGCTGAAACTTTGAAGTTCGGCGAGGCTTGAAAAACACTTTATACAGGGTGTATGCACAATAAAATTACATCTATTTTGAGAAAGTTCCATAGTGGTCCGCAGGATAGAAAAACAATGGGTCTGTTTACCACAAGAAACCGCGAAGCTGCTACGAACTTGCCCTACCCAGCGACCAATTTTTTCCAAATCTCGGTAACGGTAGGTCCTACAGGACCGCCATTGGTACAGATCGAATCAGCGTCGAAAAAAAAAAATGTTTTTTTTCTGTTCTCCGTTTCTCTGTTCTCTGCTCCAGAATTTTTCGAGGATGACTTCCGAACGGTTTGACATACGCGCTTCAAATTTTGCTCCTTTTGAACCGTCCACGGGGTGCATGAGATATGTAAAAATGACTGCGTTCAATCTTCGGCGTTCATCTTTTTTTTTTTCGATTTTCGACTGTTTTTTGGACGTTGCCATGAAACACGATAAGTGTCCGAAATTTGAAGCTATCAACTTCATATTTGGCACATATATGCAGCTTTGTCGCGTTACGGAGCCTGTTGAAAATGAGGGCTGGGGGGTCGGGAAGTATTTTTTAAAAATTAAAAACTGCGTTTGCTGGGATTTAAGAAAAAAATCGTATCTCGAAAACGGTTTACGCAATTGAAAAAATTATTGATGAAGATTCGGCTCCATAGAATTTTATTCCTGAAAGATTTTCAAAAATGTACAGGGCGCGCCGCAAATTGAAAAAAAAACTGAAAAATGGGAGTTCCTATTGTTATTGAAAAAAATTAGTTAATAGTGAAAATTCGCGCTAACGATGGCAACGCAGCCTCGCGAGCCGCAGGAACGACGACCGAAACGCGGCCCCCTCTCTGTCGCACGCTCCTGCTGCTGTCTAATTCATACCGGAACGGAAACCGACGCCGGACGGAAAAGAACAACAAATAATGCCGTACAAATCGGGAAGCGAAGTGTGGTTCCTATACCGGGTCATTTTTTTCGCTGGTTCGCGCTGCGGTGTCGTTTTGTACCAAAGCAGTTAGGCGGTGGCCTGAACACGCATGGGTGCTTCGTTGGTGGTCTGTTTTATGCGCGATACTTCGGAACCCAATTGCCTCACGATCTCCAAGCTCAAGATGAACGTCGCCGCGATAGGTAAGGCCACTTACCCGCTTACCAGTGCCGTCGGGACTTACCGACGTACGAAAGTATCTGCGCTCGTATAAAAATTTTATATCTCGGTAACGGGGATCGCTGTGAGTACAGAAATGATCACCGTCGAAAAAAAAAATTTTTTTTTGTCTGTCCGTTCTCCGTTCTCGTCTTTTGTTTTTTCGTGAATATCTTTCGAACCGTTGGAGCTACAAAATTGAAATTTGCCTCCTTTTTAACGCTCCACGAGGCACATAAGCTTTTAAGAAATGGCTCTGATCCGACGCCGGTATCCATCTTTTTTTTCGCGATTTTCGACTGTTTTTTGGACCTTGCTATGAAACACGATAAATGTCCGAAATTTGAAGCAATCGCAAGCAAAAATAAAAAATCGCGCGTTTTTTCAAAAAAAAAATTCAAAAACTGTTTACGAGACCAAAAAAATTCGTGAACCAGAAGAAGCAGAATAAACTTTTATTCTTGATAATTTTTCAAAGATATACAGGGTGCGCCGTAAATTCAAAAAATCTGAAAAATGGTTATAACTGAAAGACTATGATTCAGATCTCACTTTCATTTATGTTGCGATATAGCCCGCATAGACAGCAAAAACTTTTGTATTTAAGGTTTTCACCTATTGTACAGGGTGTTCCCGATATTGCGTGCTAAATGAGAAATGTGTTAAGTGTCTTAACTTTGCAGATATCAACTTCAAATTTAGCAGAGAAGTAAAAGTCCGTGTCCAAATTTAAACGGTAGAAATTGGGCGCAATCAAATTTTACTAAATATTGTTTAAAAATGTTTGATTTTTTTTTTGGTAATTTTAGCTTACAGAAAAATATATTTTCCTCCATAATCGTTCATCCGATCGGCAAAATTCTTTAACCGGCAGACACAGAAGATCCAGTGCAATAACATTTATTTCGGGTATTTTTTCGATTATATACAGGGTTTTCAGATTATAGGCCAAAATCTAAAAAACCTGGAAAATTGTTTTTTTACAGAGTAAATTATTAGGCGCAAATCAAAAATCGTAAAAAATATGGCTAATTGGTTCAAACGGTGTCATAGGCCATATTGAAATCGTTATTTCGGGGGCTGTCAAGACGCAATGACGTCACTGATTATTACAGCGCACTGCATGGTTTCAGAAAAAACTTATTTTCTCGAAAACCATTTACTATTTTCAAAAAATTCTTGAACCAAGACGCGTGGAAAATCCGAACTCTACTTCGAACAATGATTGTATCATATACAGGGTGTGTCGTTTATGGGCAAAAAATCTAAAATATCCTAAAAATTTCCGTTTTTCTGGGTAAATTAGTGGCGATAAATGGAAAACCGTTAAAGATGGGATAATTTTATTTTAACAGTATCGTAAACCGTATCGTGAGAGAATTTCAGGTTTCTTCAATTATACAGGGCGCGAGATATTCGCAAAAATATTATTCGACAACGCTGTTATTTGTGCAAATTTTAATATCTACCGATGTTTGCTGTAACTTTGAAGTTCGACGAGGTGTGAAGGACATTTTATACAGGGTGCATGCACGATTAAATCACATCGATTTTGCGAAAGTTCCATAGCGGTCCGCAGGAACGCGATAGAAAAACAATGCGTCCCTTTACCACACGATCTTGTTTATAAATGATATTGTTAGTATAGTTTCGGAATCGCAGTGTCTTTTGTTTGCGGATAATTTGAAGATATTCAGGAGGGTTGGATCGCGCGAAGATGCTCTGCTGCTTCAGAGAGACGTGGACAGTGTTTGCGTGTGGTCTAAGATTGATAGCCTCGCCTTCAATGTAAAGAAATGCCGTAGTATTAGCTTTAGTCGTTCGTTGAGTACGGTTCACAACTAATATAGCATTTGGGGTCCAGATCGAGACCGCCACTACTGTTTGCGTCGATTCTAAACTAAGTTTTGTGACATATTTCTATGCGAGTCCTTGAGTTTGTTTTACGCAACTTACTCCACATTGCCTTAAACTCCTTTATGTCTCTTTGGTTCGCTCTAGACTGGGGTATGCATCTGTGGTATGGTCTCCATAAAATGCCTGCCATATAGATAACATCGAAGCCGTTCAGAAAGTATTTTTAAGATCTGTGGCCTCAAAGGCGCATCAATATCTGCAATGGGTATCAGATAAACTGCAGTATTATAGCTAAGGCCTTCAATATTGATACTCTTCAAACCAGAAGATCTCAGAGTGGTTTAGCTTTTGTCATTAAAATTCTGAATGGTTGGTATTATTGGTATTGGTATTGGTATTAAAGGGGGGCGCCCTCGCTGGCGTCCAAGCACTTAGGCCATCAGATGGGCCCGTTGTGCCCCCAGGCCGCTCTAGAGGGCGTCCAAAATGCCGCCCCTCCTGTAGAAGGTCAGCAACTCCTTTAGCCCAATACCGTGCACTGAGTCCGGATCGATCAGGGCCGTTCCGAAGACTCCCAATCTTGCCCATGTCAAGGCCCCTGTTAGTGCTCTACACTCCCTTCTGGTCAGTCTAAGCAGCTCCCTGGTCCGAGGAAGGGCGGGCCCATATATCATAAGCCTCGCCTGCCTCATTCCCGGAGCAACTCTCCAGCCCCCCGCGGCCCGGTCTCTCGCCCAGGCTTCGAGAGTTCCCCGCCTCACACACGGGGCGATCCCCAAGCGGGGCTCTGGCCCTATATGCCTATGCGAGGAGCACTCCCTGGCTAAGGCGTCCGCTGCCTCATTGCCCCGGACACCGGTGTGACCCGGGACCCAGACCAACGTGACCTCAGCCACCCTCCTCAGTACCCCTTTGCACTCCTTTATCAACGAGGAGCGCGTACGCACTGACTTCAGCGCCATGAGTGCAGCCCTCCGAGCAGAAGAAGACTCTCCTGCTTCCGTAGTTGAGCCGAAGCACCTCTCTGGCCGCCATCAATAAAGCGAAAATTTCCGCCTGAAACACAGTTCAGTACTGACCCAGAGGGACCGACAAGCTTGATCCCGTTGTCTCGCAGTACGCTCCAGCTCCGGCCAGATCTCCCATTCTGGACCCGTCCGTGTACCAGATAAGTCCATCCCAGGAGCCGACTCTGCCCTCTCTCCAATCTTCCCTTGATGGAAAGAGAAAGGTCAATTTATCAAAGAAGGTCATCTCGGGGATCATGACGTCACTCGGCATGCCCATGACCCCGCGATCCCCGCGACAGCCCTCTAAATGGTTGGTATTATTGTCCAGCTCTTTTACGTAGCACACGTTTGTAGTTGTTATACTGCTGTCTTTCTCTCTTTGCCTTTAACGAATGTAAAAGTTTTCCAAATTGGTTAAAATGTAAATAAATAAATAATATTTTTGTGGAACATGCGTGAAAAATGACGTTAGTTTAGGCTGTTTAAACTTCTTCTTTAGGTTGATTTCTACAATTTTTTGTCTTAAATTATGCAACACAATCAAGCTGTTATATTCTACTACATAGCCATTTTCTTCAGCCCATAGATCGCTTGGCTTGGCTTGTTGAAATAAACTATTCTCCTTTATTTGTCATTGTTATTTCATTCTCCAACTGATTTAACTTCGCTGGTTCATCTTTATTTCATTCGTAAATGTCGTTTATTTCACATTCAACCTGCAATACACGGAATTCAAAATTAACGTAAACAGTCGAACCTATGTAACTCTGTTTCTCGACCTATTTTAAGGGTCTTCGTCTCGAAAACTTTAACATTAACATTAACAATAATTGATGAAAAAACGGAGATTTTAAAAAAGTTGAGAATGGTATCCGAGAAAAAAATTATTTGTCAACCATATGACATGACAGGCTGGAAAATGAACATTTAAAACCAAGTCTCTCTATAATTCGCAGTCCCTTTAATTTATAATGTGACATAATTGCCATCTTTTGCGATTTTTCACTTCACGAGGTTGACAGGGCCGGTTATCAAATTTTCGTTTTTGGCACACCGAACAAAAATTTGTAAACGACGCTTCTAGGCCCCGACGTTGCTTTCTCTGTAGCCCTATATTCGAAAGCATTTACACGCCTCTGGATTGTTCGCACCATGTACGCAATGAAATTACAAATGGTCCGTTAATTAATCTCGGACAAGTCTATTCGTCCTTGCGGTTTCTCGTCGATTGCGCCGATCGAAATTTATCCGCAAAACTTCATCGAATACTATTCCCAAGGTGGGTAGGTACGTATACTATTTCGCATTAGTGCAAATTTTAAAACAATAGTTATGCTATTTGGTTAGGTATCTAGAAAATATCATCTCTATCAGATAGAGGGGAAGCTGCGTCTAGTTTTATAGGCTGAAGATTTTGAGGTTATACCTATAGAATCTAGAGATTGCTGAAGATTTTGAGGTTATATCTCTAGAGATAATTTCTGGATTCAAAAGATATTACCTTAAAATATTCAGCGTACTCTTAAATAATATTTTGAGGTTATATCTCTATGGTTTAGAGTTATGTGTCTAATTCTCGAGATATAACCTCAAAATCTTCGGCTAATAGAAATAGATCCAACTTTCCCGGCTTCTTAGAGTTATATCTCTAGATTCTACAGATATAACCTCAAAATCTTCAGATAATAAAACAAAATCTAGCTTCTCGGCTTCTTAGGTTATGTCTTCTAGATTCTAGAGATATAACATTAACTTAAGCCAATCCCATGTCGCCCTTTATACATTTGGTACATTTGGTACAACCACTCGGCCTAACTTCAAAGTTGTGTCAAACTTTGCGATTTCTCGTACTTAGGTACCAGAAATTGCAATTTCCAACTTCAATTTTTGCAAATATCGCGCGCACCCCGTATTATGGACGAAAATGGTAAAACGAAAGCTGTAGCTCTTGTTGCGACCTATACCACGGTCTAAAGCAAATTGCCCGGTTTTCACGGTTGCTTCATTTATGGCAAAAAAAAATCCGCTATTAAAGCAACTTCCAGGGAGTTTCAATTTTCTGCTCATAACTCATAAAAATCTTTCAGAGAAAATCGAGATTTTTCAATCTAAAACGATCCAAGTATATTCGTTTATTTTGAACACCCTGTAGCATCTAAATCAAATTCCTCTGTTTACGTCATCTTCATTATTATTATTTCGCTATCGCAATTTTTTTATATAATAGAAAAGTATTGGAAAAATTATTATATATTCTCATTAATAAAAAAAAGATGAAGAATTTCAAAACAAATTGAAAATAAAACTAAAAAATATAAATATATACATAAATATTAATTTAATTTAATTTGCTTTAATTAAACCAATAAAAGTTGATTTAATTAATTTAATATATTTTATTTAATTAATTCAAAAAAATAATAAATTTAATTTAATTAAGCAAATAGAAAAATTAAAGCCGGAATTTTAAAAAATACGTCCCCATTTATCCGATCCGTTGCAGATAACGGTCATCTTAGAACGGCGTTGCCAAACTTCCCGTAACCACCGGCCAGTGGCGGCGCGTCATCATGGGTAACCTCCAAACGACCGACGGCCGTTCCCAAAAGGGGGTCAAGGGCGCCAAATCGAAACTCAAATTGCTGGGAGGCAAAAAGGGGTCCAAACCGGAAGAATGGACGGGCGTGGTGCCCGGAACCCCGGACCAAACCCCTCAAGTCACCCCCGAAGTGCTCAACGACAACCTGGATCCGGATTTCGCGAAGGTCAGGGCCGTCCCCGAAGATGTACCGGACGGGCTCGAGATTCGACACACTCCGAGCGCCGTTTCGAGGTATGCAAAACGCATAGCTCTGCCGGAAACTTACAGAATTAGACAATTTTTCAAAGAACCTACAATTACAATTTACAAATGTTCTGGATTCCTCCTGCGTCGAACTTGCTGACGTTTCGTCAATCATCCTGTTGGCTTCTTCAGAGCTTAACTAAAACTGGATCGCATTTTACTCTGTACCTGCTTATATAATGTTTGAAAGGGGCGGAGCTAAGGGAGAGGCATTATCTTGGGCCACTGATCCCTATATTGTTTGATTGGTTATTGGCCTCCTAGTCAGCAGGTTTTCTTACGCATTTAAACTCTAGGTATACACCCTAACATAGGTTTTACCATTGAATTAGAGACTAATAACAATCTCTAGATTCTTGGGTCGTTCATTTTATAAAATACCTACCTACATATAGATTGATACCTTAATGCAGTTTCACATCATCTGGCCCAAAAATCATCGATTATAAACTCTCTTCTTTACAGAGCCGTAAAAGGATCTCCAGACGTGTCACTGAACGCACCCTTGCCACCGGTGTCCTTCCTTACCTTGAAAACATCACATATCAAAAATTCTTAAGCCCTTTCTTTAGTCCCCACCCCCCTCCACAAATATTATATAAGCAACCAGGTTTGTAAATACAATTAGACCCCAAATTTTCATTTCCGTCAACTTTTTAGGAATTATAGGATAATATCAATTACAAAAGATAAGTAGATTTCTACATAAAACTATAAAAAAAAATAAACAATTTAATATTGACAATTATACAAAAAATAAATAGATAAATAAAGAAATATTTTAAAGGCATGTTCTACTCATGGTGCTGGTGTTTTCCGAACATATATAACACTTTACCATTTGTTGTTAATATTATAATATTTTAACATGACTTTTTATATTCTAATTATTCTTCAATATTTTATTTAATAACTATATTACACCATTATTCAATATATTTAACACCCAGTTAGTTTTAGTTCAGTAATATTAATTACTATCTAGTAATAAATTATTATTTTAAGTATTTAAATTAAAGTATTATGAACCGTGTTATCTATTCCTTCGCAAAATTAGTTGATCACTTGAAATTTCGCGCAATTATATGAAATCCCGCGCAATCATGAAAATTTCGGCGAAATCCGGCTCAATCGTACCAAATTCCGCACAATCATGCGACATCTTGCCAAATCCCGCGCAATCATGGGAAATTCCGCAAAATCGCTAGTAATCATGCGACATGGGGCGTAATCATATGAAATTCCGCACAATTATGTGAAATTCTTCGCAATCATGCGAAATCCTCCGAAATTTCGCAAAATCCCGAGCAATCATGACACATCCGGCGTAATCATATGAAATTTTGCACAATTATGTGAAATTCCTCGCAATCATGCAAAATCCTGCGAAATTTCGCAAAATTCGGAGCAATCATGCGCCATCCAGCGTAATCATGAGAAATTCCGCGCAATCATGGAAAATTCCTGGCATTTATGTAAAACACTGCGAAATTCCGCAAAATTCCGAGCAATCATTTGAAATGCATCATGTAAATTTCCGCAAAACCCGACTCAATCGTAGGAAATTCCTCACAATCATGCCACATCTTGCCAAATCCCGCGCAATCATGTGAAATTCGGCCAAATCCCTAGTAATTATGCGACACCGAGCGTAATCGTGAGAAATTCCGCGCAATCATGAAAAATTCTTCGCATTTCTGTAAAGTCCTGCGAAATTCCGTAAAATCCCCGGCAATCATGTGAAATTCCACACAATCATGAAAATTTCCGCGAAATCCGGCTCAATCGTACGAAATTCCACACAATCATGCGACATCTTGCCAAATCCCGCGCAATCATGCGAAATTCCGCAAAATTCCGCTTAATTCGTGAAAGGTTGGCGGGAACACTGCTTAAATTTTTGTCCTGCCACATTGATCAACCTCTTATGAAACTCATATTTTTAAAGTGGACCATAAATGTTTTCTTTCTTCTTCTTTAGTTAGAGTAGGTCTTTCTATTTTAAAATAAATAAAATTAGAATTATACGATTGCTATGTTCAACAAGGACTTTTACTAGTCCGTCTCAAAACGGCAATTCCGTCTCCTGGCGGCCATTTCAGGAACTCGAATCAAATTTCCAAATTCTAATTTCTATTTCCTCGTGGCCGATTTTGTTTGAAAATTCTTGGGCCGACCGTCTCCTAAATACCATTACGGGTAAACCTTTATATATTTCTACGAAAATGTTGTCGTTTGCAGTTCGGAATCGAACTTCACGCTGGCCCTGAGTCCCGCGGGATTCACACGAGAAATGAACGAGGCGGCCCCCGACGTTTCGACCGTCCACCGTCAGGAAGTATTTCAGCCGCTTAATAACTTCAAGCTCAACGAATATAGCGCAAGGAGGGACCAAGTAAGTAATGCGACGAAAAAAATAAAATAAAACTACTCCACCTGCAATGCAATGTTATATAATGTGGTGTTATTTAAGAAAATTAATTTTATTGATTTTTCATTGGAATTTTTCTATTTCTTTGGTTATTTATTGACCATCGTATTTAAAATATCAATATAGACCGCGAAGGTTAGCCATTCTTTAAGAAAATGAACCCCAAATATAAAACTAAAGGCTTCCAGTAGGAGAAATCGATAAAGTTACGTTAGAATATTATACAGGAGATATACCAAGAAAGTTTCGAGTCATTCAAAAATGCCTGTATACGTTAGTGCCATTTAAAATAAAGAGGTTATTAGCTGCACACCACTTTAAGATAAAATTGAAAATTTCTCACAAACCCTGAGATTTAGGTTAGGTTAGGTTACGTTAGGATATTATATATGAAATAGCCAAGAAAGTTGTGAATCACTCAAAAATGCCTGTATATATATAGTGCCATTTAAAATGAAGAAGTTATTTAGCTGCACACCACTTTGAGATAAAATTCAAAATTGGACTTGTTGTTCTCTGTAAATCCTATTTCTTTTCTAGATATTCCAGTCGCCATTTTCGAATTCTAAAAGATTCCATTAAGACTTGCCTTTTGTCAATTTTTTAAAATCTAAAACGCATGTGTTGAATACACTTTCATAAGGTAGTTCTGCCACATTTAACACCGGTTTTATCTTTTTCAAGCCTCCTAATTAAGATATCTAATGTAGGCACGCTTTGGTCCTCATAACACTTCCATCTACACTCGAGAAAATGTCAGCATCGCTCTTTTTTTTTCTTCGCTGAAATGGGATTATTCACAGTTTTCCATACAGTTGATGTTGGAATTTTCGTCAATGTGACCGTTTCTTCTAAAGATGCTTGCTTGCTGGCACCACGTTCAATGAGAGTCAAATAAACATTGTTTATAACTTCCTTGGTCTCAATAGAATAGTGTTTTCTACGTTTGGGGGGGAGCATCTCCGGAGATACACTAGACTCGCACATATTTTGCATAATTCGCACACGATTCAACACACGCTGAATTTAAATTCCAGAACTTTAGGTAATAATCTTGTTGCATTGTATGTTAATGACCACCCTTGGATAATCCCGTTCAAAACCAATTGGTCACTTTCTTATATCTATGAACAGACATTAAAAGATAGTAGATAAAACTAACCATATGGCTTTTTCAAAAACTATTGTTGATCGTCCTACTTTTAAAAGTATACATGTTGAAAATTTAAATAAACAAATTTTGGAAACAAAAACTTTAAAATACTTGGGTATTTATATTGATACAAATTTGAAGTGGGAGAGTCACATTAACTTCTTAACAAAAAAGCTAAGGTATTTAATATTCGAATTTTATTCACTAAGGCAATGTCTAACTGAGTCGATTTTGCAGTATGGGGTAATAGTCTGGGGGGCTGTACAGTACTGCATTGAGATCATTGAGTGTGGTTCAGAATAGAATCCTTAAAGTGATTTACAAAAAAAATCACTTATGTCAAACAAATCTTCTCTATAGGGAAAATGTTTGTGAAGTTCGATCGTTATACATTTATATGTTTTGTTGTTATATTTATCAGAACAAGGTCTCTTTAAACCCAATCAATCATCTGTTTACCACTAGAACAATAATGAATAGACAAGTACAGGTAGCGATGCCTAGAAGTCAATTCTATAAAAATGATTTTCAATATTTGGGGCCTACATTATACAATAGCCTTCCATTAAAAATAAGACTGATGAATAAAATAGGTAGATTTAAAAATGAAACTCGTAAATTTATATTTGAAAATATTTGCGTTGTTTTGAACTGTGGTTTATTTTGTTTTTATTATTTTGTTGGATTAGTTGGACGGGAACTGAACTGCATTACGTTATGTTAGTTTACCCGGCATGTTGAATTAAATTAAATTAAATTATTCTTCTCTTCTTTAATAACTAATTTAAATTAAAAACTAAATTAAAACTACTAAAACAATCAGGCGAAATCCTGGGAAATCGTGTGGAATTTGCGAAATCCTGTCACAATTTTTATCACGGTGTCAAACTCCTGGCTCAAAGATTTTATTATTTACCTCAACCTATATATTATTTACCTTAACCTATATGTCTAATGATGATATATTTATCCTAACGCAAAACCGGTCAGCTTCCAACAGCTTAGTTATAGTAGCCTTAACTACTGCGGGTAGAACTGTCGGAATGCCCTCCTCCAATTGAAAATTCGTATCGTAGCGCTTGTTACAGGAGACGATATCCAAACTGGGTGTCTCGCGCACATCCCAGATAAGTTTAGATGGCGACGGTACGGCATTTTGCAGCGAGTCGGTCGAATGCTTAGAGTCGAACAGGACCGAGAACAGCGGCATTGAGGCCGACCAAACCGACTGCGGCACCGTCAAGAAGAAAAACGTGGCCAGGGAGGTGTTCGAGAACCAAATCCACAATGGCGACGTGCCCGGTACGTTTAGATTATACCCTAAACACTTTAGACCATCTGGGACAGTACATCAATAAAAGAAAAGTTCATTTTTCAAAGGAATGTAATTTTTTCCGCTGGAAAACAAGACCAAGCAAGCATAGTTTTGGCAGCCCCACTAAGATTATATTGAAATAAGCGTTGGACACGAAATTCGAGACTATACCCACTTGTATAATTGCACCAGCACTTGTACAATTATCTCAAAACTTCGAGTTTTAGCTATAATCACGGCATTTCGTTGCGACTGACGCCTTGTCTTGCGTCAAGTCACCTGTGCAACCATAGATGCCAATTTGGTAGGTCCCAATGCGACGACTGCGATTGGTATGTTTTCAGTTGGAATGGGTTTTGAGTCACGAAAAACTGTTACATTTGTTTTTCTTTTATATTGTTCAATTGTAACCTCTAACTAAAATCCATGAATCAGATAGACATAAAATAATAAGCGTATAATTAATAGCTGTTGGTTTTGAGACTTAACAAAGTTTAAATGAGAATGTGAATAACAGAAAACAATTTTTTCGGTTTTGTGCATTTGATAAACTTATTAAATTGTACTGAAAATTGTACATGAAACAAAAACACAGTAAAAGGCCGAAGACAAAAAAGTGTAAACTTAGAAACCTAAAAAGTGAAGATTTGAGGAAAGGTGTAAAAATGGGAATGGAAAGAATAATATTTATGATTTATATAGAGCAAAAATCAATGTCACTTCCAATTATGCAGGAACCTAAAAAAAATGGAACGTTTTTGGATATTGGCTTTGAACCATAACCGAAGATTTTTATGTGGACAGCCACAGATAGTGAGTCACCGTGTTCAATTTTCATAAAAGAAAAGAAAGTGATAATTACATGAGCATATAAAAAGTGTCATGTAATCTGACTTTCTCACCGTATGGGTTAGCCAGTGATCAACGGTAAAAGTCACAGACCATGTGTCGGTGTGCGGTCATCCTCGGCGGATGTTTAAAATGGGCGAATGATCCTAAGCAATTTGCCCAACATTGCTTATGAAGTTCATAATGGAATTGAATTGAATGGAGTTTCTTATTATGTCACTGGCATTAACAGAAAGTAACAATAAACATTTAACACTTTATGAATTAACCTCTCCTGATGACTATTCCAATTTTTAAAAATTTCATTTAATTTTACAACATATTCGTTACAACAACATAAGTCATCGGAATAGTTTTTTTTTGCGGCAATGGAAAATCGGTTGTCGAATTGGCATATGAGTATTTTTTGCGGCGTAGCGACAAAAACAAGAATCCGCGCGTTTGGATCGAGTAGGCGCGCGTCCGTTGAAACGAATTTAAATGTCCGACGTATTTCACTCGCCGAGTTCGTTCAAATGCGGTAAGTCGTCGGATAGTTATTTCCACTCTCTGAGCACTATACCGCGTTGTTCGTGTTTTGACCTGGCCAGACACGTGCATTAGACTTGTCAATCGGCATGGGTGTCTGGATGTTGATACGATTTCGGTTTTGGTTAGTTTTTTTTGTTGTTGTCAAGTGACGAATGAAATAATTAAGGAATTTTTGATAACTAACCAAAACTCAAATCCGATCTGTCAATGGTAGACTCTTCACCCGTTCAAAAATTTATTACGTTCGTATTATACAAGTGATTCCAAGCTTCAAAACTGATGCGAAAAACTTAAGGGGATGATTCCTTGTTTAAGATAAAGGGTAGTTTGTTATATAAATATTAAAACGAGTGGAAGGGATTGAATTAGACCACTGCTATTATTGTCCTGAACTAAATTTAAGAAAAAAAAACTTATGCAATGTACGGTTTTCGCCTAAAAAATAAACACCGCTCTCTGCATAGTCATAGGGTTAATATTATATTATTTCTTACTTAAGTAATTGTCTATCTGTTTGATTAAAGTATTTAAAAAACGAAGTTCTAAAACAAATACCTAAAAGAAAGGTTAATTGGCCATAATTAGAAAATAATTTAGAAGAGGTTTTTCCAATATTGATAGAAGAAATACCATTTTTAATTAGGAAGAATAGTTTATTATTTCTCTTGTTGTCAGGATGTTATGGTATTCCATTAAAACTGTAAAAGTAAAAAGAACAGTCTTCCATTTTTTTCTTAAGGATACTAGTTGGTAACTAAAAACTAGATATTTTGTTTTAGATAGGTATTGTATTTTTCCCAAAAAAGGGTTTTCCATTTAACCAGTCCAGCGACCAAAATATTATTTGTTCTTAGACTGTCGCTGGGACGTCACAGATTTCTTTAAAAAAATACATTTGCATTCATTTATGAGCAGATTTGATATCTTAATTGTTTGTACTATTAGGTCTCCATACAAAGCTATGTATGAATCCACTCTGTGTAACGAATTTCTTCCTCTCTTTACACCTTTAATTTTGAAAACACCCTGTATAAGCAGGTGTATAGTAGAATGCGAGCCAGTTTCGGTTCAGCCCGTGGAAGTTTCTTTTAAAAATAAACATACGTTATTATTATTATTATATTACATTTGTTCGTGTTGAAACACCCTGCACTTAATATTGTGCTCCAGGTCGTCCCCCGGAGTACCGGAGGCACATGTCCGTGCCCGTCGACCCGGAGCGTCACGCCGTCGAAGGCCTGGTGCTCCAGAAGGTGACGTCACTGACGCTCAGCAACTTGGAGGGCCACCTGCAGCGGCCCAAGTTCGTCCCCGAGAAGTTGGATTTTCGGCTGTACGAGAAGTTCGAAGGTGAGCAGAGAATTAAAATTGAATTTATTCAGTATTAGAGTTCTCCAAACGATATACCGTTTTTACGACATAATCCGGTATTTAGTTTTGGTAAATGTTTATTAAGATCTAACCGCAGGTCTGCCTCGCTTGCGTTTCTCTTTGTAATCCTCAAAAAATAGATTCGCAATTTAACAATGACATTCCAGGACCCTACTGCGGTACTTCGTGCATACAAATGCTGAAAGCTGGCGGATTTATGTAAAGTTTCATCGGTGAAACTTCTCTATTATTATCAGTGCATATTATTACTTTTAAACTCTACTTTTAAAATACAACAGCACGGCAGTTCTGGTCGGGTAACATCTTAAATGCGGCCCTGGCTTGTGGTACACGTGCTGAAAAGAATACCAATTGAATGCTGGGAAATTTCAGTACAGCACGTTATAAAAATTGCGAATTCTTACATTTCTATAATAATAATAATATCTTTATTATCCCACATATTTAGAATACAATTAGTGTATTATGGATCTCGTCAAGTAGGTCAATATAGATCATACAAATGAGGCACAAAATTACATTAAAAATTTATATAATAGAAGTATATGACAAAGCACAACAATACAGTGATGACAAAGACTAATAGGTAAAGTATTCGTTTAAATTATAAAAACAGTTTTCTTGGAGGAAAACCCTTAATTTGGATTTAATCTATAACCGGTGTTCGTAAAATATTTTTTTGAAAATTCTAGTCTATTTTTTTTATGGAGAAACAATCTTTGTTACGTGTATTGTAGTCGTGGAAATCTCCGTTTCTTTGTAAGATATTTTTATTTTTATATACCCATAGACAACATCCCGGGGGAGGGGCCTGCACGAGCTATCCGGCGACACTCCAGCAATACACCTTAGGAATGTTTTTTTGGGATTTTAAAACAGATGTCACATGTCTTGAATTTCCCCAAAAGGAAATACTATAGAGTACTCTCGAATAGATGTGAGCATAGTAGAAATTTATCATCCACTCGCCAGTCAAAACAGACCAGACCAGACATTCGCAGAAAGATCTTTTTTGTTTTGTGGGCATTTGAATGTCTATTGAACTAGGTAAGTGAGCAGAAAGTTCATTGATAAAAAGGATAAATAAAACCGGGCCAAGCACTGTACCTTGCGGTACGCCTCTATCTACAGATTGGACTTGGAATTTTTTAATTTGACACAAGTTGCCCCTTTCCTGCCTAATTTCAACATACTGCCTACGATTTGTTAAGAACGATCCGAACCAGTTCAGCGCTATTCGACGAATTCCGTATTGTTCCATCCTATTCAAAAGCATTACGTGGTTCATACAGTCAAATGCCCTGCTGAGATCACAAAATATCACACCAGCAGGGTGCTCTCAAGACTCAATATAGTTGATAGCATGCTCCAAAAATGAATGGAGAAATGATGGATCATGGCGTATTCAAATATTTTAGCAAGGCATGATTTGATTGCTATTTAACGATAATTTTCTGCAGAATACCTGTCGCCATTTTTAAAGATGGGGACCACACCCGAAACTTTCAGGGCTGTAGGGAAAACTTTTGTTTTTTATTTTATTTTTTATTAAGTTCTATATTTTTTCTTGAGAGAAAGGTCTAATGCACATACTTTCAGGGAAGCGATTGCATCTAGAAATGAATTTTTGTGCATTTTGTTAGGAGCTTCTATAAAAAAGTTGTTCGTAAAATTGGCTAATAATAATATTAACATTATTTCTTTTTTATTATTTATTCCCCCCACCTATCTCAGGCACAATAGACCAAGCAGTTTTATTTTGATTATCTGCCTCTAAAATTTTTTCACTCATAGTAGCCTTTTTTTGTTAAATTTATTAATTTTATACGTATGCTTTTCTCATATTTTTTTAAAGGAAAATGTTTGTTAAAGGTACCACAGGAAAGTAGAGTAAAAAACGACATTTTTTTTTGTCAATATCACCAAATGCGCTGCAGATGCCCGACCAGGGCCCTTTAAATAAATCTGAAGTAAAAACTCTAATATTGTTCGTGTTAAAATTTCTGCCTAGATACGAGGGCGCTTCTAATAGTGTACCCTGCGTCGAATAATACGGTATCGTGGTTGTTAAACAAACGTCGAATAAATGTAACAATAAGGGCACTAAGGTGTGTTTAGAATCCTTCTATTTCCCTATTTCCAACCATAGAGAATAAGGCCCCCATTATTTCTGTAATGGAAAATAAATAATTTCTTCTCCATATTTCTGCATAGAAAAATAAAAAATGGTGATATCTGTCCGGGCCATATTGTAAATAAAAAAAAAATTACTATTGACGACTGCCTCACTAACTGCAAGTAAAACTTAACTTTGATAGAAATCTTGATGTGATGTGTTCTACGGTTAGGTAACTAGATGGCGCTATAATACTTATAAATTATTTTTTTTCGTTTTAAAGGTTAAGGGCAAGTGAATATCGCGTAGTTTTAAACTTATCGCGAGATTACGGCTTTTCTAGGATTACGATTTTTTGTTTCGAACGTTTTATCTGAATTTTCAACAATTATCTGCATACCCGCCTCATTTCGCTCGGCGTCGGACAAACCTCTGCGCGTTTTTATCATTCGAATGGCATTATAATTGTTTAAATCGTCAGTCGCGTCGAGACATGTGCAAGTGTAAAAGTGAAGGACCGTCGGCGAAAGGGACACCCGCCGTTTGTGCCAGCATACATTTCAAAGAATCGGGGAAATTTTTTCTAACAACGCTTCGGGGTAAGAGTGACTTGAGCCCGTACATTTTCGGCCGATTAAATAGTTACTATAAAGCAACGTTGCCGTTTTTCCGGTGTACTCTGCGTTCAATTTATCTTGATAACATTAATGCTAAAAAAAGCAGCGTAATGTGCTTTTCTCCTAAACCTAACATCGAACAAGTATCCCCAATGTATTTATTAATTAATGGCGAACGTTTGAAAAATGTGAATCATAATAAAAACCTTGGTGTTATATTTGATGGTAGACTTAGATTCGTGGAATATGTATCTTTGTTGGGAAAAAAGTCTTATTTGGTTTTTCGCCATTGATACAGGCATAGAACTGTCCTTAATTTCAGTTCACGGAAACTTTTACCTCAATCACTTGCCCTTTCGATTATGAACTATGTTTTAGTCCTCTATTACCCATGTCTTGATAGTATTATTAAATATAGATTGCAAAAAATTCAAAACAGCTGTTGCAGATTTATTTTCGGCTTGCGTAAATTTGATAGGATTTTTCACAAAATCCAGGAACTTAACTGGCTAAAAATAAGTTATATGTCTAACGGTAGATATGGCCGGCGGCCTTTATTAATGGACCACCCGGTATATTAAAGTGCATATTACGAATGAAATAATTTTTTCAATCCTTTGAACCGCTATATCGTGGAAATGGGAATACTTATCACAAACAGTGTACAGACATTTTTTGTAGAGAATCGGATGATCTACAATTTTTGTTCCAACTATTTTTTCTGTAAAAGTCACCGTTTAGCTGTAAAACGCGAAAAACCTATTTTTGCAACTCTTCAATCTTTAGCTCTATGGGAATCTTTGCAATCTTACTTCTATCTTAAGGATGAATTTGACTGGACTAGAAAGAATGGTAAAAATAGTTATTTCACATACTTAATAAAAGTCGTAGGATATTGTAAGACCTTTCAGAAAAAACAATGAGAAAATCGGGATTTTTCCATTTTAAATGATAAAAATATATTCGTTTATTTTGAACACCCTGTAGCATTTAATTCAAATTTCGTTGCACATATTTTTTACGTCATCTTCGAACAACGCTAATATCGAATCGTAAATTGTTGCAAATATGAAAACTAGTATTTTTTTAGAAAAAATTAAATATTGAACTTTAGGTATGTACTAATAAAAAAATTGAAGAATTTTAATGTTTACCACTTTCGTGTTCACCATTCATTTTATCTGTGACCCACCCTGTATAATAACTGACCTTTCGTGTGCTCAAACCGCGCGACGAGTCATTTTTATAAAAAGAGAGCCAACGTATTTTTTTATTACACAAAGCAATTCTTTCTCCCTGTTTCATCAGGTGTACCGCAAGGTTCTGTCCTTGGACCTATATTATTCTTAATTTATATTTCTGATATTTTATCCAAATCGAATATTTGAATTTGCATTCATTTGCCGATGACACTCAGCTATTTTACTCTTTCGATCCTAAATCATTAGATATCGCTTCAATTTCAAAAAAAACACCCATTACTATATTTAATTTATCAATGTATTTATAACTTCGTGTTTAGTTTTCAATTTAAACATTTAAGAGGTTAAGTGGAGTAGCTTTTGCTAGACTTCGTCTCTTCTCTACTGTATATTTGTATATAACAATATACAACAATAAAGGCAATTTATTATTATTATTATTATTATTATTATTATTATTATTATTATTACTATTATTATTATTATTATTATTATTTTAATTGGCTGTAACTTTTTTGTTTTTAGAGATATCGAGGTAAACAAAAAAAGAAAATGTAGGGTTAGTAATCAAGTTGTTTTCCAAAACAAAACACTATCAATTTTCTGATACACAAATTACACAAGGATATATAAATTACAAGGAGTTCAATGGTTTCGAGAGGTTAGAATGAAACTCTCAGTTATCTAAAGTAAAAGACTTGCAGCGGAGTCATTGAAATACGACAATAACCAAAGAAAATATCTAAATATAGGTATTGCAGAAATAATCGCAATTGTTGTGCGAAAGCAAACAACTCCGGTAATTTATCAGTAACAAGTAGCTAGTTAATAGATAAACGCGTGATTCATTCAAGTGAGTGAGGACATTTCCTGTTCGAATAGTCAAAAACAAGTCATTTTTACCAACGGAGCAATTTATAAATTTCTGACGCTTCTAAACATCGAGCGGACATCGAAGTATGTAATTGCTTGGTCTGTCTGTGGATGACCGCAAGATTATATGCCTAAGTGTCCGAATTGCTTTGGTTTAAGTTCAGTTGATTTGTTTAAAAAAAAATCAGTTTTCAATCCTTGGATCCTATGGATTTGCTTTAGTAAGAAGCTAATTTAAAGCTGAACAGATCTGATGTATTGATCCCTAGTAGCTAGTAGCTGTTTGTTGAGCATTTATTTTCTTTTCTTAGTAGTCGATTTAACGCCAGGTGGTTAGGTCACCAGTTACACACGCATTGTATCTAATGGCCAACACTTTGAAAGGCTTCTCTTATCTCCTGTTTCATGTCCTCTTTTGTTGTGGTACTTGGTCTTTAACATAACCCCACACAAAATAGTCCATCTATGTGAGATCAGGAAATCTAGGTGGCCAGCTAATCGGACCACCTCTGTCTATCCCACCGTTGAGGAAATAAATTATGTAATTAGTTTGTAACATGATGGGCAGGGCCTCCATCATGAAGGAACCACATTTTCTGCCTCCCTTCGTTTGGATTAGTTCTTAACATATTATGCAATCTACGCTAAAAATGAATAAGAAAGAGGTTTAAATCAAAACCGAACATATTTCCGCCCCAAAATGCTATGCATTTTCCGGGTTGCTATGAGGCAAGGGGCAAAGGCGCCTTTTTAAGATCGTATCTCTAGGTTTAAGGCGAGCAACTCTTGTCTTGCCCTGGAAAAACAATTCTTCGCAGCTGCCATTTTTATAACAACAACCTCCGGTGTTGTGGGTTCCAGTATGTTCTAGAGTATGGACATAGCAGTCTCTACAAAAATCTTGATGAATTCGTTGAAGCAGCTGCCAAGATGTTAAACGATTTAATTGTATACCGGTTAAGGTGTCATCCGGCTCGAAGGACCAAAATGTTTAATACCTACAAAAGTAAATCGTTAAAAAAAAGGAAAATAAAAAATTTGAAGTACAGTCCACTAGGCCATCCAAATAATGCGTTATCGAGGTGCATTAAACAGCGTGTATAGAGTTGAACCCAAATTAGAAAAGAGCTTTCTGGTAATGGAGAATCCATAGCCATGAGATGTGAAGGTCTTTCTGAGACTTTTTAATTGTTCAAGGAAATGAAATGAATTGAGTAAGAAACCATCAGTTTGCTAGAGAATATGTTGGAAATCCAATGGATCTTAGGTAGTCTGCATTTTAGAATCATGAGGAGTGACAGACATTTTCATGGATTCTAGTAGTTAAGAAGTTTAAGATTGCATCCCAAAGTTAAGTCGTCTGCACGAATATCTGGAATTTGTTTCCTCATAGTCAGTTGTGTTCATGAGCAGCGTTTCATTTTCTTTATCTGCATTTAGAATTGCGATGTCGGGATTATATTTCAGAGATTATAAAGCAGTACGTTCAGGCTTTGGCTTCATCGGTAGAGAAGAAGGCACCCAGACTACCGTACTAATCTTTTTATTTGGGTATTTTCCGTCCTGGAGAAGAAGTTTTTTGGAGCAGATCGTTACACAAATGAGTTGAATTTTTTGATCGGTTTGTTTTTCGTTTGCTCGGCCAACATTCTTCTTGGGGCTTTTCACTTTTTTCGTAACGCCGTATAACCACCGTTATTATTTGAAAAACCGCGAAGAGAGGCTCGCGTTCTGGTGCACACAAGCGGATAACCCACAATTTTGAATGAAACCGCTCAACTGTGTTACGAACGGAACACGATTCGTTTGTCTCACAGTGCGGGCGTCTGCTTTGTTCCGACATGTCGCTCACAGGTAAAAAAAATTTAGTGTCGTTGGTATCGCGATTCGTGGTGTTGTATTGGTGTCGAAAATATTATTTTAATCTTGAAAGAAAGAAAAGTGTTTGGGTGGGTAATTTTAATTAATATTAATAATAATGATAACAATAACAATAAAAAATTGCCTTTATTGTTATATATTGTTACTACTCCACTTAAAGTAAAAATAAAAAAAATAACATTGAAAATCAAATTATTTTAGCAGTTAGCAGATTGAATGTGATTTTACTGAATCGGATATACTATTAAAAATTACAACAGCGTTATAAGAAAATGATCTGCGTAACAAAGATAAACGATATCGTGGCAGTGAGAGTCTGTAGGGGTACCTTAAAGCCACTGATTGAACATTACGAAACTGTAAGTAGGACGGATTCGATGTGCTAATTTTTTGGAAAACCGTAGACGTCAAAAAGTACTTGAGCGTACTGTCAATTTTTAACCAGTTAAGTTCATGGATTTTGTGGGAAATCCTATCAAATTTACGCAAGCCGAAAATGAATTTGCAACAGCTGTTTTGATTTTTTTGCAATGTATATTTATTAATACTATCAAGACATGGGTAATAGCGGATCAAACCATAGATCATAATCGAAAGGATTGAGGTAAAAGTTTCCGTGAACTGAAATTAAGGACAGTTCTATGCCTGTATCAATGGCGCAAAACCAAATAAGACATTGTCACCAACAAAGATACATATTCCACGAATCTAAATCTACAATTAAATATAACACCAAGGTTTTTATTACAATACTTGGTCAACGTTAGTTTTAGGAGAAAAGTTAGTTATGCAAATCCAAATTGATATAAATTGAAGCGATATCTAATAATTTAGGATCGAAGGAGTAAAATAGCTGAGTGTCATCGGCAAATGAATGCAAATTCAAATATTCGATGGATGTATAAATATCAGAAATATAAATTAAGAATAATATAGGTCCAAGGACAGAACCTTGCGGTACACCTGATGAAACAGCGAGAAAGAGTTGCTTTGTGTAATAGAAAAATACGTTGGCTCTCTTTTTATAAAAATGACTTGACGCGCGGTTTGAGCACACGAAAGGTCAGTTATTGTACAGGGTGGGTCACAGTTAGAGTGCAGCTCGTTATATCATTGGTTTCGAGAGTTATGAGAGGGTGGTTAATGCGAAAGTTGTAAACATTGTTGTTTCTTTTAAAATTCTTCAATTTTTTTATTATCTTAAGTTCAATATTTTATTTTTTCTAAACAAAATACTAGTTTTCGTATTTGCAAAAATTTGCGATTCGATATTAGCGTTGTTCGAAGATGACGTAAAAAATATGTGCAACGAAATTTGAATTAAATGCTACAGGGTGTTCAATATGAACGAATATATTTTTATCATTTTCTGATTATTTTTTCTGAAAGGTCTTACAATATCCTACGACTTTTATTAAGTATGTGAAATAACTATTTTTACCATTCTCTCTAGTCCAGTCAAATTCATCCTTAAGATAGAGGTAAGATTGCAAAGATTCCCATAGAGCTTAAGATTGAAATATTGAAAAAATAGGTTTTTCGCATTTTCCAGCTAAACGGTCACTTTTACAGGAAAAATAGTTGGAACAAAAATTGTAGATCATCCGATTCTCTACAAAAAATGTCTCTACACTGTTTGTCATAAGTATTCCCATTTCCACGATATAACGGTTCAAAGGATTGAAAAAATTATTATATTCGTAACATGCACTTTAATATACCGGGTGGCCCGTTAATAAAGGACGAGGAACCCTTATTCCGACAACAACAAAAATATTTACAGGTAAATCGACGAAGAGAAAAAGTTGCCAATTTTTTTCAAGTTCATTAAATGGCCGCAAGGTGGCGTAATTTCTACTGTAAAATAGAAAACACGGGTTTTCTTCAAAAATATTCCAAATTAACCTACATCAAAATTAGTTTTAACGTAATCTACTCTAGATATGGAAACTTTTTTGTTTGACCTATTTTTTTCTATCTCGTCAAATTAAGGATAGGGGAAGAGTCGAATATTGGTTTAGAAAAAGTTGAATAACTTTTTTTTGGCTTATCCGATTTCGACGAACTTAGTTTAGTTTTAAAGAGTATTTATAAGAGCTCCAACTAGTATGTAATAGCACGATATTAATTCCTTTACGAGTCGGTAGGAGGCGCTTCACTTCAAAAACAGCTCTGTTCATGATTTTCTCGAAAATTTCAAATATAATGGTTTATAATATTTTTATCTAAGATGAAAGAACATGAAAATAATTTCCATTTCCATACGAAATGGGTCACCTGGTATATATAGTTTTATACGTATATGTATAACAAATATGTAAAAATATTGACAACGCGTGGATATCGCTTATATGCATCCTTTGTTAAAATTCGTATGAAAAAAAATGAATATTTAGAAAGAAAATCTTAAGAGGCTTAACTCGCTTAAATGAGAAAATATGCATCAACTCAGTGGCGCACAAAAACGTTTTTTTTTTCACTTACAATCTTATATTACGTCATAAAATTGGGTTCATATTTTATAACGTCACTGGTCGAGATATATTAAGTAAATCAAATTTTGCCTGATTAAATATTGCCTCGCGTTCCAGGGCATATGTTAATCAATTACTACCTCTCCGGTATCGAAGATAACAATGAAGCGAGGATAAAGCTGAGCGGACAGGAATTGAAACTGCTCGCCTGTCAGTTTTGCACTCATCTACTCGCCGCAGGCGTTATGCGTCAGTTGCCCGATAAAGATGTCGCCCCGTCTAACGTCTTCCGGGTAAGTAAGATGGCGCTGTCGGTCGGTAATTTTTATGCTCTGTGAGTATCGTCGGTAATACAGATCCCGGTAATGTGTCGGTGGTCTGTGTCCGTCGTCGTTCGGCAGGGATGACGACCGTTTACTACAACGTAATATTAATAAACGTTTATTATTTATCTTACAAACACGAAATGCAAAAATGATAAACAAAACAAACAAACAAACGCCTGCGTATCAGATTCTTGAACAAGTTCTGTCCTATGGTGGTGACATTGCTTAATCTAACTAACAAAACTTGTAAAACAATGTAATTATAATAATAATAACGCCGCTATTTACAATACCTCTGGATTCCTCCTGTTGGCTTCTTCAGAGCCAAAATTAACTAACCAAAATTAAACTAAACTCTGTACCAGCTTATATATCGTTTGAAGGGGGCGGAGCTAAAGGAGAGGCATGAACGTTGTCTCGGATGACTGATTCCCGCATTGGTGAGTCGCGGTTAAATTTTGTTTGGTTCTTTATAGATTTCTACAGATTCTCAGATTTTTCCTTGGTTGAAGAATTTTAATTTATCGAATAAAATTTGCTGTCCGGTTTGGTGATTATGTTCGGGAACTGCTAATGATTTTATTTTTTCGTATTCTTAAGGTTCTTTCATGTTGTTTAAGCCTACATGATATGTTTCGCCTGGTCTCTCCGATGGTGTAAACTCCTGGCACCTCAAATTGAATTTTTGGACAAGTGGTAAATCTGGTTTTGACGGTACACTTCGTTAGAATTTTTGATAATAGTGGTATAATAGGGTAATAGTGGCAAGTGTGGGGTTGCTTGCGGACATATTCATTGCCTTTGGAAGATTGTAGTGAAGCACATTTTGCGATGGAACGCTTAAATCGTTTTCAAATATACAGTGTGATCCACAAATATGTGGAAAATCAAACTTTTTTTTTTTAATCGAAATGTATGGTTGTTATGGTCTATACTGAATGTTTTCGGAAAATGCCCTGTGTTTAATACTCTATATTTTTGACGCCGTTTCCGACTGCTGTAATTTTATTATGCCAACAATTGTATAAAGTAATACATTCATTTGTCCTATATTTAATTATTGCTTATTATTAAAATAGGTTAATAAATTTGTAAAAGAAAGGCTCATCTTTATTCATTACCTATAATTCTCCATAAGACGTTCTATGTAATTTAGGCCGCAGCTTCTCTATGACTGTCTTTCATTTTTCGACACTCCAAAAAAAAAAAGCAATTTAAAAATCGCCATATTTTTCGGCAGCAATGATCAAAATATGACTTTAAGTTGACGTAAAAAAGACGTCACTTAAATGACATCATTCGTCTGAGACGTAGGTCAAATTCACGTCCTGCTGACGTCATATGTAACGTCATTTTCGTCATTTGGTGACCTATTAGTGACGTCATCCTGAGCACTTTGCTACCTGGGGCGGTAACCAACAAAAACCAGCTCAAGAGGAATCGAGAAGATTTGTAAATAGTATTACAATATCCTTTGGAAGTTTCTTTGAAAAGTTAACAAAAAATGTCTTCATTAATTTGTTTTTTGTCATTTTTAATACTTAAATTTTAATTTCTTTAACTCTATTTTACGTTTTATTTTTTTTCTACTCCCGTCTGTAAAATACCTAATTACCTACCGATCTAGCGTGCGTCATTTTCATTTCCTATGAATCCGAGCCACTTCGGACATTTCCGGGGTTTTACCGCACGGATTTGGAAGCAATCGGATATTTTCGGAGATATTTCCCACGCTTTGAATTTTGTCGTTTGTCATGTTAGTGAATGTATTCGTATTGTTTTGCGAAAATATACCCAAAAACTAACGGTCGTAGAAAAAGTATAGTATGCAACACGTTCGGTAACTTTTTAACTCACTCGTTTATTAAAAACTCGCTCCGCTGCGCTCCGCTCGTGTCAAATAAACTCGTGAGTCAAATGCCGTTTACCGCACTTGTATATTATTAACCAGTACGTAGAACTCTCATTTCTACATGAACCTTTTCCGTTTCTCTGACGTCTTCTTTTCACAACACTGCGTTCGGTCGCTTCGTATATTTTGCGTATTAAAGTCTCCTAAGTTCCAAAACATTTCGAAAATACGTTTTCTTTCTTCTTTTTCAAGCAGTCTTTTCGGCATTGGCAATCTTCATTTTGAAAAACTTTGGCAGGAATAAGTTTTCCCCAAATTCCGTTGAATTGTACGAATTTTCTGAATATAAGTAGCACTTCTGTGTCCTCTGAATCTTTCTTTGAAGGTGCTGTTTTGTAAATTCTCATTCTGAATTACTTCCTCTTCCTCTGTTGAAGAATGAACTTCTAAAATTCTCCTTCTTTGTTTAAATCTCTTGTATGGGAATCAGGAAATCGTGTTATTTTATCATTTCCCATGGGTTTCATAATTTCTTTAAATTAAATATTATTTAATTTAAATTACCTTCATCACTGCTTTCAGCATTTTCAACAAAGTGTACTTAGGTCACTTTTGAAAATGTACGTGATATAAAATTTTAAAATGTACTAAGTATATTTCAATACCGATTTATTTTTTTGACAGTTCAGCATAAATTGCAAATTTCACCGGTGCCAACTTGATAAGACGAAAATGGACTTACGTCACTTTAAAATAATTACGTCTAATTTCATGTTCTTCAATTCGGACGATTTGGCCGTAATTTGATTACAGAATGTTGTTTTTCTAGCCGGACTGTATTTATTTCTGGGCGCACTCGGAAGTCCCCGCCTCGCAACCTCAAACCCCGGGTCGAATAAGCACCGCCTCTTGGCCGCCAGTGTCGCCCGGCGACAATTTCTTGTCGCCGCTGGACGCGTCTGACAACGCAAGTAAGAAACGTCACTCGTTCACGTTTTCGCTGCCAGGCGGCGCTAGCCGCCATTAACTGTGTGTCTCCTCCTCCCCACAGTATGCGAACCGGAAGAAGAGAAAAGCAGGGAACTGAGGAGTTCCGCCCGGGACGTCGAAATCTTGTCGCTTGAGGAGGAGATCAAAAGCCTGAGGCAGGAAGTCGAAAAGTACAAAACGTTGGTACTGTAACGCATTTTTACGCTTTAAGGGGACGGAAAAAAAATGGCGAAAAGCGACCGCACTGGCGTGCGGTTTTTTTAATTACAAATTTACGAAATTGAAACATAAATTTTTTAAAGCCTATAACTAGTTTAATAAAATGTGCCGAAGATATTTTAATTTTTTCTCCTTGCAATATGTGCTAGGTCAAACGTTCCAGTCACAACAGTCACGGGGAACAATTAAATATAAGAAATATAGTATTTTTAGTGGCAAAAAAATTAAAAAATTTGGAAATGCTATTTACAGATGAAGCTAACTTTTCCAGAAATGCAATCACAAATTTCCGCAATAACCATATTTTGGTCGGCAATTAAAACACGAAGAACGGATTTCGGTAAATTTTTAGACTGGAATTGTTGAAAATTATTTAGTTGGACCCTCTTTCCTGCCAGAAAGGCTAAATACATTGGATTTTTTCCTATGGGAGGCATCTTAAAAGTCCAGTTTTTACTCTGATATCTGTATTAACATATTGCTTAATAAATTACAAACATGATAAGGAAAACGTTCATTATATGTATAATGTTATTTTGATAAACGATCACCCGGTAGGTGAAGAATTTGAATCGGAAAAATTTGCAATTAGGCATAAAAGTAAAAAATTACTTTTTGGGAGAGGGTCTTAGAACCGGTTCACTTCTATAGATAGAGATTCAAGCGCTGACCGAATCGGCTGTCAAAGATTTCGAATCGCCCACGGAGGAAAACGTGTCAGAAATTTGCGGCACAACCAAAATGGCCGACGCGTGTACTATGACGACCGAAGTAACGGAACGGACGAAATCTGTAGAGGCACAAACCGAGTTTTTGGGGAGGAGCGCAGAGTGTAGTACACAAACATCCCAAGACTGCCTTAACCCAGAAGATGGTGTTTCCCTCCAGGTGATTATGGCGATACTGTTTTTTTTTTCGAAATATTTATTTTTAAGTCAAAATCTCTTACGGCTCCTTCAAAAGCACTATAAATAATAATTATAAATATACTATAAATACTATAAATAATAAATATACTATAAAATATACTATAAATAAATTGGGGCCACAGATGGCCATAGATGGGCATATTTTGGGTCTGATATTTATAGACTCAAAATTAACTGAAGATCATTATTTGCAACTCTTAGAGCACCAAATAGAACAATATATAGAAGATTTACCCCTAAATAAATCGGCGCTGATTATATGTATTTATATATATATATATATATATATATATATATATATATATATATATATATATATATATATATATATATATATATATATATATATATATATATATATATATATATATATATATATATATATATATATATATATATATATATATATATATATATATATATATATATATATATATCTATATATATATATATATATATATATATATAAGGAAAACGTTCATTATATGTATAATGTTATTTTGATAAACGATCACCCGGTAGGTGAAGAATTTGAATCGGAAAAATTTGCAATTAGGCATAAAAGTAAAAAATTACTTTTTGGGAGAGGGTCTTAGAACCGGTTCACTTCTATAGATAGAGATTCAAGCGCTGACCGAATCGGCTGTCAAAGATTTCGAATCGCCCACGGAGGAAAACGTGTCAGAAATTTGCGGCACAACCAAAATGGCCGACGCGTGTACTATGACGACCGAAGTAACGGAACGGACGAAATCTGTAGAGGCACAAACCGAGTTTTTGGGGAGGAGCGCAGAGTGTAGTACACAAACATCCCAAGACTGCCTTAACCCAGAAGATGGTGTTTCCCTCCAGGTGATTATGGCGATACTGTTTTTTTTTTTCGAAATATTTATTTTTAAGTCAAAATCTCTTACGGCTCCTTCAAAAGCACTATAAATAATAATTATAAATATACTATAAATACTATAAATAATAAATATACTATAAAATATACTATAAATAAATTGGGGCCACAGATGGCCATAGATGGGCATATTTTGGGTCTGATATTTATAGACTCAAAATTAACTGAAGATCATTATTTGCAACTCTTAGAGCACCAAATAGAACAATATATAGAAGATTTACCCCTAAATAAATCGGCGCTGATTATATGTATTTATATATATATATATATATATATATATATATATATATATATATATATATATATATATATATATATATATATATATATATAATATATATATATATATATATATATATATATATATATATATATATATATAAATATATATATATATATATATATTATATATATATATATATATATATATATATATATATATATATATATATATATATATATATATATATGATGACACGGGATATCATCCGTTCGCTCGTTGAACTCCGACTGGAATCCTGCATCCGACTGGAATCCTGTGTTCGAAGTGTTTTCGGAGCGCGAGCATTGAAGATGCCAAGTGAGATTTTGGCGAAACGTCTGCAGGATTCCAGTCGGAGTTCAACGAGCGAACGGATGATATCCCGGAATATAGTGTCATCACATTTTTCCATCGGTGAATCAATACGTGAGAATATATATATATATATATATATATATATATATATATATATATATATATATATATATATATATATATATATATATATATATATATATATATATATATATATATATATATATATATATATATATATATATATATATATATATATATATATATATATATATATATATATATATATATATATATATATATATATATATATATATATATATATATATATATATATATATATATATATATATATATATATATATATATATATATTGATATCTCTAAAGACAAAAAAGTTACAGCCAATGTTATCAGGATAAATTGAATGCACGGTACAATCATGGATTAAATTTTGTTGGTTTCGTCATGAGAAAATGGTAAATGCAGTACATAAATCATATCAATTAATTTTATAAATTTATTTATTCATTTTCCAGGTAAAAAATTGACAATGACATTTTATCATAAAGAACAAGGGTAAATATTAAACATTCAAAATAGTTATGTAACATGCTTAATAAAAGTTATAAATTTCTGTAAGATCTTTCAGAAAAAATTTTAATATATATAATGTGCCCCTGAAGAAAATCGTGATTTTCAATTTAAAATAGTCCAAATACGTTTTAGTAAGAGTAATGTATCTTTAAAATTAATGGCGCTATCATAATTTAATTAATAAATTAATAAGCATACAAACTGGTATTTTTTTTAACAAATTAAAGTATTTTTTAAAAACTGTTAGTTTTAGGTATATATTGCTATTAATAAAAAAAAATGAAGAATTTCAAAACCAATTCAAAACAAAATTTGGAAATAAAAGTTCTCGGCAATAGGTTAGGTTAGTCGAAACGAACGAAATAGTACCTCGTGACGTCGGCTGCTACGTTTATAACGGAAATTTTTCTATTCTAATTCTAATTCTAATTTCGTATTATAACGTCATTTTCTTCGAAATATTAAAAAATCGCATCGTTCCTAAACACATTTCCAGGTAACCGAATCGCCACCTGCCCCTCCTCCAACGCCGCCTCCTCCCCCACCGCCTCCCGTCCCTGGTTCGACAAACGAGCACCCGCCGCCGCCACCGCCTCCCCCGCCGCCGCCACCGCCCCTCTACTCTGGAGACGGACCCGCGCCGCCTCCGCCTCCTCCCCCTTTACCAGGAACGGCGGTTCAACCTCCACCTCCGCCGCCGCCGCCCCCCATATCGGGAGGAGGACCTCCTCCTCCGCCACCTCCCCCGGGGAGCGGTTTCGCGCCGCCTCCTCCATTTCCGGGAACGAATGGGCCGCAGCCGCCGCCTCCGCCGCCTGGTCCCGCCCCCATGCCGCCGCCTCCCGTCGGCGGCTGGACACCCCAGAAGGCGGGTAAGCGATCCCTTTTTGTCATTTGTTCCTGTTAATATGCACGAATTTTTGAGTGACATTTTTTCCACTGATTACGACGCTGAAAACGGAAAAACAATTGAATGTAGGGTTTAGTAAAAAATAAGGACAATGTACTCTTTTTAAGTGGAGCACTCTGTATACTTTTTTCTCTAACGTTCGGAATGGAAGGCCAGAGTGATCGAAAGCTGCCGTTACGCATTGTGAAATTACAAAACAACACTAGGTTGTGGTGAATTCTTAGTTAGAACCCAGTTTCCCCAGTGCGAAGCCAAAAGCAAAAGAAAGTCAGTCAGGTACTTTTTAGGATGACTTGTTTCGACTTCTGTTCGTCTCCTCAATCAGGGAGAGAACCCTGAGAGAAGGCATGGAGAGATTTTTAATCAAAGATCAGAAGTTTTCCACGAAATTTGTATTTTGATCAAGAATTCTCTGATAAATGGTGCAACTTTCGGTCTTTCAGCAAATTTCAATGAACATCGTTCTCTGCATTTGAGTCAATCTACTTGTTTTGCCAACGATAACAAAATCGAATAGCTCTTTGGCATAATTTCAGTCATAATTGCAATGTACAGATCACCGAGGTAAAACTAATTTTTATTTTTTTTTATTTAATTTTTATTATTTTATTATACTGATATAATGAGACAAAAAAATCCATAATAAATTATTAACATCGGTTATTTTCAATTTTAGGCTAATATTGCGCATCAGCTTTTTTGTTCTGTTGGCTGTTCTGGAACGTGAGAGTAAAGAACATACAGGGTGTTTCATTTAGGAAGAGTACATTTTCCTCATTTTTTTCATAAACGGTAAATTCAATTGTTTTTCTGTTTTCACCACATGTGGTGCAAAAAAGATGCTACTAGTTTGCTAATTTAACCGACCTTGTATCTGTACTTATAACGAAGTTACCAATAATGAACACTTAATTTAGATCAGCCGGTATACAGCACGTCCACGAATCAAGCAGACAAGACAAGATACGGGAAAAAATCATCCAAAAGTTTTTGCTTGCTATAAAAATAAGGTTCGCAATATGATTATTTCGCTTCTTCAGTATCGCCATAATATGAATTTCCTGCATGACATATCAAAGACCCATTGCATATGACCAAGTAAGTAGTTTTGAGGGGGTAGAGTTTTTTTTTTAATTTTTTGGAGTCAATGTGTTTCATATTTCGACAAATACGTCACAATTATGAAAGGTCAACCAAATAAAACAAAAGCAACATTTCTATTGAACATTTTGCGTTTAAAATTCAAAAACACCACGTTACTCACGGACAATTTTTATATTATTATATATAAATTCGAAGGGGACTGTTAAGGAGAAAAATTGAAAACCTTGCACATTACACATTACAAAAATAGACATTCCCATATCGACAAGTGACATCGTATGACGTTTAGGTTTTGCGTGTCCACCATCTGCTGCAAGTAAAATGTAATTAAAACTCTAGTACTGAAAAAGTTCGTCAAGACGGTTTGCCGTAATAATGCTTTTGTTTCATGGCCGCCTTATATTTTTTGGCTTAAATTTGACTTTATTTATCGTCGACGTAGTTTTTCAGAACGAAGACCTGTTGATGACGGGCAAACATATTGATAACTTATTAATGGCAACTTGCAGGCCAGAAAAAGTTGCAACGAGAAAGTTTCACTTGTTTTCAAAAGGCCTGTATTTAACAGCCTATCTCTTACGAATTTGGGACATACTGTACAAAAAAAAACAAACTGAAGGCACTGCAAACTTATTTTTAAAACAAGCAAAAACTTTTGTAAAGAATTACTTTTTAATTTGTTTGTCCTGTTGTCTACTGCTGCCCTTGGCGTGATGTACGTGGCTAACGAATCCAGGAATTTAAGTAATTTCATTTTTGAGGAACAGGGTGTTACACCTTTCGTTTATTGAACTGAGTCTTCTTATTTCATATAATTTTTGCTAATATTTAATAGTAAGCGACAACTAATGAGCAGAAAATGCATCGTAATAAACATATGCATTGAACGGAGCTACTTCCCTTCTTCACAAATTCTATAATTTTTATATATACCACAGACTTATACGAATGGAGAACATAAAACGCATCATATATATGGGAGAAAACAAAAATTGGATAGATTTATTTTTGAAAAACTCCCCAAGCTGCAACAACACAAACAACTCATAATGAAAAGAGCAAAGAATGGGACCAAAAACCTCCGAGTCGAATACAACTGGGAGAATATTATATACATTTTTACTATAACCTATAAAGGACCTGCATATGTTACGCTGCCGATTACAAACAATGTTGGCCCCAAAATTGATCCTTGAGACACACCATATTTGGGGACACTTTGAAAAACAAAGTTAGCGATTTTACGCACTTTTATGCACCGATCTTACACAAATATCTAATGGATCTGCAAGACGCTACCTAAGTAATAATTTTCGGAAACTTAAATTGCTCGTTCATAAAAATAAAACGGAAACACTTACGTTGGACGCAGCGTTTACGAGTAAATGCGGTTTCCCCGCATTTTTTTCTCACGTAAAATAATCCACAAGTTTGAAAATAAGCACCAAATCTTGGGGCATTTTGAAAAAATTTTAAATTAATTTAATTTTAATCTATATAAGCAGCAATCTCCTTAAACTGAAAAACAAAGTATATCTCTCTCTTTTTTACTATAGAATAATTCAGTAAAAAAATTCAGATTTTCACGAAATTATATATTTTCACATGACAATTGTTTCGACAACTCCGTATGTTTATCAAAGGTGATATTTACAAACTACCTGCTACTATATATACCGAAAAATGACCATAAACCCATAATTAATGTTGTTGTGAGAATTTAAGTTTAATAATGGAGAGGTATTTAAATCTAATTGATCGTTAAGCAATACAATTATTTGAATGTCTCATTTTGCTAATCTCCATGGCTTCCAATAAATTTAATTTTCTACTTTTTGTGGCTGTATGTAAAATATCAAAATTGTCGTCAAAAATGAGTCTGACTATTGTTTTTAAACGGATTTTAAAGGATCTACCTGTTTGTCCAATGCAAATTAGTTCTGAAAGCTATTTTTAAACCACATTTTGACAAATATTTTGAAAATAGCTTTCAGAATTGACAACACAATAGGAAAATTTTTAAGAAACAATAAAACGAAATGTCCAAAATCTCAAAAATCAGGTGTCTACAGATTGACAAACAAAGCAACAAAAACAAAATACAAAATTTTTCACTTTTTCTGCTCCTTAGCCACGATCGATGAATTCATTAAAAGAGAAACGGCTAATAAAAAAATAAATGAATTTATTATCTTCGATTTTTTTTGTAGACACAAAACGAGAGCCATAATTTTATCACCCTGTATCTCAGAAAGGGACGACTTTGTATATTAATTTCGATCAAATCGAATAAGTAGCGAGACTTTCCCGGATAACGTTGATTTTATTTATTTTTTGTTTATTTATGAAGTAAATTTATTTTCATCATCGCAAAAGTAAACAACGGTGTGATGGGGCAAAGTAAAAATTTAAACCATAATAATAATGTTTCACGCCTTTCGTTTTTTTTTGTCATCGTAACGCACGGTTTTTTTTTGTTTTCATGTAGGTCACTCCCAAGCACCGCCCTTTTTCGGTAAGCCGTTAAATATTGACAAGCTTGTGTGATTCGACATCGATTTGCAATGACCGTCGGGTGGTTTTTTGGGTCGCGGAACATCACGCTTTTTTTTCTTTTTGATTTTTCCGCTTTGAGCAGCAACTCCAAGTCACGATGGCTTTCGAAAATATACCGAACGCCATAAAAACTTTCCATTATCTATGGCGTTTAAAAAATGTGGCGTCCTAAAAGACAAACGAAAAAAAAACTCTCGGTTATTTTTGATAACTATTTGTTGTTTTTAAAAGAGATCCGTACACCTATTTATGAACTAGATATCTTCACTACCAACCGAGATATAGGGTGTTTTTCGATTTTCGTCACTTTTGAAAATTGACAACAGAACTCAAAATATCCTCAACTGACATTGACAGCTATATGCACGGCCTACTAATACATAAACAAAGAGTGCCTTATTTTTCCGCCTTTTTGATCACAGATTTTTTGCATTGCATTGCCATATAAAATAAAAAAGTTGTACTCATTAATCGAAAACGGAGAACTGTAGAAAACAACTGAGCACGCCACTGCATTTGCCTCAAAAATGTTCGAGTAATGTTTTATCCGTATCGAAAATTTTCATAAATGAAAAAGTTTTCAATTACCAATTTTCAAAATGGTTCAGAAATAGGTTTTTCCTGTTAAAACACTCCACTTGCGATCACCCTGTACATTCATTAGTAAATAAAAAACTGTAAATAAGATAATACAATTCTTATGAAAGTAAATCATCAAGACATAATTAACTAAATGTTGTATGTTTTTATTCAAAATCTAATTCTATTGGTATTTGGACTTCAAAACATTTTAGAATAGTTAAGTTTATACTGGTAAAGCATTTGCAATTATTCAAAATCGATAATGCCACTAATAGTATTTCTCTATTTTTGCAAATCATCTCAAAAACCTCAATCGTTATGAAAAAGAGAGAAAAAAAATTAAGGTTTAAGACCATAGGCGTACATTTATAAAATTTTATGGGGGTATATTTTGTCTCAAAGTATATCGTCTTGGATTTTGGCTGCAATTGTCGAAATGATCTGGCAATGAAACATGATAAGCGTAAAATGTAAATATTATATACTATATTATGTGTTTAATACGATTACACTAAATATATTGTCATGACATAATTGAATAATAAGTATGTTTTATTCAAAATTATCATCTAAAAATCTCTAATTGTTGTCAAAAATAAACAAGGGGATATGGGGATATACTTTGTCTCAAAGTATATCATCTTGCTTTTGGGTGGCATTTGTCGAAATGATCTGGCAATGGAACACGAAAAATGTTAAACGTAAATATTAAATATTATAATTTATTTATTTAATTATAATAAAATCACATTATTACTAATAGAAAAAACGATTACACTAAATATATCCAAATTACCAATACATAATTGAGTAAATAAATATGTTTTTATTCAAAATATAATTGTATTGGACTCTCAGTATATTATATATATATAGAGTCCTTTTTTTATTGAATGGCAATACTTAATAAGAATTAAAAGGTGTTCGGCGTAAATACTTTTGCTACGTCGTAATAAATGTTTAAAATTTGAAGTGGTTAATTTCCCGCTAAAAATGTTGACATTTTAGATATTGGTCAAATCACGAGGTCAGTTATCAAAACGTCGTGTCAGGATGTAAAACTACAACCTTCTTGTTCCGAGGAAAACATTTATTAAGTTTCCTATGTAAGAAAAACAACGAAAAATATCAAACTACGTGGAAAAGAAAATGATCGAAGTTCAAAAAAGAATGAAAAAAAAAATACTTCCATACATTTTTGCTTGCCAAGATAACAAAAATGGGACCAAGCGAAGACAATACTTCAAACTTAAGGAATATTACTTATTGAAAAAAAAATGGATTGGCAATGTTCTGTAGGAGTACAAATAAAAATTCGGAACAAGTATCGAAGCAAATCAATTCAGATGATAATTAAAAAATTTTAATGTAAAGCTAAAAATGTGTACAAAATGCCTATTGGTATGAAGGTCGTAACTTCTTTTTGGTTAAAGGTTCAAAACCAGGACGATATAGCTCGAGACACACACTTCTTTAAAGATAACTTTTAACGCCCTGTATTGTAGTAATCAGGGGTACATTTTCGAATGTCACCACACACCTAGTCACCCGCTTTGTAATTGACCGCACACCGTCCGTAAGCATTGGCAGCGCAACAGTAATCGTAACCTTGTATAATAAATATACAGCGTGTTCGGAAACTTGGAGAAAAAATTCGACGTGGGTAAAATAATGGTGGTAAGACGTGTAACAAAAAGCTTTTCAAAATTCAGTTTTTTTTTAATTTCATTTTTAACGCATATATTATATTTATTTATTCATTATATTTTATTTATTTGGAATGATATTGCATAATAGAACAGATTGCCTTGCGAAGAATCGCAAATCTTTGTTTTAAGTCGATAAGTGTCATCGTTTAGCCACAAATCGACTTTTTCGACTATTTCTGATGAAGGTAGCGAGTATGTCGACTTATTTGTGGATTCCGTTAGAGAAATAATAAATAATATAAAAACAACACCAACAACTAATAAAAAATCTTCAACTTGAAGTCTAATCTTAACACCTTTTACGGGTGTTCGATGCACTATTTCGTCAGTTAGATAATAAGATTGAGCTGGGTACGATGAAATACCCCGTTCATTAATAAACTGACTTTTTTAGAAGGTGTATTTCACTTAGCCTTAAAACACTCCATTGTTGTGCCTATATATAAGGTTGTTCGGAAAGTCATTTCGTTTTTTCCCGTCAGAGGACTTAATTACGTTTTTTCGAAACCAACTTCACACTTAAGCCGCATAACCATTATATGTCTTGAGAGCTGATATTGCAAGGCTTGTGTGTGAAAAAGTTCTATTAATTCTACGCAGTAGTTTTTGGTTGGTGCCCTTTTAAATATGGAGAGCAATAAGCAGCATTTTCGTCATATTTTACTTTTTTACTTCAGAAAAGGTAAAAATGCTGTCCAAGCGAGAAAAAAATTGACGGACGTGTATGGAGAAGGCGTGTTAACAGTACGCCAGTGCCAGAACTGGTTTGCAAAATTTCGATCCGGCAATTTTGATGTCGAAGATGCACCACGATCTGGAAGGCCGGTCGAAGCTGACAAAGATGCGATAAAGGCATTGGTTGATGCAAATCGGCGAATAACCACACGAGAGATCGGTGAGAGATTAAATTTGTCGAATTCGACTGTTTACGGAGCGAAATTTGTGTCGTCGCGTTGACGTCTCAAACGTCAAGAAAATGATCCATTTTTGAAGCGGATTATTACTGGGGACGAAAAATGGGTTGTATACAACAATGTTAAACGCAAGAGGTCATGGAGCAGAAAAGATGAACCGACTCAAAGCGTGTCAAAAGCCAACATTCACCAAAAAAAGGTGATGCTCTCCGTTTGGTGGGATGTCAAAGGAATCGTTTTTTTTTGAGCTTTTGCCGGACAATACAACGATTAATTCAGAAGTCGATTGTCATCAACTGGACAAATTGAATGATTCACTTAAAGAGAAGAGGCCCGAATTAATCAACAGGAAGGGTGCAGTGTTCCACCAGGATAATGCGAGACCTCACACAAGTTTGGTCACTCGCCAAAAACTTTTACAGCTTGAATGGGACGTACTGCAACATCCACCATATTCTCCAGATCTGGCGCCCTCCGACTACTATTTGTTCCGGTCCCTGCAACATTTTTTGGATGGCAAAACCTTTACCCCAAATGAAGATGTCAAAAACCACCTGAACCAGTTTTTTGCCAGCAAGGACCAAAACTTTTATGAGAGGGGAATTATGTTACTGCCAGAAAGATGGCAAAAGGTGTTGGACCAGAATAGCCAATATATAATTTAATAAAATATTTATTCATTATACGAAAAGTGTCTTTCATGTTCCCCAAAAAAAACGAAATGACTTTCCAAACAACCCAATACAATTACACCATTTAGTTTCTAATTAGTTCTATCGGTTTTTTCCAAAATATTCGACAAGTGTTTTTACTTGCGGCTCGATGCATTTCTAAAGAACTCAAGACTGTTGAGTTTCCTTATGTAATCAAATAGTCTCGAACCTGGATCAGAATAATAAAACATTATGTAAGTTCTTTGACTTCAAGCGAGCTTTTGATGTGTTTGATATTAATTTGTTGTTAAATAAGTTAAATAATTTCGGTATACGGTGGAACAGTTACCCCTGGATTGGGTCGTTTTTGAAAGCTCGTGACCAAAGAGTTGTGCTGAGATTAGATCCTAATCCAAAGAACTCACCAGCGGTGTCCCATAGAGAAGCATACTGGGACCTTTATTATTTATAATATTATGTTTCCTTATATGCAGATGATACTGCTGTGGCATCTAGGAGTCTGGAATATCTGACGTTCTTGGCCACCAGAGCAGTAAGTGGTGTGACTCGATATTGGGAGGGTAACGGTATTTGTTTCAACGAGACAAAGACTGAGATGATGTTGTTTGTCGCTTATGGATTTGAACAAGAGCTTATTGGTTAGAATGCAAGGATAAATCGATTAATCATGCTAACGTTGTCAAGTATTTTCTAATCTTAATTTGCAGATGCCAGTTAGCCAAAGTAGCCAACAGCTCTACTATTTTATCAATAAATCTATATAATAAGTTGCCTTTGTCCGTCAGACAGATATTGCCTGTCCTTGTATTTAAACCAAAACTAAAGCTCATTTTGAATAAGAATGTTTTTTATTCTATCGATGAATACTTTGATTGTGGTCATCCTGATCTCTCAGTGTGATATACTTTGTGTGTTTGTACTTATCTGTTTTTAAACGTTGTATGTTAGTGTTCTAATGGTTTTTTTTTTACTTGTGGACATTATCCGATACTTTTGTCAAAAGTCAATGGAAATAAACATCATCATTATTATTATTAAGTGCCTCCAAAAAAGAAGTCAATCGGATTAAGGTCTGGCGAACGAGGCGGCCAAACTAGAGGTCCGCCCCAACCTATCGGCATAAACCTCGATATAAAGCCGTCGTGCTTGATCTGCATTTTTTAAATTCCATTAAATCCTGTTAGGCAAAATCACATTTACCTGTAAAATTCGAACCGAGAATGAAAAAATCGATTTGTGGCTAAAGGATAACACTTATCGACTTAAAACAATAGTAACAATTTTTGAGGATTTGTGAATCTGCTTAACGCAATCTGTTCGGTGTTGCAATATCAGTTTAAATAAATAAAATACACTGAAAATTAAAAAAATGTTCTAGGTAAAGTGCCCTCTGGTGACTGATTCCTGAAACAGTTTTATTTTGTAACGATGGCTTTTACTAATCAGTAAAATATCAGTTTATTACGTTGAGAATGAAGCCCACGGCTTTGAAAGAAAATTTTTTAAAAATGGATTTTGGCCTGCTATCATTCGGAAAATATTATTATTATTAATATTAATATTAAATATATTATTTTAACGCGTTGAATCTTTCTTCCAAGTTTCCGAACTCAATTTCGTAACACCCCGTATAACACGTAATAACGTTATCCCACTTCTGATCTGACGCGACCGAACCCGCGGCGTTTCCGCCTGCGTCTCACCCCACATAATTTTCCTCCAAAGCGATGAAAAAAGCGCCGATAAACCCGCCGGTGCCGATGAAACCCCTATACTGGACCCGGATCTTGGTCGCTCAAGCGCCTCAGCCAGACGAAGGGCCAGCAGTGTGGTCCGAAATCGACGAGGTTCCAATAGAGACGATGCCGAAATTCACGGAGCTCTTTTCCCGCCAGGTAAAGACGATCTGGTCAGATCTAGAAGTTGGTCATCGTAAATAACCGTGGTCAGGTGATCGCGAGAGCACCGACAGTGAAAAAGCAAGAGCAAAGGCCCAAGGTGGAAGTCGTCAAGTTATTGGACGGTAAGCGATCGCAGAGCGTCGGGATCTTGGCTCAGAGCTTGAGGCAGGACTTCCAAGAGATCGAGAACGCGATTTACAATTTTGACACGTCGATCGTCAGCTTGGAGGCGCTCCAGCAGATCTACGAAGTGGTGAGTCTCGACGAGCCTCCCAGTGAGGCTGCGGCTACTACCCAAACGTGGAAAATATCGTAATGCAAATTTAAAACAAGCTGTTGCTATTCGTATAGTCTCAGAAGCTGCTTTTATACAAAGCGATTTGCTCACCAGTTTTATTTTGTCAATTATGCCTTACGCGAGAGAAAACAAATATTGTGGATTTAAAACCGCCATTTTTACTGAATTATCAAGTAAAAAAGTAGTGAAACAATTTCAAATTCTTATAGGTACCCAAAATCATTGTATGGTTCAGGAATTACAGTGCCCAAAAAAACCGCCTGGCAGAACTGCCATGGTTGCTAGTACCCAAAACCCAACTTTTTCTTGTCTATGATTAAGCACAGTTGTTCTTTAAATTCTCTTTGAATCCTTTCCTTATTTTCAGCCACTTTTTGTTTGTGTCTTTGAGATCTGACTGACCAACTTTTAACTTCCGGTTTGCAAGCCAGTAGAGTACTTTTGTTCGCTGTTAATGCACTTCGATCATACTAGGAATCGAAATAGGTTTTATCAGAATTACTGTTGTAGGTTTTCAGTTTGGCCTTCTATATGCTGTTTTCACAATCTCTCCCTCCCCCTCTCTCTCTCAGAAGCTGCTTTTATACAAAACAATCTGTTCACCAGTTTCATTTTGCCAAAGTATTATACTTTACACGAGAAGCAACAAAAATTATGGTTTTAAAACCGCCATTTTTACTGAATTATCAAGTAAAAAAGTTATTGTTATAGGTACCCAAAATTATGGTATGGTATTGACTTCAAGAACTACAGAGGGTAATTTTGGGTTCTCAAAAAAACCGCCCGCCCGAATTGCCATGGTTGCTAATACCCAAAACTCAACTTTGGCACGCTGCCTCTGATCCCATATGCAAACAGTTTATCTACCAGATGTCCTCAGCAAAATAAAAAGTTAAATATGTCAAAAACCATTAGACATAGGTATAAAACATTATATACGAAATTATGAAATAAATTTAATTAATTCAATAATATACAATATATACATTTAAAAAATGAAGTTGTGTCTACCCAAGCAACACTGATTGCCCTGTATATGCTTTTTTTTCGTACACCCTGTATATTTTGAGATAAGGTGTAGGTTACGTTATATTGGCCATCCTGTACATGACAATCGTGAGTCGGTACCGAGGCGACCTTCTCCAAGTGTTTTTTTTTCAAGAGAGCTACTCCGGAGGAATTGCTCCTCATCAACGACCACCTGGAGACCAAACCGGAGGTGCCTCTCGACAAGCCCGAACAATTCCTGCACGATCTCGCGCAGATATCCAATTTCGCCGAGAGGATCTCCTGTCTCATGTTCCAGGTGGAGTTCGAGGACGCGATCACCACAATCGATCACACCCTGACCAATTTCCGATACACTTGCGAGTTCCTGACCAATAATCGCGAACTGAAGAAGGTTTTGGCTTTGGTACGTATAACGATAACGTAACGTTACAAAATGCACACGAAAATGATCCGTATGTCTCACCATTTTTAGATGCTTAGTGTAAAGCAGGTAGAGTTCTCCAAACGATATACCGTTTTTACGACTTAATCCTCTTTGTAATCCGCAATAAATAGATTCGCAATTCCACAAATGCTGAAAGCTGACGGATTTGTGTAAGAGTTTCATCGGTGAGATTCCTCCATTATTATTAGTTCATGCAGTGGAAAATAGATTTTTACTTTAAAATGTTTATGATAAATATTAGTGAAGGAGTAAATTTGCGTCAAAATAATCACTATCGTCACTGGACTCCTCCCCCACATTAATAATAATTCTGGCGTTAGTCCACTTCTTCGATGACATGTTCGATTCATTTTTTCCATCTATGAGCAGAGGCATGCGTCTTTGGCACTAGAATACACCTGTCCATACTGCTGATGTTGTACAAGTTGCCATTTTAGAGTGTGGGTTCTTCCCTATAGTCCAGATATGGCCCCCAGCGACTATTATTTGTTTGGATATTTGAAAAAGGACTTACTTGGACGGCGGTTTAACGACGAAGTTGAGTTAAAAGAGGATGTCTTAGCAGACAAACCAAAAGAATATGTTTTTAAAGGGATTGAGTTGTTAATGAAGAGATGTAATAAGTGTATTGAAAGTAAGGGGGATTATATTGAAAAATAATTTAAAAAAATGTTAATCTACATTGTTTCTTTCATATTCAGGGCGGGAAATTTTGGGCTGCTTAACAACACAACAATTTTAATTAAGGTTGATAAAGACACGGTGTTGTCGAAACAGTTGTCATGTGAAAATATATAATTTCGTTTTTTAGTTCTTATTTATTTTGTTACGTTCAGGTGCTGACCGTGGGCAATTACATGAACGGGGGCAACGTGGTGCGGGGACAAGCCGACGGATTCGGCCTCGAGATCCTGTCCAAGCTGAAGGACGTGAAGAGCAAAGATTCGGGGGTCACTCTGCTGCATTTCCTAGTGTCGACGTACGTCAAGGGTCGGACTCCGTGGACTATGGAGCCGCCACTGCCCGTACCGGAGCCGGGCGACGTGCGCAGGGCGCAGGCGCTCGATTTCGACGAGCTGCGCAAGGAGCTGCAACGGCTGCGCACCCAGCTCGAAGGTATATATATATATATATATATATATATATATATATATATATATATATATATATATATATATATATATATATATATATATTCCTTTAAGTTCAACAACAACAAATTCATTGATGATGCTTGCATTTATGTATTTATTTATTTGCTTATGGAGGGTGTCCTCTTAAGAATTACAAAACATTTAGAAAAATTCTTAAAAGACAAAAAATATGTATAATCATGGGGAAAGATGGGTCATGGCTTGCACTAATCACATATGAAGAGCTTATCAACAGGGTCATTTTCATCCGCACCGGCACAGAAATTGCGAGCCACTTTTGGCATACGTGGACTGTAAATAACAGTATCCATAATATACACACATCATATATCGTATAAATAATAATAATAATAATAATAATAATAATAATAATAATAACAATAATAATAATAATAATAATAATAATAAATTGCCTTGGTTGTTGCATATTGTTATATACAAATATACAGTAGAGAAGAGGCGAAGTCTAGCAAAAGCTACTCCACTTAACAATAAAAAGTTATTAAAAGTAAAAATAAAAAGGATAACATTGAAAATTGTATTGTTTGAGAAGTTAAAAGTTTCAAACTGAACTATTTTTTAAAGAATTTAATTGAATGTGATTTTACTGAATCGGGTATACTATTAAAAATTACAACAGTGTTATAAGAAAATGATCTGCGGGACAAAGATAAACGATATCGTGGCAGTGAGAGTCTGTAGGGGTGCCTTAAAGCCACTGTGTGCTAATAATTTTGAAAACCGTAGACGCCAAAAAGTATTTGAAAGTACTGTTAATTTTTAGCCAGTTAAGTTCGTGGATTTTATGGGAAATCCCATCAAAATTAATTCTGCAACAGCTGTTTCGAATTTTTTGCAACCTATATTTAATAATACTATCAAGACATGGGTAATAGAGGACTAGACCACAGTTCATAATCGAAAGGACAAGTGATTAAGCTAAAAGTTTCCGTAAACTGAAATAAATGGCGCAAAACCAAATAAGACTTTTTCACCAACAAAGATACATATTCAACGAATCTAAGTTTACAATCAAATATAGCTTCAAGGTTTTTATTACAATGCACAATCTTCAAACGTTATTTGGGATACTTGTTCAATCTTAGGTTTAGGAGAAAAGAACATTAAACTGCATTTATTGCAATAAGTTGAAGATTATACCCAGAAGAATATATAAATAAGTTATGCAAATCAAAATTGAAGCAATATCAAATAGTTTAGGATCGAAGGAGTAAAATAGCTGAGCGTCGTCAGCAAATGAATGCAAATTCAAATATAGGGATGCATAAATATCAGAAATATAAATAAAGAATAATATAGGCCCAAGGACGGAACCTTGCGGTACACCTGATGAAACACGGAGAACTTCAGAACTGACATTGTAAAGGGAAACTCTCTGATATCTATCAGCTAAGTAGTTTTCGAAAAATCGAGTCGCAACATCATCGAAGCCGTTCATGGTCAAGCCGATCGTTGATATGTAAAAGCAGACTAATAGTACTAAAACCTTTACGAAATCCAGATTGACTGTTAGTGACAATATGATTGGAAATAACATAATCATAATCATTTATTACTTTCTCCAATACTTTAGATAAGGTTGGAAGAATACTGATTGTTACTTTTCGCCAATGGTGTGATCAAAACAACATCAACTGGAACAACCGTAATAGGAACTATCTAGCGGAATAGGACCTATCTGGCGAGAAATAATGTGTTCAGGACTGCTTTCCAAATGACGACAAACTCTCTTTGCTGGAGGATATGATGGAAGTATTTCAGTTGGAGTTTTTTGAGTGGCGCAGTTTTTTCCTCCGGTGATGATGTTTTAAGTGAGGTTGAATGTATGGATTTTGTGAAACCATATTAATGGAAGTGTTTTGAATGTTGGATTGGTTGATGGTTGATTTACTGTTGATATTCTTGCCGTCTGGGTAACATCAGTGGAGACAATACACTGAATGTTCATAATCTCATTGTCTTTGGAAGGTTATGGTGAAGTGTATTTTGTGATGGAACTCTTAAACCGGTTTAAGGTTTGCATTCCATAGATGAAGTAAGATCTTTTTTAATCTGACAGGATCACTTGTGTTCATGGCCATCAGATTTAGGAGGTTTAGGTTTTTTGGGGATTCTTGCGGTTTCAATTCGAATTTGATTAGCTGATGAAAATGGCAGTTTGTTTAGGATAGACTCGACATTTAAAATGATTGCGTCTCGTTGGGACCTTTCATTCATTTACATACCTTTACCACAATGTTTGGTAGTTGAGTTGGCGTTAGTTTTTCAAATTTTGAATGTAATTCTAGGTAGAAGATAAATGAAGATTTAGAGCTTTAATGTGGAAATTATTAGAGAGAAGAGAAGGTAAGGTGTTTTAATTCTGTTTTCGGTGACTCGGGCTGAGATATTTTTACGAATCTGTTAACAAGAGAGTTGATAACCGATGATTTTTGGGCCGGATGGTGATGTGACCATGCATTAAGGTATCGGTCTGTGTGCGTAGGTTTTCTGTAAACACAATGACCCAATGTTAGGTCTGATTTTCTATTGATAAGAATATCTAAGAATGGAAGGTTTTTTTTTTGTTCAAAAATTTGACCGTTATAAGAAAAATATGTTCCCGATAAGCATTTTTCAATTAAGGTGAGAAGGTTTGGTTCCAGATTCTCGGATTTTAATATATCTGAAATGATGTCGAGAGTTTCAGGAATAGGAACTTTGGTATAGAGGGATTCTACGTCGAAACTAACCAAAATATCTCGTGTATCTAATGTAATGCTTTTTAATTGTTCAGAGAAGTGAAAGGGGTTTTAATTAAGTGCTGACAATAGGTCGAAGGGGTAGTCCTGGTGTGTGAATCTTTGGGAGTCCGTAGAGACGAGGAATTTTTGAGTCGTGAGGGGTAACAGATTTTTTCACGGAGTCTGATAGAGAAGAAGCCTTAATAACGGATTTAAGGTTGCGATCCATAGATGACGTAGGATCTTTTTTAAGTTGACGATATGATCCGCCTGTAAGAATATTTATTTATCTGCTTTTAGGATTACGATGTCTGGATTGGATTTTAGAGATTTTAGGGCGATGCGTTCAGGCTTTGCAATATTTGATTTAGGAGGCTTTGATTAATTCGTTTCCATTCATACATTTGACAACACTGCATTTGCGAAACTGTAGACATATAAAATAAGTACCGTCTAGTACGTTTATAACTAATAAAGCAATTTTAAAAGTTGCCTTATGTGTTAGCCGCCCATTCCGCTTTATAAGATACATACAAAAACTTATACAGGGTGTTTTAAAACTGGAGCATCGAAAAACTGCCCGTTTCGACTAAACGGAGCCCGAACGTCGCCGTTTTAACCCTACCGAGTTTTGCCGCAGGTTGTCAAAGAAAGACGGAGAAAATAATCGCGGAATCCACCCCGGATAATTTGCAACCGTTCAAGGACAAGATGACCGTCTTCCTGGAAAAATCGAAGAGTCAGCTGGAGACGCAGTGCGACAACCTGGAGGACGCGCATCATCAGTTCGTCGTCACCATGAAGGTGTACCTGTTCAAGCCGAAAGGGGGCGCTCTGGACGCTTTCGCGCCGTCCGGTTTCTTCGAATTATGGTTACCGTTTTGCGTCGATTTCAAGGATATTTTCAAGAAGGAGCTCATCCGCATTGAGAAGGAACGGTGAGTCGTTTTTTTATAAAATGTATGATCAATCGGATAGAACAGTGACGAGGAAACTACTTAATATACTTAATATTGTTGTAAAACTAGTAAATATGATTCGTTCCAGAGGATTATTACATCGCCAGTTTCAAATGTTGAGCATTCCGATATCCTGTAATATTCAAAAGTTCGTCGGGTTAAGTGCTGGAAAAGTATTTGAAAGAATTTGGGATGGAAAACACAATATTGTGAATTTTCTTCTTGATAAAGACATTTATAATCAATTTGACGTGTTAGAAAACGAACGACCTCCTCGTACACATGAATAAACTTAATCTCAAATTGCAAGGGAAAGATCAGTTGATCACTTGATAACGGGTAGTGATACAACTATCCGAAACGTTGTGTAAGTTAAAAACAAAGACGATGGAGGTTCGACATCCTTTTAGTATTTCTAATATATGTATATGTTTATAAAACACATAAATGTTGTAACGATTAAGCATTATTCTTTGGCGCACTAGTTATTACAAATCGCCCGTCTTAAAAAAAAGTTTCCCCACCACTGGGATAGAAGAATTCTATAAAGTTATACCATAGTTGTATAATTAGGTCAGATAGCGTGCAACGTTGCCAGTGCTGGATATAATCGGGGTTACCGATGCTCCTCTGTACATGATGAGTCAATGGTAGATTAAAGTTGATTATCTCATTGGTTTCAAAGGTTTTGAAAGAATGGTAAATACGGAAGGTGTAAAGATCGATAGGATGCACAATTTAAAATTCCTTTAAAGTGTACAGGGCGGCTCAAAAGGCGTGGCGAATAAATTATACATATTTCTTCTGAAAAGTCTTACAAAAACCTACCACTATTAAGTATGTCATATACCTAATGCGATTTATCTTCTTTTTCCCTTACATAAAATGGTTTAACAACAATATACTTGGCATACACTTCCCAAAAACTGTTTTTATGCCATTTAGTTGCTATAGCAATACCATTACAGTCAAATCTTGTACTAAATTCAAGTACCTCGGAATAATGGTCGATAGTCATTCTTTGTTTTCGCAGCATCCAAGAAACGAAACGGAAAAGCACGGAAAAGTCGGAAAGGCTGACGGTGAAGGAGAGGGAGAACGGCTTAAAGGCGAAAATAAAACGGTTCAAGGCCAAACAAGCCCAGGAGGACAGCTGAAACTTTATTTCCGTTGAACGTTTATTGGCGACGCCCTGTATATACGTTGTTCCCCGTGTAGCCTAAATTTTACGCATTTCGTTTTGTATGAATAAATTATATATGAGATTACGCAATTTTTATTTTCTCTTTATGAATAAATATAAGTACAGTAACGCTGCTAACGATACGGTTTCTTTATAATTTTCTATAAGACTTCTGGAGATGACGTCATCGCCTCGTCCTTTGGCATTTATTATTTATTTTATAGTCCTGTGGTGGCAGCATATAATCCCTAGTCTTCTATGTTATGAGAAAATACCTGACAACGTTTTTTATTAATATTTCCGACACATATCCAGACAAAGTTTAGAAATTTTAACGTTTTGGATGTCAAATTTTGGTCAGAGGCGAAACTTTTGTAGGACTTGTTGCGAGTTGACTTTTAGGTTAGATATTTAAGAATTTATAAATGGTGAGCTTGTGACTAATATCAAAAGCGTTAGAAACACCCCAGCGGCACCTTCCGTCATAGATTCCTGTAATGTCATCTGTCACATATGGACCGCTGTAGCACAACAATGCCACCTCACAGTGGTTCCGTCATGAAATTCTCGCCCTAATGGGATGTTGTAAATGTGGCATTTTCGTGCATATTTCGACTTTTCCAAGACAAATACATATTTTTAAACTTTAATATAAATAAAAAAAAACGATTTAATTTTAAAAAGTACAATTTTATTAACAGCAGGAAACCTACCTTCAAAAAAAATATTGACATTATTTTAATAGAACACATAAAAGTGAAAACTAAACGAATACGGTACAATTAAGTCTAAAGAATAAATAGTTCCTCAACCCTCATTATGGCTATGCCTATGGCTAATTAGTCCCGAATTGAAATTAAATAGAATTTATAATTTTATAGTGAGTCTTGTAATAAAACTGAAAGACCCATTACAAATAATCATTTATGGCTGGTAATTTCAGAAGTAAAATTAACTATAAAAAGATCTTTTATATCATTAAAAAGAGAGGGTACGGGATTACCATTTTATAATGAATTGTCCCGTTGCTTGATTTAACTGCTATTCTAATTCTTATAAATCAAAAACAACAGGTAATAAAATAGACTTACCGCTTTTAGATAATTTTCTTAACTAAAAATAAAAAGGTCGAAATTTCTCTATCGAACAAAGTAGCTGGCAATTCGGCTAAGATTTTACGGATTTTCTCCGAATTTTTGTCTGCTTTCTTGGCTGACCAAGTATTAAAAAGTTACATCCTCGTGAAAGTGGATTTGACTATTTGATCTGCAACAAAATGAAAAAAATTAACCCTACTTTTTTTTGTGTACATTTTCTTTTATGTATTTCTTTAGTGTAAAATTCATAAAAAGAAAAGGCTGATATACAACTTTAATAAATCGAGGCCCAAAAGTGCAAGAAATAGCATAGGTAAGCAGGTGACTAAAGTTTGTTTTGTCTCTCGACGAATTGTGAAAGTTTTCGCCTTGGTATACCCAATGACATTATAGTCCCTAGATATATTATGCACTATAACAAAAACAATGATATAATTTTTTTTTAACGAAACGTTACGTTGATATTGCTATTGGAAAATACGTGCATTTAAAGCTAACCATGAAGGGATGAGAATATGGCCGTTTTTCACACATCCGGCGACATCGCATCTTACTCGGCTTTAAAGTAGAGGTTCCAAGCATTTCATCAACTTGCGAGTTATCGAGAGGTGAAGCATTTGAAAGTTTACATGTATTAACGTTTAAAAAATAAATAAAAAAGGGGCAATGGTGCGTTACAGTTTTTAATGAATATATTTAAGTAGGCTGCGGAAAAAAAATTGAAGTGTTGCGTCAAATAGTTTTTTGTTGACAAATTGAGTATAGAGCAGTCATAAAGTTTTTGACAAAAAAAAGGTTAGCACCTAAAATTATTAAAGAATGGGACAGGAGTCCCTTTAAGATGATTCAAGAACTGGTCGACCAGTGGAGGTCATAACGGAAGATATTGCGTCATCGACGTTTAAAGGTCAAGGAAATCTCAGAAATTACTAAGCTCTCTGATACAAGTGTTCGTCGAATCCTGCATGATCATTTAGGTATGCATAAGGTTAGTGCAAAATAGGTGTCGAGTGTGCGCGGTCTTTTTTGGAACTCTGTGGGTCGGAACCGAAGCCAGTGATAGAAACTATTGTGACGGAAGATGAAACTATGGTTCTCTATCGAAAAAAGTAGTAATGGAGTAGCGTCGTAAGGGTGCAGCACCTCCAAGAAAATTCAGAGTCTGCCAATCAACAAAAAAGGTGATGGCCACGACCTTTTGTGATTGTGAACGAATTCTTTTGATACATTTTAAAGAAACTAACACCACTGTCAATGGTAAACATTACGCAACATTATTACATAAATTGCGAGACTGCATACGTGTAAAACGTCGAGGAAGACTGACCAGAGGCGTGCGTCTTTTCCACGATAATGCACCTGTCCATACTGCTGGTGTTGCTCAAGCTGCCATTTTAGAGTGTGGGTTCTTTAGTCCAGATATGGTTCCCAGCGACTATTATTTGTTTGAAGTTGAATTAAAGGAGGCTGTTTTAACTCATTTTGCAGACAAACCAAAAAAATATATTTTTAAAGGGATTGAGTTGTTAATAAAGAGATGTATGAAGTGTATTGAAGTTACTCTTAACTGAAAAAAATAATAATAAAAAATTGTTACTCTACTTTGTTTCTTTCATATTCAATTTTGGCGCTGCCCTCGTACTTTTTACCATTGAATTAGGAACTAATAATAAACTATCATTCTTAGATATTCTTATCAATAGAAAATCAGACTTAACATTGGGTCATTCTAAAACCCTACGCGCACAGACCGATACGTTAATGCATGGTCACACCAGCTGTAAAAATATCTTCTCTCTAATAATTTCCACATTACAGATATTAAACGTTCCGCCACATAATATACTTCACTACAACCTTCCAAAGACCATTGCCACTCTTGTCCAAATCCAAAAAGAGCAGGTAATTGTTGATATTTCAGTTTGTTCTTTATTGTTGCACTTTATAAACGCGAGGAAAATTAACTTTTCTTACGTTCAGAAAGACTTACCTTAACTCGTGTCTCAGTCTATTAATTACTTCTGACAAAGCAATAGTTTTGTATTTTGTTTCCAAAAATGATGGTAGGTAGTTCCTTTGTACGCTTAAGTATAATAAAATAAAGGGGGGGGGGGGGGGGGTTTGAATTTTATTTACAAAAGACAACCATGAAACCGGTCATCAAATTTCATTTGATAAGACTGAAATTCCCCTCCATAAGCTCCACCCCCTTCAAACGATATATAAGCAGATACAGAGTAGTTTCAGGTAAGCTCTGAAGAAGCCAACAGGATGATTGAATCCAGAAGATTTGTAAATATTATTAAAAAAATATTTTCAGGTTCATTCCCTTTTAGAATTTATATTTGTAGGTAGACAAACAAGTTATTATTTATATTATTTTATATTTATTATTGTTATTTTATTACGTTATATAGTACCAATAAACACTAACAAAAACAAATAGGTCGGCTTTTAAACGTCCATCCTTTCGGGATCTTGGAGCCTACAAAAAAAAAGACCCTTCAGGAAATTGGGCGGCGCAAAGCTTGCCGACTTTTTACCTGAGGATGGACACGTCCTGCGGGACGAACGAAACGTCCTGCGGCGTCAAAAACACGAACTGCAAGTCGGGCTTCGAGCGGGCGTGATGCAGCAGAATCTCGATCACCTTGGTCCTATTGAGTTTATCCTGAAACCGAGAAGCGATCAATGGGCCCGAAAATCAACCCACCGACGGTACCATGTAGACGTCGAATTCGTCCAGAAAGTAAAACGGGAAATCCATGCACTGCCAGAGGGCGTAAAGGAACGCCACCGTGGAAAACGATCGCTCACCGCCGGACAAATTTGCCGTGGTGGTCGGTCCCTGAGATCCCTGTTGGGGAATCACCACCAGCTCCAATTTTCTAGCCTCCATGTCGATATCGATCGTGCCCTGCAAGTAGTTCGACATTCCAGATTTCTTTTGTGCCGACCAAACGATCGAATATCGAATTTTGGGTCCATTTAAAAAAAACTTTATATGAACATTTTAATGTGTATCAAGAGGCATTATTTAGTGTATGGTCTGTTCATAGATATAAGAAAGTGAATGGGATTATCCAAGGGTGGTCATTAATATACAATGCAGCAAGATTATTACCTAAAGTTTCGGAATTTAAATTGAGGTAAAATTGTGTAATAGAAAATAATTTTATACCTACCTGTGTTCAATATTCTTTGGTTTGCTATACTACTTAGTTTAAGTTTATTAGAAATCGTTCTTATTTCGTGTGTAATGCAGCGTGTGTTGAATCGTGTGCGAATTATGCAAAATATGTGAGAGTCTAGTGTATCTCAGGAGATGCTCCCGCCCAAACGTAGAAAACACTATTCTATTGAGACTAAGGAAGTTATAAACGATGTTTATTTGACTCTCATTGAATGTGGTGCCAGCAAGCAAGCATCTTTAGAAGAAATCCCATTTCAGCGAGGAAAAAATTTTCTCGAGTGTAGATGAACGTGATCAAGATCAAAATTTACCAGCTATACGAGGAACAAAGCGTGCCTACATTAGATATCTTAATTAGGAGGCTTGAAAAAGATGAAACCGGTGTTAAACGTGGCAGAACTACCTTATGGAAGTGTATGCGACACATGGGTTTTAGATTTAAAAAAAAAATTGAAAAAAGGCAAGTGTCGAAATGGCGACTGAAAAAATTAGGATTTACAGAGAACAAAGGCCAATTATTTACTTGGATGAAACCTGGTTCGACACTTATGATACCCCGGAAAAAAAAATATGGCCCTATAATAGTTCCACCCAGAATGTTGGACCTCCCACAAGTAGTGAGGATTATGTTGTCTCACCTATCCAAAGAATTATTAATTATACCCAACATCCAGTGGTAATGTCGACTTTTTAAAATTTTCTGATATTTAAATTTTATTTCTTGGACATTTAACGCTAAATATGAGATATCAAGATAATTTACCACATTTTTATTGCAAAAAGACACATGCCGCATGAGAATTTTACAAAGTTTTGTTATTATATCAAAGAACGTGCTCTAGCGGGATCACTAAGAACTAGACATATTGCAGGTAAGGCGGGGTTGCCAGAGCCATAAAAAACTTTTGTTAATGAAACCATTAAAATCATTAAAATCCGTTCAATCATTGATGAATTACAGCTGTTTATAAAAAAAAAATTAAACCATCCCCACCACTTTATTTTCATACATACGTAAAGAAACATTTTTTACACGCCCCCTGGCGACCATCTTGGAGGGCTAAAAATATTTTCCACGATCTTCTATTTACCAACTGTACTTTATAATAATGAATAAATAAATTAGTTACGTTCACGTGTGCTTCTCGTCAATGTAATTAATTTCTGAAGGTTCGCCTGTAACAACTTCTAGCGAGATTTTTCGTTGTAATTATTGTTTTTTTCGAATAGGTAACTTAAATCTCACGAAAAACATCAAACCATTGATTCGTGACGAAAAAACAAAGAACGCGTACGAATCGCCTTTCGACCACGCCCACTTATGACCGGATATATACCCCGAACTGTCGGACTTCCCAAAGAATTAAAATGTGATCAATCCTTTAGGAGTTACAGGTGTTTATTTTTAAAAAATCTGAACCATCCCCACCACATCATTGTGATAGATACGTCGAAAAATATTTTTTTACACTCCCCCTGACGACCAGCTTGGAAATCTAAAAATATTTTCCACGACCTTCTTTTGGCCAACTGTACTTTAAAATAATGAATAAATAAAATAGTTACGTTAACGTGGTCTTCTCGTCAAGGTAAACGTGTTTCTTTTTTAATAAATTTCTGAAGGTTAGTCTGTAATGACTCTTAGCAAGATTTTCGTTGTTAATGTTGTTTCCTTCGAATAGGTAACTTAAATCTTAGGAAAAAATATCAAACCATTGATTCGTGACGAAAAAACAACGAACGCGTACGAGTCGCCTCTCAACCACGCCCCCTTATGACCGGATATATATATCTATACCTCGAACTGCCGAACTTCGAGGATACGTCGGAACGAATGCTTCATGAACGTGACGAAGTAGTTCTCGGTCAGTTTGTAGTGCTTCTTGCGTCGTTCCACGCCCACCGTTAGCTCCCTCACGTTGCCGATCAATCTGTCCATAATCTCGGCGCTGTTTTGAAATTTCTCGCTCAGCTGCCGGTACCGGTCCGTCACGTGTCCTATATTATCCGACTCGGTTTGGATCCGGTATATGTTGCGCGTCAGCTCGCTTATCTCGTGGGATACTTGAACTACCGCCCTATGTTTCATAGACAATTTAAACCAGATAATTTTTACAATGTTCTTCTTTGTTTCCGTGTCTTTTTAGATGACTGCTCCACGGATGGTAATAATAATTTTATATTTACATTTCTGCACAAGTTATGAGAAAATGATAAAATTATTTTAAAGCATGCAGGGTAGCTCGAAAAAGCGTGACGAATAAAACATACATTTTTTGGTAAAATTTGTTTTGAATTCGACCACTCATCATATTTGATATTAACGTTATTCGAAGATGACGGAATTTCGTTTGAAAGCTACAGGGTGTTCAACGTAAACGAATACATTTGGATCATTTTAAATTGAAAAATATCGATTTTCTTGAATAGCACACCATATATGTTTTTTTTTTATTTATTTACTCTTATTTATTATTTACCTTTCTTTCTGTCTAAGACTATTGGTATAATATTATATAAATACAAACATATAAATATACATACACGAGAAAAACTTTAAAATATAAAATATAATTCAGCTTACTTAGTTTTTTCTTTAATTTACTGACACCACAATAAATTTTATTAATTTATATAGTCTTGGAAAGAAAAAGGGGTAAATATTCAAAAAAATATTAGGTTTAGCTATATATTATTTTTAATAAGTAAATTCGAGAATTTTATAAGGAATTCCGTTGTTAGTTTGAGTGACTCTTTATGACCAGTATTGGGCAAAGTCGAATTTTTATTAAAAAAATCAAAAATCAATTACTTAAAAAAAATGAATATAAACATTTAAAAATATTTAAAAAATCAGGAACGGCGGATCGGAATAAGCAGCTACTCACACCATATCATTTTATATCATATATGTTGAACCCTCAAAAGCAAAAATATGAGTTAACACCTGAAGAAAAGAATCTGGCTTTAGAAACAATTAATAATTTATATGGAAACACTGGATTTTTGCCATTAGTAATAAAATTGAATGCCCGCAGTTGCCCATTTAACAATTTTTTTTTTTGGGATAAAATAACCAAAAACTTTCAGCACTTTTGTTTTTTGCACACCGAGACATAAGGATCGGGATGGTAAATTAGTATTTTTGTGCAAACTATACAACGAAAATGCAGAAGCGTAAAGTGCATATTATCATGTTATTTGTCTTATTATTTTAGATAGTTCTGTTTTACTGCCATTTGTTTCTACGTTGTGCTTTTTGTGTCTGTCTCGATAAAAAGATTTTAAAAAATAGCAGCTTAATTTAAATCATAATTTTAATCGTGATTTAAATCACCTGATTAAAATCAGACCTGCACCTGTTTATAACTTTTGTATTTACCGTTTTCTTGCGAACTTTGCTGTGTCGTTGACTGGCTCTGTATAAAAGTAACATCCCGATACCCTCAAAGTGTGTAAAGTAAATCACATACCCATTTTAAATTAATATTTGTCCGTAAGTAACGGACAAGACGGTGCCGGAGTTTTCGGGGAGTTTTCCGTTAGTTCACGTCGAAATCATTTGACATTACGTGCGAAACAAATAGCGAATACGAAAATAATAATAATAATAAATAACAATTTTTAAAAAATGAAAATAATTTCCTGCATTTACTTAAAAACTCGAACATTTGCGAAAATTTAAATTTTCCCGCCAAAAGTGGTCCAGAACCGGCTGTACCATACTACTTCCGTGCAAGTAAGAACCCTAACCTCAAATCCGGCGGTCTCGCGCCCAACTCGGCGGCCTCGGCCGTTTTCGCCTCGACGACGCGTTTTTTGAGTGCCGACGAAGCCTCGGCCTCCGCCACCTTGCCGCGGAACTCCTCGATCCTGCGCTTTGCGAACTGACCGTTGACGACTGCCTGGTCGCGTTTAGCCCGACGCTCTTCGAGCTCACGCTGCAACGGCCACATCCGCTCCTCGATCTCTTTGCACACCTTGCGCATCGCTCCGATCTTCTCCTCCCTTTCCTGGATCTGCGCCCGCATCTCCTTCATCTCCTCCGTGGCCTGTTCCATCGACGCCTTGTTCTCCTCGATCGTTTTCCTCAATTCCGCAGCCTCGGTTTCCTAGAGGGAAGCAATGCGGACGTTAGTCCGAGTTAGACGGTCACTCATCTATATTATGAAGTGCGAACTGACGTCACCTGGCCCACCCGTTTAATGTAAGGCGAATAACGCGGTGAAATTAATTATTACTTACGACTTATTAAATCGGTGAGTAAGTTCAGTAACTTATTTGAGAGTCGGTCGGGTTTCTAAAAAGGTAAGTTCACACAGGATGCTAGCATAAGCAGAAGGAGTTGGATGAAAAGCAAAAAGTAATTGCCTTTTTTTCAAAGAAACTTCCCCGGGCTACCGTAATACTTTTTACAAAACTTCTGGATTCCTCCTGCATCGGTTTTTGCTGAGTCGAAATTGCTGACGTTTCGTACCTGCTTATATATTGTTTGAGGGGGGCGCTAATTCCCAAATTGGTGACAGGTAGAGACCTGAGTCGCGGTTAAGATTGTTGGGTTGTTTATAGAGATTTCTATAGACTCTCGGATTTTTCGTTGGTAGAAGAACTGATCACATGCAAGAATTTTAATTTTATCAAATAAAATTTTATGTTCGGTTTCTCTCGGCAACAGCTAATGAGTTTATTTGTCTTAGTCGTAAGGCTCCTTCGTGTTCTTTGACCCTAGTTGATATTTTGCGTGGGTGTAAGGTATGTGGTGCGAATATATAGCCTCCCGCATACAAATGCCAACCTCACCTTCACGAGTTACAACATAAGTTGTACGGCGCACCCTGTTTCAACTGACGAGGATATGGCGACCGAGTGACTACCGGTATAAGTAGTCCCCCAGTTGCTGGTGAACAGTTTCGGGTGGAGGAACCAGCAACTGGAAGGGCAACTCATTGTCCTGGGGTTGAGAAATTGGCCCCGAAGGCGGAAGAACCACTAAGATGGTCAACGGCGTTGGGATGTAGAAGGAAAGGAGAAGCCACTACAGTAAAGATCCTATAGGATATCTCTAGTAAAATCATCATGGCAATAAACCAGACCAAAGACCTTACTGATCATGATATTCGGAAGTCAAGATCCGGCAGGAGGGGAAACAGGGCCTCTCAGGTCGTCAACATGCGAAAACCCTGTCAAATGACTAGTAAACAAACATATAAGATTGGAACATGGAATGTCACTAGCATGTATGAACCCGGAAAAGCACATAATATTGTCCAGGAAATGCAAAGAATGAACATCAATATCCTAGGTGTAAGCGAAACGCGTTGGCCGGGAAGTGGAGAATGTCAGTTGAAAGATCAACATCTAATATATTACTCAGGTAGCTCCGACCCTCAGCACCGACATGGAGTAGGCATAATAATCAACAAAAATGTTTCCCGATATGTTCTGAACTTCGTACCACTGTCAGAACGTGTAATGTTACTACAATTTAGGATGAACATAGGAAGGATGAACGTAATCCAAGTATATGCGCCAACAGCAGACAAAGATGATCAGGAAGTAGAAATGTTTTATGAACAAATAAACGAAATACTGAAACAAGTCAAAGCAAAAGATGTAACAATAATAATGGGTGACCTAAATGCTAAAGTTGGTAAAGGAAAGACAAATAATCTAATGGGAAACTTCGGTCTGGGGGAAAGGAACGACAGAGGTGAAAGGTTAGTACAATTCTGCCAAGAGAAAAATATGTTTATCACAAACACATGCTTTCAATTACCTAATAGACGTTTATATACATGGATATCACCACAAGATAGCAAAGAGAAAATAGTTAGAAACCAGATAGATTATTTAATGATCAATGAAAGATACAGGAATGGTATAATGTCAGTTAAAACATATCCGGGTGCAGATATACCCTCTAACCATAACCCACTAATTGCAAAAGTAAGGATAAAATTAAAAAGAATTGACCATAGAACAAAGAAAGATACAATTGACACTAATCAATTGTGTAATCCAGAAACAAGGGAAAGAGTGAAAAATAAGATAAATGGGGCATTGCAAACCTTGCAATGCATAGAAAATAACAATGAAGAACATATAAACAACAACTGGCTCCAGTTTAAAACAGAAATACTAAAAACATGCAAGGAACAACTTAGTAAGAAAACAGAGGTAAGAAAGGAATGGATGACAACTGAAATATTAGGTCTCATGGACGAGAGAAGAACATACAGAAACAAAGATCAACAAAAATACCGATATCTACAAAGCAAGATCAGAAGTAAAATTAGGGAAGCCAAAGAAAACTGGCACAGGGAAAAGTGTGAGGAAATCGAGAAATTACAAAGTAGACATGATGGTTTCAATGCGCACAAGAGAATTAAAGAGTTAACCAACAAACGCAATTACAATAACAACTTGCTGGTGGATGAAAATGGAGATATTATTATGGACACAAAAGAAAAATTGAAAGTATGGAAAAACTATGTAGAACAACTGTACGAAGATCAGCGAGATGAAGAAAGTAGTGAGTATGTATGTGATGATATTGGACCAGAAATAACGAAGGACGAAGTAGAACACATCATCAAGGAAATGAAAACCGGGAAAGCTACGGGACTGGATGAAATACCAGCAGAAGTTCTTAAACTCATTGACAATCATAACATACATCTTCTAACACATCTCTTCAACAGTGTATACAAAACTGGAATTTTACCGAAAGAGTGGCTACAATCAACATTTATAACTATCCCCAAAAAGACCAACGCAAGACAGTGCTCGGACCATCGTACCATCAGCTTAATGTGTCACATACTTAAGGTACTTCTGAAAATCATCCATCGCAGAATATATAAAAAGTTAGAAATAGATATTGAGGATACGCAGTTCGGTTTTAGGAATGGACTAGGGACTAGAGAAGCACTGTTTGCCTTCAACGTATTAACGCAGCGGTGCTTAGATGTAAATCAGGATGTGTACGTTTGTTTTCTGGACTACAATAAGGCATTTGACACCGTCCAACATAAAACACTCATAAGACTGCTTAAAAGTAAAAACATTGACTCTAGAGACATAAGAATAATAAATAATTTGTATTACCAACAAGAGGCCGTGATAAGGGTACACAATGAGGTGACAGACAGAATAAAAATAAAAAGAGGTGTTAGACAGGGATGTGTCTTATCACCATCTCTGTTCAACCTATACTCCGAAGAAATATTTAAGAGAGCACTCCAAGATGAAACAGCTGGAGTAAAGATTAATGGCTTACCCGTTTGTAATATTAGATATGCCGATGACACCGCGCTAATAGCAGAAAATATGGATGATCTACAGAGAATTACGAACAAAATTGTAGAAGTAAGCGAAGAGTTTGGGCTCTCACTCAATACAAAGAAAACTAAATTTATGATAATTACAAAAAAATCTATTATAAATACAAACCTTTATATAAAGAATGAACAGATAGAACAAGTAAGGAATTATAATTATCTGGGGACGAACATTAACGAGACAAATGACTATTCCAAAGAAATCAGAATAAGAATAGAAAAGTCCAGAAGTGCTTTTAATAATATGAGGAAATTGTTGTGCAGCAGGGATTTGAGCTTAAGTTTGAGAGTGAGGATGCTTAAATGCTATGTTTTCTCGGTCCTCTTGTATGGCGTGGAGGCCTGGACTTTGAATAAACAATGCCTGAATAAACTAGAAGCTTTTGAGATGTGGACGTACCGAAGAATTTTAAGGATATCCTGGACGGACAGAATGACAAACGAACAAGTACTTGTAAGGATGGACAAGCAACGTGAAATAATGGATACGGTCAAAATAAGAAAATTGCAGTATCTGGGGCATATTACACGCGGAGAAAAATATAAATTGCTACAACTGATTATGCAAGGTAAACGGAGTATCGGAAGGAGAAGGATGTCATGGTTGCGTAATCTGAGAGAATGGTTTGGATGTAACTCCAACCAATTGTTTCGTGCTGCAGTCTCAAGGATACGAATTGCATTGATGATTGCCAACCTTCACAGCGGAGATGGCACGTGAAGAAGAAGAAGATATTTTGCGTCCAGTCTCTCTAATGTATTCTTCGTCGCATATGCATGGAATGCTGTAAACTCCTGGCATCTCAAATGGAATTTTGTCTTTGACGGACCGAAAATGTTGAGAGATTTTTGGACAAGCGGTAAGTCTGGTTTTGACGCTATACTTCTTTAGAACTTTTGATATGTGGTCAGTGATGTTTTGAATGTAAGGAAGGACCACAGTGGCAAGTGTAGGATTGCTTTCGGCCTCATTGCTATTGGAAGGTTGTGGTATTTTTTGATGGAACTCTTAATATCTTTAATGTGAAAATTATTAGAGAGAAGAGCAGAGGTGAGGTGTTTTAATTCTGGGTTCAGCGACGGGCTGAGAAGTTATACGGCTCTGTAAACAAGAGAGTTGATGGTGATGTGACCATGCATTAAGGTATCGGTCTGTGTGAGTAGGTTTTCTGTGAACACAATGACCCAATGTTGATTTTCTATTGTTAAGAATATGTAAGAATGAAGAACTCAATAGTAAAATGTATGTTAGGGTGTATAGAGTTTAAGTGTCGAAGAAAATCTACTAGAGTTTCTTGAACATGAGGCCAAATAACAAAAGTATCATCGACGTAGCGGTTCCATAATTTTGGTTTAAGATGAAAGGTGTCGAGAGCTTTCTTCTCAAAGGCTTCCATATATACATTCGCGATCACTGGTGATAGTGCACCCACTGCACCCATTACATAAGCGCTAGCAAATCATAAACGACGAAAAACCGTTTTACTTTTTTTTTCTTCTTCTTTCTCATATTTCCGCTTGATTTTTGATAATGCAAAATCGATTTTTCTACTTCCCTCTCCCTTCCTAAAAACACTGTACACCATTGAATAGCGACAAAACCCTCACAAATTGTCCCAACGAAATCCCACTTCTGATGTTAGAACGATTCAGGCGCTTGCTTGCTATTTCGATTGAACACTCCTCACCAAATACTGGAGATTGTGCACCTCGGGCTCCGCGGACTGGTTCAGTTCGTCGTGCTCACGTCGTATCTTGCTCCTCGCCATCTGAACCTTCCTAATCTTCTCCTCCAGGTGGCGCGCGGTCAGCGTTTGCTGATTGATCTCGTTTTGGAGCGCGCGCAGTTGGTGCAGGACCGACTGCTTCTTGTCGGACAACGAGTTGATGTTCTCCTGCAGTAACCTAAACGAGACCACGCCCCGTTTTCCCCCTCCCCACGCGGAATAACAACGCCTTACCGCATGTGCTCTCTGGTGTCTACCTGCAGGTAGCGACACCTGTGGTAATTAGAGGCGTAGGTCTTGTAGTTCGGGTCAGGGTAGTACTTGTCCCCGTTCGTGGTCAGCCCCTGCTTGCAGTTTGTCGGCACCCTCGCCTACGAGCGAATTAAAAATCAAAATGGCGCTAATACGAAAAACCACACAGAATGCCGTAGCTTAAATTTTGTAAACTCTAACATTCGTGACTCTATGTCTCCCACCTGCTCTGCGAGTAATTCCATAGCTCGATCGTTGGTGGGGATCAGCAGGATGTTCTCAGGAGAGCACTGGTCTACTATGCAATTGCTCACTATCGGGTCCTCAATGTCCAGAACGTCGTACAAGCTGACACAATCGCCCGGGGCGGCGACCTTGTTTCTACTCACGTCGTGTCTCTGAAAGGTTTATTTGAACTACCGACTTGCGAAGAGCTCCGAACATTTCGAATCGTAAGCGAATGACGGTACGTTTGAACAACCAGGTTTATCCAGATCGACTTGAATGAGTTGAGCAAAAATTATCAACATTATTCACACCATGGTAGAAATTAAGAACGAAAGATAAATTTATTACTAATAGCGCTTCTCTAAATTATGGCTTCAATACTGTATAATTCAACTAGCGACATTTTTAATATGTTTAAACTAGCACCTACCATAGCTTCTACAAATTTTTCCACAACAGTTCCTCCAGATTTATTTTAACAAGAGAAAAATTCCACGGCCCACCTCTTGGTAAACTATACCTGTTACTCTCGCAACATTTTTATTTTAAAATTTTTGAAAATTACCTTCGACTAGTCAAAATTTGTATTTCAAACATATTTTCATTTTCACAAAATGGCATATTTTTCCAAATTTACTTCAACAAGTCGAAATTTGTACGCTCCTTCTCCCAGGACATTTGAACTAGAGACCGCCCTCACAAAGACATTTTCATTTTTACAAAATGTTGTTCACACTTTTAAAAATCCGCTTAAACAACATTTGAAATCTCGGTTGCCATAGCAACGACATTTTTATTTTCACAAAATCACGATCAAAGATTTTTCAAAATTTACGTCACGTTAAATTTGCATGGGACACCTCCACGCACATCATCTTCACAAAATCTTGTTAAGATCTTTGAAGATTGTCTTCAACAAGTCAAAATTTGTTTGAATAAATCTCCCTATCCATTTGAACTACCGAATACCCTCGCAACGACATTTTTATTTTCACAAAATCTTTTTAACATTTTTCAAAATTTTATTCAATAAATTCGAGTAAATCTCGCTATACATTTGAACTACCGGTTTCCCCAGCAACGACGTTTTTATTTTCACAAAATATTACTCACACTTTTCCAAATGTACTTCAACAAGTCAAATTGTGTTTGAATACATCTAAATAAAAATAAATAAGAACTAAAAGTTCAGATTTTCACGAAATTATACATTATGACATGACAATTGTTTCGACAACATCGTGTCTTTATCAAATGTACATCTCCTTATACATATGAACTACTGACTGCCTTCGCAACAACATTTTTGTTTTTAATCCCGTTAAGGTTATTCAAAAATTTCTTCAAGAAATCAAAACTTGTTTGAGGATATCTCAAAAATTTCTTCAAAATAAGTCAAAATTTGTTTGATTAAATCTCCCTATATATTTGAACTACGACATTTTTATTTTAACAAAATCTAGTTAAGATTTTTCAAAATTTCCTTAGACGAGTCAAAATTTGTGCGTTTCAACGTCCGGTACATTTGGACTATCGACTGTCTAAGCCAGATTTTTCTAAATTTACTATCTGCAAGGACAAAAACACGGGTGGGCCGTTGCGCAACCGTGGTACGTTCGGCGGCACTCACGCGATAAATAAACTTCGACGTGATCACGGTCGGGTACTGCTCTCCCTGACACGCCCTCGCGAATATTTGCTGCAACAGCTGGCCGTCTTTCCTGTTATCCACGACGAACGCCTTGATGTTGCCGCCTCCCAGGTAACCTTCGATCGCCACCGCCCACTTTTTCTCGCGCAACTTTATGTGGAAACCTACACAACGATGACGTAAACGTGGCAACGTCGCACCCCGCGCGCCTTACCCAACGGTCCGCGAGGCACATGCGCGAACTCGTTCTTGCGACGCTCTATCTCCTGCACTACCGTCGAGATACCATTGCCGTAGAGCGTCAGAGCGTTGCCGGACTCTCTTTCCAACGCTTGCAGGCTCCTTCTCTCCTGAGCTTTATATTTCAAACACGGCAATTATAACATATCTTTTTTTATATACCGAGTGGCTATTAGCGAAACAGATAAATGGACCATATACAGGGTGAGTCGACAAATAAATCGGCGTGCATGATAAAAGTGATAGGTTTTTGTAAGATTTTTCAGAAAAATTAACAATATACGGGGGGTTTTCTCATTGAATGTCAATAATTAAGGGGCCGATTTTTGGTTCAAAAAGAAAACTTCATATGAACATATGTACCTCAACGTCTCAATTTTTGAAGTACAGAGTGGTAAAGTTTTCTGAAACCATGCAGTACGTGGTAATTATAAATGACGTCATCACGTCTAGATTGAGGGCGAGAAATGGTGATTTTCGTTTGGATTTTTTCAAATATCTCGAACAGCGTATGTGATAGACGAAAACCGTAAATACAAAAATTGTAGCCTTTGATACGGCCTATAACACAGTTTAAACGGATTAGCTATTAGATTTTTGTCGATAACTAAAACACCTTGTATATAGTCAATAAAATGCGTGAAACAAAAGTTATAGCGCCGGGCGCCAATTAAACGATGTGGTTCCAAATAAAATGATAAATTTAAAAGCACTCGATGTCAATAGATTTTGCTGAAAATGGCTTTTTGCTGTACTAAACGAAAGATTTATTAAAATCCGATTTTTTTAAATATAATTAGTAACTACGGTGATATGATAGTAATAAAACGCTTTCATTTGCAAAGCAATAAAAAAATACGAATATGTACAATTTTAAAACATGTTGGTTACCCGAAACGATTTTGTTTTAGACGAAGCGTACATAAATGATGAATGAAAGCGGCCCCGGAACACTACCCTGAGGCACACCAAAAAGTATTTCTATAGCAGTTAAGTAACGTACCGATCTGAGCCTCGATTTGGTCAACCTCCGCCTTCAAACTGTTCTCGTCTTCGTGCTTCCTGGCGAGATGGCTTTTCGCCTGGAATAGCTCGTTCTGCGTGGTTTCCAACTGATCGGAAAGGCCCTTGAGCTGATCCCTGAGGGCTTCGAGCTTTCTCAGCCGTTCGTGTTTCTGCTCCGCCACCTTAGACATACTGCGACGACGACGAAAGGTTAGCCACGCCCACGCCCATCCCGGTTACGTACTTTTCGGTAGCGTTAGCGATTTCGTTTTCCAAATAGGCGACGTCTTGGGTTTTCGATTCCGCCACGACGGCCGCCGCTCGTCTGTCTCTCTTCTTCGCGTTATAAGCGTCCATCAGTTCGTCGAGCTGACGCCTGAGGTCGCTCTGCTGCCGTCTCTGTATGTCCGCCTGCTCTTTCAGTTCCGTCATCTGCCGTTCGATGTCGCTGATATCAATTTTAATTTTACAAGGTTGTTGTCCCGATTCGGATCTCAAGTTAATAGATTTGGTACAAAAATATATATACCAATTGATATTAACCCCAATCGTTTATTGTTACGCACAGATCTGCTGGTGTCCCTTTGTACAGGGTGTTTTAAAAAAAGCTTCAGATGAATATATATGTCCTAACTTACAGGGTGGTAATACCACTTTAGATATATTAATGAAATTTGGCACACATGTACAAGAGTCATTAGTTAGTGTGAAGTCTGTTCATAGATATAAGAAAGTGACTAACTGATACAAATTAAGGAAAGACCCGGGCAAGCAAGCAAGCATAATTCGCACACGATTCAACACACGCTGTATTACACACGAAATAAGAATGATTACTAATAAAGTTAAACTAAGTAGTATACCAAACCAAAGAATATTAAACACAGGTAGGTATAAAATTATTTTCTATTACGGACCACAATTTTACGTGAATTTAAATTCGGAAACTTTAGGTGTTGCATTGTATGTTAATGACCACCCTTGGATAATCCCATTCAAAAGCAATTGGCCATTTTCTTATATCTATGAACATACCATCCCACATTTTTTAAAAAATACACCTGTGGCGGGTAGGTAGTGCTTTTTTTTTTAATTAGAATCCTCTATTATTTATTATTGTTAGGATGTCCACACAACCAGTGCAGTGGCGACCTAATGAAATAAAATATTATTTGTTCATAGACAATTAGTGTCACGCCACCGATTTTCTGAAAAAAAAATTATGACATTTGCATTCATTTATGGGCAGAAATGATCTCTTAATTTTTTTTTTATTCCGTCACACGATTTTCACTTAAAAATAAAACCTAATCCCAAAATGGACAGGTGAAATTCAGCACGTCCGCCACTGGTGTATTTTTTAAAAAATTGTGTTACACTAAATAATGCTCCTTGATAAGTAATAAATAAATAAATAAATAAATACCCTGTACCCTGTACCCCAAAAGTTAAGACAAGTTTTCTTCTTAAAATGGACGCAAAAATCGCCCCGTTTAGAAAACACCCTGTATAAAACGGAAAACTAACCTTATACAATGGGCGATGGTGTCCGATTCGTTTTCCCGTTTGTTGCAATTTTCGACGAAATCGTCGAGCTTTTTTTTGATTTGTTTCGCGTTCTCTTCCGCCTCGCAGTAGTCATCTTCGACGTCCCTGACCTGGGCCCACATGAGCTCCCGTTGCAGTTCGAACTTTTTGTCCTTGAGACTGACGATCGACTGATGGTTTTCGATTTTTTTCTTCAAATTTTTTATTTCGTCCTTCAGTTTTTGGAAATTCTGTCATGGGAGGTCTCGATTTAGACCAAAACGTAAACACAATCAAATCAATTTTTCAAAAAAACAGCCGCAAGCTAGCGAGAGGACTTAGTACGTAGCGCGAAGCAGCTTTTTATTATAAAAGGGAACAATTTCGCGATTTCGTATGGCAAAGGGACGCATTGTTTTTCTATCGTCTCCTGCGGACCACTATGGAACTTTCGCAAAATCGAAGTAATTTAATTGTGCATGCACCCTGTATAAAATGTCCTTCACATCTCGTCGAACTTCAAAGTTACAGCAAACATCGGTAAATATCAAAATTTGCACAAATAATCAAATATCTCGCGCCCTGTGTAATTGACTAAACCTGAAACTCTCACGACACGGTTTACTTTACGATACTGCTCAAATAAAATTGTCCGATCTTTAACGGTCTTTCATTTATCCCCGATAATATAGCCCTGGATTTTCCACATATCCTGGTTCAAGAATTTTTTGAAAATAATAAATGGTTTTCGAGAAAATAAGTTTTTTCTGAAACCATGCCGTCTGCCGCAATAATCAATGACGATTTTTTCAAATATCCCGAAGTAAAGGACGAAAACCGCAAATAAAAAATTTGTAGCTCTTGATGCGGCCTATGACACGGTTTGAACCAATTAGCCATATTTTTACGATTTTAGATTAGCGGCGAACAATTGTAAAAAAACAATTTTCCGGGTCTTTTAGATTTTAGAAAAATAGTATTTATGACGGTCACAGCCTCCTAGACACAATTTTCAAAAATTAAATAGAAATTTAAAAAAACAAAACAAAAAGAGCAAAAGCGTCCTGTCCAAGGTAGAATGATTTCCGGAATCAAAAAATACAAAAAAAAATAGGTCGTGCGATTTAAAATTCGAAAATTACTGTCGTTTCCGCTCATACCGCAACGATTGACCACATATTGTCAAAAAACCCCTTCCAAATTTCAAATCGCTATCTCAAGCCGTTTAAAAGTTTCTTGTGTCATCCGGTATAGTACTACTGCAGTTATAGTTCTCGGATCATAATGACCAAAATTTATAAATGTATTATAAATAGTTTATTTTTGAATAATAATATTTATTACAATTTTTCTATTTTCATTTTAAGCTTTAATTTACTTGATGTTAGAATAAATTATTATCTGCCCATGGGTATAATGATGTATAATTAATAGTATATTTATTATTATAATAAACCGATTCTAAATTAGGAAAGTTTAGGAAACATTTTGTCTCAACCTTTAAGCTGTTTAATGATCTCAATTATTGCAAATTTACATTTTATTACTCTCTCGCATTAAGAAACATAGTATATACATTTTGACCTATGATACCCCCTATAAACAAACGATTTTCCGGCCTACCTCGATAATTTGCTTTAAAATGGCGCCACCAACGCTCCGCAAATTTGAAATAATAACAGACTCACGCCCTTTTTCTCGTCCAATTTGGCGACACTTTCGTTCTTATTGTCCAGTATTTTCCGGTACTCCGATTCGAGAGTATCGAGCCTCGTCGCCCTCACGAACAATGCAAATTTATTTTTCGAGCTGCCGCCACTCAGAAAGTTCCTGGACGTGTCCTGGTTCAACACACAAATCGGATTGTCAATTTGAATGTTTAGGTTCGCCGTAATGTTCTGCACTTCCTTGGCCTGCGTCGAAACCACCTCACCTTTTAACACACATAAGAATCGAGTGGCACGAAAATGAGGTTATATAATACCCGTAGCGGCTTTAACTTTGTAACTACCGCCGCCGGAAGCGTTCACGTTCCTCACGATAACGATACGGGAGCCGTACACCCTTGGCTTATAAGCCATGGGGCCTTCGTTGCACAACTCGATTTCTACACTACCCGATGGCTTCCCGACTTTGACGAAACCTAAAATTAAAACCGTGAAGAAATTCACATAAGGCTGGGGTACGCAGGCAGCGTTCACTTTTCACGCTGGTCCCTCGATTGGTTAGATTTGCTTTGCCCCCTAAACCGACAATCAGACCTGTTAATATGGCACTCTTGCCGCTACCGTTCTTCCCGATTATCATGCTTATGTTGGTTGCAAAGTCCACCTCGAGAAACGAGTGGCACATAAAGTTCTTTAACGCTATGCGGTTTATAACGCCGGCTCTCTAAAATACACAACCATTTACAAGAGCGCAGGATTGAGTCTCGCGCTTACTCTACGTAAAGAGGATTCGTCATCTTGCGCCCCTTTGGATCTCTTGCGAGAAGTCGACGCTGCCTCCGACGGCAAGGTCCTCCTTTTGCGTTGCATTGTATCGGACTTTATGCGATGGGTGCTGCTCGCTTAATTTCGCTGGATTTACCATGAAGTTATAACAAAATACTTGAAACAACACGGAAGCGGTTGCCCCAAACGGCTTTTTCGCGCCTCTAACCGAACAAAACAGGGCATGGAATAGACAACTGTTTTTGGTACCTTCGTAATCTGTGACAATGTTCGTCCACGGATAAAGCCAGTTAGGACCCGTATAGTGGTCCGTGGACCGCTAACGCTACGTCACGTCAAAAATTGTGTCACCCAGTGAGTAATGCCCGATCGTGTCAGGATATACGTAAACAAAGCCGCGCGATTTCATTAAAAAAGCACCATTCGAGATGTCGAAAAAACCTACGGTGCAAACCGCCCTCCACAAGGTGATCATGGTAGGAAGCGGTGGAGTGGGCAAGTCGGCCCTTACGTTGCAATTTATGTACGATGAGTTCGTCGAAGATTACGAGCCGACCAAGGCGGATTCCTATAGGAAAAAGATCCTGCTGGACGGCGAAGAGGTCCAGATCGATATCCTGGACACCGCGGGCCAAGAAGATTACGCCGCGATCCGGGATAATTATTTTCGAAGCGGCGAAGGCTTCCTGTGTATATTCTCGATAACGGACCACGAAAGTTTCCAGGCAACCCACGAGTTCAGGTAGAGTTTCTGTCGTTTTACGAGTGCAAGGCAACCTTTACGCTTACGGTTTTTGCAGAGAACAAATACTCAGGGTGAAGAACGACGACAATATACCCTTCCTGCTCGTGGGGAACAAGAGTGACCTCGACGATAAGAGAAAAGTGTCGTTGCAAGAGGCCCAAGATAAGGCCAGTTCGTGGGGCGTGCCTTACGTCGAGACCTCGGCCAAAACGAGGGAACACGTCGATAAAGTAACGCCCATTTTCACCATTCTTTTCCAAATTAAAGCCTTTACGATTGTAGGTGTTTTACGATTTGATGAGGGAGATACGGGCGAGGAAAAAGGAAGAAAATAAAACGAACAACGGCCGGGGTAAGGATAAGAACAAGAAAAAGAAACTCAAGTGTACGATTATTTAATGTCTCCTCTCGGGAGAGGAGAGCTTTTGCCCTGCAACCAAATAGACATTTGTGCATTTAAGGTTAAGAAATAAGGAAACACAGAATTCGTGGATTGTATATTTATTTATAATATAATTTTTTTATTTGAACATCACCGTAATTAACTTAGGTTCAGTCGTGTTGTGCGGGGTCACACATTCCGGATATCACTCGCTTCTACAAGCCAGGAGTATAATATATATTGATTATAATCATATTATTAAAAGTTTAATTATATCGTACTGTGTCTTTATACTGTATAATGTTTCAAGGTACAAAATAAAGTTGTATTTTATAATTTCGCCTACCTCATTAGCCGAAGAGGTCGCAAATTTAATAACGATATTCAAATCGGTTTTTCGCTAAACGTAAAGAAGGAAAAGCATTAGTGCAACGTTAAGTCTAAGATTTAGACCATTTATCTATTAGGTAATATAGGTTATGGTTTTCCATGCGTTTCATCCACTAACCTGGACTTTGAGCCATTTTCTTTCTAAACAGCGATTTCTACACACTTAACTCGTTTTCCCCGAAAATTTAACGAGATCTACGCATATTTTAAAATGCCGCATCGAAACTTATTGACGATCTGTCAGCGGCCATATTGGTTGTTGAATTCCGCAATGTCATTAGATAAAAACGGAATTTTAATTTTCGCGCATATTGAATAGACCTTCTCAAAATTAATTTTTATAGTTGCTTCCTAAGTACCTGTATTATAAGCGTAGGCAGGCTCTCGTTATCTCTAATAGCTGTAGATATAGAATAATCGTAAGTGTCTGCCCTGCCGACGAACTTGGCTCCGAATGTTTACGGTGCCATCGTAGGCATGTAAAGGATTTAAAATTTATATCGTCAATTTTGTTTTGAGGTGGCTACTATCAGTTAATTTTAGATAATTATGGTAACGGCCATGTTAAAGACAAATATATGTAATTGCTGACTAATGATTCTGTCATAAAAAACTAAAAACCGTTTATCATTATGCTGTGCCTGCAGCGCAGCGTGATTTTACTGTGCAACACCTACGGTCGACAGTTAAAACTTATGTTTCGGTTATTTTTTTGTTTATATTGATTCAGGTAGCGAATGAAAATATTTAAAAAAATTGTTTCATACTTTCATGTGCTACCTGAATGAGTATTTCAACAAGAAAATATAAACGAGAAATCTAAAAATTCAAGGCAATCCGCACGTTTAATGAGGAACTTTTATTTTTTATTCTTTGGTCTGACGTCAGAGCCCGCACATGTGACGTCAGTGCCTTACGCTACGGGGATGGGTTGGTGGGCGGGTCTACCAATAAAACACGGACAATTTCTTGCAGCTTATAAAATAGAATTTTATTAATTCTTGTTTTTTTTTAATTTTACAACTTTCATTTTTTTCCTTCATGTACGGTTAAAAAAATTTCACCACCTGAAATCCTTCCGCGGTCGGCAAAAGAAACACGCCTTCGCAAAAGGCATCATAATGGGTGCGGCGAACCGATAACGCGTCTTGGACTTACAAAATTCGATATACTCTTACGATAACAAACAAAATGTAAAGGGGCGCGAAAAAAAAATTGAAAGAAAATTTTTCCGAAAAAAAAAAACCAACAATTGTACAAATGGAACGCGCAAAATGGCGTTCTGCCTTAACAGCTCGGGCTGGAAATGGCGTTTGTCGTGATATGAGGTAGTACGAACTGACACGAGCCCCCCCCCTTGGCCCGTCGCTGGATCAGCTTGCTCTCGCTCGGGGGGCTCAGGCCAAACAAGATGGCCGAAGAGCAAGTGGTGGGCTGCTGTCCCCCGTCCTGCAACGCACCAAAATCCATTGATGGCATAACGTTAACGTAAAAAAGCAATCTTGTACATTTGAACTACCAATTTCAAATCTTGTGCGCACGCAAACCGTACTCTCTTTGTTGCGCCATTTTTAAGAGAAAATAAAAAAATAAATGTAAAATAAATAAATTATATGTGCTACCTATTTGAACTACCGAGACGCCAAATATCGTAATTTGTTGATTTTAGATCAATTTTATACATTTCTTATTTTATGACAAAAGTGTTACTTAGATGAAAAATATATAAACACGCAAAGGTACGGTGACAAAAAAACTCGAAGGTTTTACTAGAAACAGAAATGCGAAAACGGGCGAAATATTAAAATCAAAAGCGGTACGTTCGAACTACTACTACAGACGCTGTATTCATCAGTTTAGGAAAAAAATATAAATTTGTGAAACTCAAACCACCTGCATTTGCACAGCACAAGAAAAAAAAATTGAAAGACACGCTTTTTGCCACACTTTTAGGCAAAAAATGGACATATTACATTCCGCGGATTAGATTTGAGCTAGCGACAATCAAATAAAAACACGGAATGCATTGGAACCGCGGACAGTTTTCAAACCCGCCAAAATTACGTAAAAAATATCTATTTTAACTACTGACAAGGATCCCCTAGTCCGTTTCATACGCAATTGGCAAAGAGTTTCAAGACAATTCATTTAAAAAAAACCGCATATATTTCATCTACAAACATCGATAACAGTTTTCGTCTTCAAAAAACGACAAGGATGAAAAAATGGGTACATTTGAACTACCCGCCAACAAATAAAAAAGACGCGGTACGTTCGCACTACCGACAATTTGTAAACACGACGAAATTAAGTAAAAAAAAAACACAAACACAAAGAAAGAGAAAAAAAGGAAAAGTGAAAAACGCGATACGTGTGAACTGTTATCGCCATGACAACGATACGTCCGTGCAAACAAGCCGCACGTCAGTTTTTGTCTCCAAAAATCGGGAAAACGGAAAAGTACCCTTGAACTACCGACAATTAAACGACTAGCGAACGAATTAAAAAAACCGCGGTACGTTCGAACTACCGACAATTTTTATCCACGGCCAAATTGAGTATAAGAAAAAACTGTTTTCGGTTTTTAGCAAATTTTTCCACAAAAAAAGAGAAAAAAAGTGAAAGGGAAAAACGAGATACATGTGACCTATTATCGCCACGACAACGACCCGTCCGTGCAAACAAGCCATGTGCCTTCAAAAAACGGGAAAATGAAAAAATACATTTGAAAATAAAAAAAGGGAAAGCAAGAAAACGAGGTACATTAAAAACGTACGTTAAAACCAGGTTCACAAAATGCAAAAAAAAAACGGGAAAACGAAAAAGTACATTTGAACTACCGACAATTAAACGATCCGCAAGTCGCGGTCGTTCGAGCTACCGACAATTTTCAAACACGGCGAAACTGAGTAGAAAAAACTCTGTTTTTGGTTTTTAGCAAATTTTTCCGAATAAAAAAGTTGGAAAGGTAAAAAATGCGGTACATGTGAACTATTACCACTAAGACAAACAAACCGCACGTCAGTTTTCATTTTCAAAAAAATGCATTTAAACTACCGACGATTAAACATACGACCCGCGAACGAAGTAAAAAAAGTCGCGGGTACTTTCGAACTACCGCGGCTCACCTTCGGATACGGCTGCCGCTGTTCCAGGTAGTCGAGGTTGACGCTGAAATGCTGCTGCACCACCCGATTGACCGCCATCGCGGACTCGGCGAACTGGGACAGCTCGCGCGCCGAGTTGTTCTTCTTGATAACGGAGGGCGTGACGAGCGGCGCGGAGTCGCTCGCGCACTTTAGCCACGGGTGCGCGAGCACGCGTTCCGCGCTGATACGCTTGCCCGGTTCCTTGATCAGCAACGAAGCGATCAGGTCCTTCGCGTCCGACGAGATGCCCTCCCATTCCGACGCCGGGAAATCGTAACGTCCCTCCTGGATGCTGTGGAAGAGCAGCTCCTGACACGCGGTGCAGTTCTCGCCGCGTTCCCAGCCGCATTCGCGGCCGCACTTGCCGTAAAACGGCGGGTAGCCGGACAAGAGGATGTAGGCGATCACGCCCAGCGACCACAGGTCGCAACGCTTGTCGTACGAGTGCGTGTCGGTGTCGTTGACGAATGTCTCGACGACCTCGGGCGCCATGAACTCCGCGCTACCCACCTGTGCGACGCCCGAATTATAGTTCATTCGACAAAATAAATACATATTATTTAATTTTCAAAGGATTGGCAATTAACCGGTAACTAATTTAATTTAATTAAATACTCGATTCAAAAGGTAGTTAGCTAATTATTTCATTTATTAATTAATCGCGGTTAATCGGGTTAATCAATTTGCCTTAGCAATTAATTAATTCATACCGAATTCAATTAACGATTCACTGATTTGGTTATTACGGATAAAATGAATTGGTTAATTAAATGTAATAATGTAATTGCGAATGCCGATCGCTACCGCTAACTTAATTTATTTTATTTGTCATTAACAGCAGAAACCTATCGGATTCTAATTAACTCTCCCATGAATTAATTAGCCAATAAATCATTTAATAATTGCATATTAATAATTATGACCAATTGCGGATATAAAATGAACAGCAAATAATTAATTAAAACGAATTCAATGATGACTTGGTAATTGAGAATAAAATTAATTAGTTAATTAAAGACTATAACAACTTATAATAATGTAAATTATTGAATATTTGGGAATAATCACATGAAATCCATCGATGCCACTAACTTACGAAATTAATTAATTAATAATAATAGCAGCAAATACCTGACGGTATATAATTACCTATCCAATTAATTAATTATGCAACCGACACCAATTAATGGTGATAATCAACTCACCGATTATATAAAATATTCGGGAATTAATTAATTAATTAAAATTTAACAACTTACAAAACACCTAACGGATACTAATTATCTATCCAATTAATTAACCAACAAGTCATTTGATAAGTGAAAATAAAATGGAATTTATTAATTCTTATAATCAACTTGCCGATTATATCAAATGGTTGGCAATTAATTAAATAAATAACGAGTTCGGTTATTAATTAATTGTTCAGCCAGCAATCCGTTTGATAATTGCAAATTAAATGAAATTAATTAATTGTTCTAATTAACTCGCTGATGACATGACATGAATAAATGTCGAATTCAATTTGTAATTATTTAATTAGACAAAAATTTATTCGTTCATTGCGAATAAAGTGTCACAGATAATTGAATGAAATTAATTAATTAATAATTAAATTAATTAACTGATATTTCATTAATTATATGCAAGTACTACCAACTCATCAACACAGTTGCTAGTTGTTGGCTAGTTAGCTAGTAGCATTTCAATTAAATTTGATAATGATCAAACTAGATAAAATCTACATTATTTTGTTAACTAAGTACTTTTGTAATTTCAAAAATTGATTAATAAATTAAAAATTATCAACTAACCAACCAACACTACTCAATTATACCATTGTTCGATAAGTACATATTTTTTATTTTTAATTATTGCCGAATGTTATAATTAACACAAATAATGGAGAATTATACATATTTTCTTGTTAACCCGTTCAATTTACCGGAGTCAGGAGCTGCGGCGTTGCCAAAGGGCTCGACATGCTCGTCTGGAAACGGATGCCCGAGCCGAGGTCGAAGTCGCATATCTTCACCGGACAGAGGCGGTCCTTGTAGACGCACAGGATGTTCTCCGGCTTCAGGTCGCGGTGGGCGATGCCCTTCGCGTGCATAAACTGCAGCGCGGACGCCACCTCGCGGATTATTTCGGCGGCCGCCGCCTCGCTGAAGTACTTGTACTCCTGTATTCGGGCCAGCAACTGTCCCCCGTTAATCTAAAGGAAACGCAAGCGCGAACGTGAAGCGACGAAAGAAGCTGAGTAGTTCGGATGTATTCGACCAAAGGATTCGGATCGAAATCGAAAGTTGGAAAACTATTTTAAATTTAGCGAAATATCGTAAAATCGTATAAAAAATATCGTGCTGTCCATTCGGCTTGGTTTTAGTTCAAACGTACCGGCTCAATAGCGAAAAACATGCCTAATTGTTCAAATGTGCCTAATCAAAGTTGCAACGGTATCGGTATCGCATTTTAAAAAATAATTTAGATCGATTTTTTACGTAATTCAAAAGAGTAGTTCAAATGTATTCGGAAAACGCCGCGAAAGGATCCGCATTTAGAAAATTATTTGCGATCGATTGCAAGTAAACAAATGAGTAGTTCAAATGTACCGCGAACAAACTTATGGTGAAACAAAACGACAGTTACTTGTAGCACATTTGGAAAATTATTTTCGATGGACTTTACCTAATTTCAGATGGTAGTTCAAATGAACCGAACCAGTACCGGGAAAACGCGTGCGCGTAGATCGGATCGGCATTTAGGGAATTAATTTCTATCGATTATACGCGATTCGAGAGAGTAGGACATCGGACCCGCTGTTGGAAAATTAATTCGATCGATTTTCAAGTAAAGCAAAGGAGTAGTTGAAATGTACCGCGAACAAACTCTGGTAAAACAAAACGGCAGTTACTGGTACCGCACTTGCAAAATTATTTTCGATCGATTTTACGTAATTCGAGATGGTAGTTTAAATGAACCGAACCAGTACCGGGGAAACGCGTACGCGTAGATCGGATCGGCATTTAGGGAATCAATTTCTATCGATTATACGCGATTCGAGAGAGTAGGACATCGGACCCGCTGTTGGAAAATTAATTCGATCGATTTTCAAGTAAAGCAAAGGAGTAGTTGAAATGTACCGCGAACAAACTCTGGTAAAACAAAACGGCAGTTACTGGTACCGCACTTGCAAAATTATTTTCGATCGATTTTACGTAATTCGAGATGGTAGTTTAAATGAACCGAACCAGTACCGGGGAAACGCGTACGCGTAGATCGGATCGGCATTTAGGGAATTAATTTCTATCGATTATACGCGATTCGAGAGAGTAGTTCAAATGAACTGGACAAGTAATTCGGAAAACGCGTCGACCGACATCGGACCCGCTGTTGGAAAATTATTTGCGATCGATTTTACGTAATTCGAGAGAGTAGTTCAAAAGTACTGAACCGGTACGGACGCGAGCTGCATTACTAGCGACAACATAAAATTGACGCAAATGGTGGCGGTCGAATGGAAAGGAGTTCAAACCATCCGTTAAACGAAAAGACTGACCTTCTCGAAAACTAAATAGAATTTTTCCTCGTCCTCGAAAAATTCCGTCAACTGAATTATGTTCGGATGTCCTTGGCAGTAGTAGAAGGTCTCCACTTCGCGGAAGACGCGCGCTCGCGCATGGCCCGGCACCTTCTCGATGATCTTAACCGCGTACTCTTGATCGGTGTACAGGTTGACGCAGGTCTGTACGCTCGCGTAAGCGCCCTCGCCCAACACCTCGCCCGTCAACTTGTACAAGTCTTGAAATACAAAAACGCGTCGATCAAAGACAGAAGAGTAAGTGTATAAGTAGTAAAATATGGAAAATTGCAATTTTTTCTACTCCTTTCTGTAAAATACCAAATTAGACAAAGATCTAGTTTCCTACGGCTGTGAGTCACTTAGGATGTTTCCGGGATATATAATTCGGTGCCCTTCGTAGGGATTGCGAAAAAAACTAATAAAGATAAACAATAACATGTCGCTAATTTTCTCCGCATTCGCTATTCAATGTGGCCCTTCTTTTGAACTCCCCTGTTAGAATCTCATAAATTGTTTCCGAAAGATGTCGAAAGTAATTCGACTACCTAAAAATTGTATTGTATTTTTAACGTTTCAATTTTCATTTCCAACATTTATTGTGATTTTCATCTTATTGTGATAATAAATAATAATAATAATAATAATAATAATAATAATAAATAATGAAAAGTCATTCAAAAAATAGTGAATCATCAGATTAGAGAATTCCTTCACTGGCCAGAGCGGAATGTATTGTTTCTTTTCTTTTTTTTGTTTTTTTCATTCGTTTTCTTTACTACTATATCATGTTTTATTCCCAACTGTATAAAACTTTTTTATTAATTACTTGATAAGCGTCCGGCATAATACCCAGGTATCAATTTGAATATTAATTTCGGTGTCCAGGGACTGAACTTGAATTTTTGGTAATTGTTCTTCTGTTTCGCAACCATAAGGCTGCGATATTGAAATGTATAATTTGAAATTAAATTTGGCCTACAAACAAATAGCTTTGGTATATAGGGTGGCCACACCCTCAAAGTTGTATATATTATTTATTTATAAAAGGTGATGAGCAACATGCTAAATTTTTTACTGTAGCTTGCTAATAATTTTTATAAACAAATGATCACATTGTCCTACAAATCAACGGGTAGGATTTTTCAGTCCTACACTTTAAAGTTGCCGACCTCACGATAATACGTTATTCTTCAGCAACTGTGGGACACCAAAATTAAATGAAACTTTATGACATTTTCTATCTAAAGAAATTAATGTCCTACATAAAAATAGGTAGTCCGACAAAAAATAGGTTGCAAGTTCGACTCTTCAACGATCTAACCTATAAATTTAGTTGAGCGATTAACTTTTTTTTTTCTTAAAATATTCCTATAGCCATTATCTATGATGCTGTTTTATACAAATGAGTTTAATTAAGTTGTTTCATTATTATTCATCGATAAACTTTTGAAAAAGTAAGTGGGTGATTATATGGGCGAAGTGAGAGAATATTAATTGTCGTTATCAAAAATGTTTAATCCATGAAAATTATGAAAAAAAAAGATGTCGTTATTCATAAAACAATCACTCATTTTACTATTTTTTTCTTTTCACTTAACTGACAAAACAAAAATAAAAAAATTCATCATTTTCATTTTACATTTACTTAAAAAATAAAGCATAAACTTACCGTTCATAACATAAATAAAACTTCCTTGTAACAACGAGAGTGGTAGCCTATTACATCGTCATCCCAATGGTCAGGCAATTCAGCATCATTATATTTGCGGTTTTGATGCTTTCGAGCGTTTAGATACTTTTTACACGCGAGAAAAATGTCTTTAGTAAATTTTTTATCGTCTCTTTTTTTTCACGGAAATTAGGCTTATCACGGAGTACATTACAAAGAAAACGCTCCATGATCATCTTCACAATTAAATGTTATAAAAGAAAATTAATTAACACGTGTTGACAAGTAAACAAAACTTTTTAATGCACAATGTATGTTGTATGCGTGTGCTGGATCCGTTGCTATGCTACGCGCATGCGCATTGATGCGAATAGATAGATAGATTATTTATTCACAAAACCAGGTGGTACAATGGATGTTTCGTCAATAAATAACGAATACGAGTATATACAGGGTGCGGCAGTATAACTTCCTTTTTTTAAATGCGCGCCATTCAGTTAGTTGATGTCATAGTGGGGCGCTAGTGGTCTCGTTCAAGAGGGGGTACTGTAAAGTTTTGTCCCGACACGGTTCAGTCGCCATCATGCGTTGGAATAGTGAGGAGCGTGCCTTTGCCGTTGAGGCCTACTTTTCAAGCGGTTGTTCGGTTGTTGCAACACAGCGTGCATTTCGGAATCGCTTTAATTTAGCCCCGTCGGGTCCCGTCCCAGACCGCAAATCAATTGTTACATGGGTCACTACATTCAGACAAACTGCAAGTGCGACAAAACGAAGAACTGGAGTCCCTCGGCCCGTTAGATCACCTGAGAACATTGAAGCAGTGAGAGCTTCAATGTTGCGATCACCACGGCGTTCTGCGCGCAAACACGCATCTGCCCTTGGACTATCCGATCGTTCTGTGAGAAGAATTCTTCGTGATGATCTTCATTTTCATCCCTATAAGATGGCGATAGTGCAGGAACTTACAGAACGTGACTTCAATTCTCGGATGAACGCGTGTGAGCTTCTTCTTGATGTCGTTCCCGAGGGTGCTATTGTTTTTTTTAGCGATGAAGCCCATTTTCATTTATGTGGGTCGGTTAACAAACAAAACATGCGCTACTGGGCTGACACCAACCCTCGACAATTGCATCAAAGGCCTTTGCATTCACCCAAAGTCACAGTGTGGTGTGCAATTTCCTCAGATGGAATTATTGGTCCCTGGTTTTTTGAGGAAAATGAGGTTACAGTGACAGTGAATTCGGACCGGTATGTAAACATGCTACAGAATTTTTTTTCCCACGGCTTGAAGAGTTGGATTTGGGGGACACTTGATTCCAACAAGACGGTGCAACAGCACACACTTCAAGAGCATCGATGGCTGTTTTGAGGGAACACTTTCCAGAGCGCCTTATCTCAATTAGAGGCGATTTGGAATGGCCGGCACGCTCTCCCGATCTGTCCCCTTGTGATTTTTTTCTATGGGGTTTTTTGAAATCCCTGGTTTATGTGAACCGTCCAAGAACCCTACAAGATTTGAAGACCAACATCGAAGAAGAAATTGCCAACATAACACCAGCTATGCTAACAAGAGTCATGACAAACGCCAGATATCGGTTTACGCAATGTATGGAGAATGAGGGACGTCACCTAACAGATTTGATCTTCAAAACAATGTAAATAAAAACTTTAGACATGTACCTACATTATAAAAAATAAATAAAGATTTTCCGATGCACACAATAGTTTTTATTGAGTTTTGAAAAAAGGAAGTTATGCTGCCGCACCCTGTATTTATATAACAAATATGACAAACAAGTTAATGTAATTTAAAATAAAAGAGAGTATACATTAGAAAAATCTCGGTAAACTTTTAACGTTATTTACGATGCTCTCAGGTACGCTTCAAATTCTTTCAGGCTGTAGAAAGCATTGGCCGACAGGAGCCCCTTGATGTGTTTTTTAAATTGATTTATAGATAAATTTTTTAAGCTTGGAGACAGCAAATTATAATAATATGGTCCCGCGTAGCTTAGAGATTTTTTATAAAACATATGGTTGAGTCTTGGCTTCAGCAGATATTCTCTATTGCGAGTATTGTAACTGTGGATATCGGTATGCTTCCTATGTGAATATTTATTTTTATGTGTGATCAAAAGTATTTTAAATAGGTATATACAAGGCATTGTTAATATTTTGTGCTGTTGAAATGTCTCGGAGGAAGTTTAAAAATCAGCCTAAGTATTCTTTTTTACTGTATAAACACTCTCTCAGCATCATTCGCTCGTCCCCGGTTGACAATATTGTGTGAAATGGAAGAGTAAGCTGACGCGTAGTAAAAAGCTATTAGTGCCTTCTCAAGAAATGAATCTCTAAATGTTAATATTGCGAAAAAGGTTTTATTTAGTTTATTGCAGACATTGTCAATGTCCCGGTCCCATCTCAAGGAGCTATCAGTATAAGAACCAAGAAACTTCGTGGTCTGATTTATTTCCAATGGCGAACCAGCAAAACTGATCGATAAGCCAGTTAAAGGTTTAATTTATATATATATATATATATATATATATATATATATATATATATATATATATATATATATATATATATATATATATATATATATATATATATATATATATATATATATATATATATATATATATATATATATATATATATATATATATATATATATATATATATATATATATATACCGCCGATTTGATATAAGTATGTGTATGTATACACGTATATTCGAATATACACGTATGTACATGTAACCACGTTTAAGTAAGTGGCAATTTTCGAAATTTTCCAGTGTAGGACTGAAAAAACCTACCATTTTAATTGTAGGACAAATGTTGGTTTAGATTATTTATCTGATTATCTCAAAACTTAGTTAAAAAATAATCTGTTGCCGATAACTTTTACGTAATAATAAATTTGACATGATTTGATACCGTTCATTCTTTCAGCTAACCTGTTTCGCAACTTTTCGCAAAATAATAGCTGGGATGGTTTTTAAAAATAGTTTTGTACAACCACTTTAAAGTGTAGAACTGAAAAATCCTACCAGTTTTTTTCTAGGACAATGTGATCATTTCTTTATAAAATTTATTTGAAAAAAGGGGCAGGGCTCCCGGACTATGATTATTTTGTTGCGAAATAACTACTATTATTATGATTATCCCACGCCACTTTGCTGGCAGAGATACGGCGAATAGCATATTAAACAATTTGTTTCAGCTTTAAAATATATGGTTAACGTTAGAAAAATTTGTAGAAACAATTCCGGAAATATTTTGAATTGAATTGAAATTTACGCTTTCTCTGATTCTCTCTCTATATTTTGCAAAATAAATAAGAACTAAAAGTTCAGATTTTCACGAAATCATATATTTTCACATGACAATTGTTTCGACAACACCGTGTCTTTATCAAATGTAATATTTACACGTGCTACCTGCTACTATATATACTGAAAAATGACCAAAAAACCTTAATTAATGTTGTTGTGAGAATTTTTTAATAATGGAGAGATATTTAAATCTAATTGATCGTTAAGCAACACATTTGAATGGACCATTTTGTTAATCTCCATGGCTTCCAATAAATTTAATTTTCTACTTTTTTTGACTGTATGTAAAATATCAAAATTGTCGTCAAAAATGTGTTTTTCTGTGTTTAAGTGTGTAGCATAATTAGAATCTAGACTATTGTTTTTAAACGCTCTTTTATGTTCGTTAATGCGTTTCTTGAAGGATCTACCTGTTTTTCCAATATAAAGTTTAGGACAAGATCTGCATTTCAACCCGTAGACACCTGATTTTTGTGATTTTGGACATTTCTTTTTATTGCTTTTTAAAAATTTTCCTATTGTGTTGTCAGTTCTGAAAGCTATTTTTAAACCACATTTTGACTAATGTTTTGAAACTTTTTCACTGGGTTCTGTAATTGTTTTAAATTGTTCATGTTTTGTATTATTATTTATTTATTTTATTTATTTATTATTGTGGTAGTGCCTATTTGAATATTACTTTCACTGTCTAGGACAGACTCCTAGAACCTAGTTATAAATTTTTTTGGCATTTTCTCTCGTTAATGAGACGCACCTGATTAGTTTTTAACAGAATCAGCTCCCAAACAATGAATTAATTGGTTACGTTACCGGCAAAGAATTAAATTAAGGCGTTCTGTATAAAACTTTTCAATTCCTTTACTTTTTTTTTTCAAATCTCTAGCACCGCGCCCGCTAGTTAGTTTTTCCGTGGCGATAATATTTACCGTGGAAACAGGACGAGACCAGCGACGAGCTGGTGCGCTTCTTCCTGCGACGCTTCCTCTTCGCGTCCTCCTTGTGCCTGGCCAGCTCCTGCGCCCGGGTCTCCGGGTCCATTTGCTCGCCCTGGTCGCCGCTGTCCGAGGCGCTGCCGTTGCCGACGCCGCTGTCCCCGCTACGTCTGACCATGCTGTTCGCTTTGCCGAACATTCGCATGCCTGCGACGAATACGACGACATTGTTCTCGGGAATATTTCGATTCTCCAATTTTTTTTTTTTTTGGCGCAGCGAACTTACGGCGTTACGCCACGTGCGTCCGTTTTCGTTTCTCCGTATTCTGTGCCCTAACGAACGTTAAGAGACGCATCGACCAATCCCTCGGTTACAACTACTCTGCGGTTAAAACCGTAACCCTAACCTGAATACGTGAAAATTTTTGTTTACTCGATTTTACGAGCATGAATGAACGTGGACCGTAAATGTTTTACACAGTTATAATCAAGGCGGATGGCATTGTTAACAATTTAACGTGACGCAGTTGCTTTGACTCGATGTCATGTCGAAATTATTAACGTCAAAGCCTAATTTCCTTCCGCGTTCTGTGCCCGTACGAATTTTAAGAGAGGGACCGGCCAATGTCTCGGTTACAACTAGTCTGCGGTTAGAACCTTAACTTGAATACGTGGAAACTTCAGTTTACTCGATCCTTTTTCTTTTCGTCGATTTTTGAGTCTGTTGTAGGAGAAAGCGTCTTATCGACGAGTATCGCAAATGTTTTAACTGTCGACGCAACAGATATAATCAAGATAGACCGCATGGTTTACATTTTAAGGTGATGACAATCAACCCTATGCAGTGACTTCGTAGAAATTTCAAGAAACTTTCAATGTTTGCTTGGCTAGAAGACTCTCCGAATTAATAATTTGAAATAAGACATTTCGGCAAATTGAAAGATGTCAAGTGGACCTTATAAATGTCAATAATTGGTATGCTCTAAGGGAATAAAATCAAAGGCAAGTGTTTTATGGCCCTCTAATGTTATGACAGAAAAACTATTTTTTCATAGAAGCGATTTAAGTTGCAGTTATGCTCTGAAGGATGTTTGGCGAAACGTCAGCTAGTTCGACTTATATACAACCGACGCAGGAAGAATCCAACAGATTTATAAATAGTAATACAGCAGCAGCCTGTGGAAGTTTCTTGAAAAACTTATAAAATCTTTCTACTCAATTATTTTATAATAAAAAAAGAAAGATTTTTCCCATAGCACTTACGAAATCGGAGGCCACGTCTGTTTCTTTAACAAAACACTTTAACAAATTAATTTGAGGTAGATTTCATAAATTAGAAGCACCAAATGTCCATTTTAAAACATTGAAAAATTTGAAAAAGATTTAGATTTGTGTTTATAATTGCAAAGAATAGTTTGTGACTTTACGAATTGTATGCTGTGCAAGTTGCTATTATCTGAATGTTATCCTTTTCCTTGCTAGCCAGGCACATCAATTTATTATAAAATTTTCCAGTTACACAAAGTCTTTATTAGCCATGTCGATTCGTTAGAAGAGTCCATTCCTATCTATTTTGTTCTTTGGTCTAACTACGCAAATCGCGCGTTATTTCGGCTTCACTTTTCCCTTGGTCGAGGTTCTGCAAGCAACAGATTTGGAACCTGTATGCTGCTTTTAATTTGGTAGTTGTGCCTTATCTTGCGTTTTGGTTGGTCTATCTTTATTAAGAACATATCTATAATAGTCTTTCTTAACTAGGGGTTTTCTCTAAGGAATTTATATCGCGAGACAGATCAGTAGGAATTCGTAGACCTACGTAACCGACCCGTCGCCGACCGAAACTCTTCTGGACACTCGAGTATTTTTCCCGAGGTCGTCTCGTCCGAGTTATTGGCGACGACCGTATTACTGGCCGCTTACATCAGCAGAACGGGTTACCAAATCTCACCGTCGTTGAGATTCATTTATTTTTATGATTAGTATTAAAATTTAGTAACGATATTAATTTTTTTTCTCTCTTTCGGTCTTAATTTATTTGCGTAAGTCAATTCTATCCCCGGATAATATCATTGGGCTGAATTTATATATATACATATATATATATATATATATATATATATATATATATATATATATATATATATATATATATATATATATATATATATATATATATATATATATATATATATATATATATATATATATATATATATATATATATATATATATTTTAAAGGGGACAAAGGGTCTCTTAAACAGGGATGTTTAAAATTGTTATACAAGAAATACTACAAAAATGGAGACAAAAATGCTCAGGTATGGGAGTCAAGGTCGGCGACCACTACTTGTCAACATTATTCTTTGCTGACCATCAGGTACGAATTGCAAATGGCGAAGAGGATATAGATTATATGTTAAGGAAACTACAACATGTATATACTTAAGAATAGGTAACGAAGACGAAGATCCCGATTTGTGGTTAAGACAGGTTAATAAATGCGAAGAGTATAATTCCTTTGGGAGTATTATATCTAACAAAGGCTCATCTGTACAAGATATACAACGCGGAATACAACAGGGACAGAGGAGTGTACGAGTTTTGAATGCTTTACCATTACCCGTTTGCTGACCTCAACAAATGGCTTGGCGGTAAAAGATTTTCAAGACCAACGAAGAAGCTGCAAATACGCTTAAAACTTGGTATAATCAAACAAACAACGGAACAAATTAGAAAATAAAGCGAAAAACAAAAATTAAAAACGTATATCACACGCAACACACCTTTGGTTTTGCCCGCGATCGTTTTCCGAAATAATGTTTTTCAGCGATTTGCAAGTTTAAAGGTGTAGTTTCCAGTGGCGGGACAATTTATACGAGACCTATTACGCGTGCTAGAATGTCTTTTATCTCGTCGATGGGTCACGTGACGATTTTGCAATAACAATTTGCGGCGTTTCACGCGCGGAGCGGATGGTTTTTCGGAGCGACAGACGATTTCGGACGACCTTGACAAAATTCGGTAACCGCGGGGCCCGGTGTACCGACGACGTATCTACCGGCAACGTCAGGCAGACTACCAAATTGCTAATATTGCGCGCTAATTTTTTTAAAACCGGCATTTGGTCATAAAATGTATTATTTTCTAGGAGTAGTATCAACTACGTGATACTGAAAAAAAAAAGTTTCCGGTGATTTTCAAAACATCCCGAAATTCTTCAATGGGGTTCAGGTCCGACGATTGGGACGGTCGTTTAATTTAAACCCGTTTCAAAATCGAGACAACTCTGATTAGTTTCGGAGATATGGGGAAAAAATTTGCTAATCCAACTTTTTCTACCCTACAAATAGACAAGTTTTAAGTTCTGAAAAAAATACATGTATCACATCCGTAATAATTTGTTACCAAAGTAAAATGTAATTAAAACTCGTAATATTTAACAAATACATCAAGACTGTTTGACATTAACGCTTTTGTTTCATAGCCACCTTATTTTTGTGTAAATTTGAATTATTGAATTTTTGAATTTGAATTCTGAATTAAATGTGGAAAAGGTATGCATTATATCAAAGTGCACATATTATTGTGATTATTATTGAATAAAAATGAAATAGATTTTTAATCAGTAATTTTTAAACAACTTTAGACTATTATTTAGGTAAATTTCTATTATTTTTTAATTAAAATAAATAAGCTAATAATAAAGACGTGAAATATCATACGCTCTCTAGGCATCATTAGTAGGACGTATATATAAGGTTGTTCGGAAAGTCATTTCGTTTTTTCCCGTCAGAGGACTTAATTACGTTTTTTCGAAACCAACTTCACACTTTAGCCGCATAACCATTATATGTCTTGAGAGCTGATATTGCAAGGCTTGTGTGTGAAAAAATTCTATTAATTCTACGCAGTAGTTTTTGGTTGGTGCCCTTTTAAATATGGAGAGCAATAAGCAGCATTTTCGTCATATTTTACTATTTTACTTCAGAAAAGGTAAAAATGCTGTCCAAGCGAGAGAAAAATTGACGGATGTGTATGGAGAAGGCGTGTTAACAGTACGCCAGTGCCAAAACTGGTTTGCAAAATTTCGATCTGGCAATTTTGATGTCGAAGATGCACCACGGTCTGGAAGGCCGGTCGAAGCTGACAAAGATGCGATAAAGGCATTAGTTGATGCAAATCGGCGAATAACCACACGAGAGATCGGTGAGAGATTAAATTTGTCGAATTCAACTGTTTATGGCCATTTGCAAGGCATTGGCTTAACCTCGAAGCTCGATGTGTGGGTGCCCCATGTCCTTACGGACCGAAATTTGTGTCGTCGCGTTGACGTGTGTGATTCGCTCCTCAAACGTCAAGAAAATGATCCATTTTTGAAGCGGATTATTACTGGGGACGAAAAATGGGTTGTATACAACAATGTTAAACGCAAGAGGTCATGGAGCAGAAAAGATGAACCGGCTCAAAGCGTGTCAAAAGCCAACATTCACCAGAAAAACGTGATGCTCTCCGTTTTGGTGGGATGTCAAAGGAATCGTTTTTTTTGAGCTTTTGCCGGACAATACAACGATTAATTCAGAAGTCTATTGTCATCAACTGGACAAATTGAATGATTCACTTAAACAGAAGAGGCCCGAATTAATCAACAGGAAGGGTGTAGTGTTCCACCAGGATAATGCGAGACCTCACCCAAGTTTGGTCACTCGCCAAAAACTTTTACAGCTTGAATGGGACGTACTGCAACATCCACCATATTCTCCAGATCTGGCGCCTTCCGACTACTATTTGTTCCGGTCCCTGCAAAATTTTTTGGATGGCAAAACCTTTACTTCAAATGAAGATGTCAAAAACCACCAGAACCAGTTTTTTGCCAGCAAGGACCAAAACTTTTATGAGAGGGGAATTATGTTACTGCCAGCAAGATGGCAAAAGGTGTTGGACCAGAATGGCCAATATATAATTTAATAAAATGTTAATTCATTATACGAAAACTGTCTTTCATGTTCCCCAAAAAAAACGAAATGACTTTCCGAACAACCCAATATAACGTACCACTATGATCCTAAATGTATAATATATATATAAGGGTATAATTATTTTTCCTCCGATATGTGATACTGATTGAGATATATATGATACCATGCTCGAATCTTTATTGATATTCTTTCATATTGTTTATAATTGTTCTTCGTCCATTTTAAAATTAAAAATGAAAATCCGGTAATACAGTCGAAACTCTATTATAGCGAAATTGAAGGTACTGCTTTTTTTATACGCATTTTATATAAATATTTAAGAACTACATTTAATGTGTCAAATAATCGGTCATTTTCTTTTGAATTTTTTTAGTATGCCAATACGCATCTCGTACTTTGGTTTGTATTTTCACCACTTCTTCGACATAATAAAAAAAATTTCTAGCAGCTTAACTGAATATAGGGCTTGTTGAATGGTTGGTGGTGGTCGAAGATCAACTTCTTCATCTTCTTCTTCCTCTTGCTGCTCTTCCTCACCCTTTCTTGCTTGTTGTAATATGGCTTCCTCTGTCAAGTCTGCTGTTGTAGGCAAATCCTGATCTATCACCATAACATCTTTCAACTCCTCACTTGTAAACGTAATTGTTGTTTAAAACTGCTTTATCAACTCGTTTAGTGGCTGATCATCTTCCAAGTCCTGTTCGCATTCTGTCTCGGTAATAAGTCCCGCATGACGATAGGAGTGTTTTGAATTGTTTCTGCTGTCACCTCTTTCCAAGCTTTACTTATAGGGTTGACTGCATCTAGCATATTAATGGAAAATTTGCCTTCGGACTCAATTAAAATGTTTTTCTGTATCGACTCCTGTAAACAAGTCTGCATGTAATCCATGCAGACTTGTTTGTCTTGTAAGTGACCGGCAAATGCTTGATGCTCTTAAAACATCGCGACTAGCTTTCTTTTTTTCTCTCCCACTCAATTTTTCCACCCGCACACTTTTCGTTTCGAAATTTAAGAGTTTTATCTGGCGTCATTTTGTAAATAATACCAGTTTCGTCAGCATTAAAAATGTCGCCGGCGGGATACTTTTCTGCCAGTTATGGCCACGTCTTCTCCAGCCAATCGTTAGTGACGTTTCTGTAGACATCACGGGCTTCGCCACTTATCTGTCCGTAATTTATACCATGTCACTGTTTGAACTTCCCCGACCGTCCTTCCGAAGCCTTGAAATCGATAATGCGACGCTGTTCAGCAAACTTTTCTGCTTTTAGTGTTAGCTGTTGGAACCATTGCAACCTTGCAGGATCCAAATCTCCAAATTTTGGCTTTTTTAGTTTTTTACTAGAACTGCCTGCCGCTTCAGCCTGAATGATGTTTTCTTTGCACTTCCAAATCGTGGATACAGTCGACGGTGTAAGTCCGTACCGACGATCGAATTAAAGCAACTTTATCATCTAGAGATAAAAATTTTCGAGTTTTGCGTTATACCGAGTTTCGTTATAGGGAGTTTTCACTGTATTGTGTGTTCCGCAACTGCTGATGAGTTTATTTGTCATGGTCTTTAAGCCTAGTTGACAAGTGGTAAATCTGGTTTTGACGTTATTAAGAAGTTTTGACATGCGGTCAGTGATGTTTCTGTGAGGTCTGTGATCTGTAAGGAAGGACAGCCGTGGCTGCTCTCGGACGCATTATCTTTGGCAATGCGAGCGAGTTTTAGTTAATTAATTAATTCATTCATATTAAAATTAATTTTCGTACCATCTGCTCGATGAAAACCACTGACGATACCGATTTTGTTTAGTTTAGTATTTTTATTGACAATAATACTGCGAGAAACAAAACAAACAATCGATAGAGTAGAAATAATGAAATAGTAGGTAATATGTAAATGTCTTTTTAATAGATATGTCATCTAGGGCTCTTAGGTTGACACTCAAGATACAGAAATGAAGACTACTGTCGATAGACAACCTGTATCTGAATGCTTTAATAAATTAGCGGAACTTGTTGGTATAAAGGAGGGCAAAGCTGTTTATTATTTTTTATGGCTTTCAACCGTCAAGTCGATTTATTTTTGACTAACTTTAACTAAATAGACCCAAACTTTATAATACTATATACAATAATTATAATTATGTAAAATTAAAATTAAAATACCAATGAATTAAAAAATCCATTGCTCACTTAAAATGCTTATATGGTTATAAAAATATTTTAAATCAAACTGAAGGAAGTCCGATGGCTTAATATGAAAAATCGACGATATCTCTTGTAATGTAATGTAATCTTTATCACAAAATTATGAGATTGACGTCTCCACGTTATCTTTTCAAAAAAATCAGCTTTCGCACACACAAAATATCTTATTTTGTTCATCCGAACCGTGTCCTTTTCATTGTATATCAATACGTGAATAAAATTATTATTATTATTATTATTAAAAAGTATTTAATACGTTAAACGTTACAGATTCGTAATTATTTTTCTATTGATTAAAAAATGTGTTATTGGTATTTATAAGATTTTCGAAAGTCCTGGCTTTAGACTAAATCCATAAAATTATCCAAAAAATAACGGTTATAATAATACGCAAAAGGCTAAAAATGTACAAATAACCAGAATTTATAATTATAATAAGAAAAAAAAAAATTTGGTTAATTTTTGCCCGTACACGCATACTACTAACGTATAAGTTTTATTTTGACTCGCTGTATGATCCACCGAATGCACTTGGCAACACCGCCGAGACAGATATATTTCCAAAGCACAGGCCGTGACCTCCCGTATAAAGAGGATTTCGAAAATGTCTATTTTCGTCGGCACGATGCCCACGCCGGCGAAAAAGGGCGCTTTTTAAATAATCCCGTCTCCGCAACAAAAAAAAAAAAACGTATCAACGAGAATAGCAAAGTCCGCCAAAAACGCTTCCCGTTTCCTTGTGCCACATATATATTTATAAGCGGCGTAAAAATAAAAATAACGCGTATGCCGAGAGGCCTACGTGAGCGTTTTTCTCTACGCGGAAATGAAAATTCGGTGAAAAAAATCAGGCAAATGTTCGCGCACGCGTGCAGATTCGCCGATACGTCGAACAGCTGATCCGGCGCATGCCCTCGCCATATATTTTTATTTACATTTCGTCGGGAGATCGCGACGAATATAAAAATATTTTTCCCGCAAGCCATGCGGAACGAAGCCCGACCTGTTTTTTATCACGTCGCCGAATTTTTCGCGAGATAAAGGATTACACGCGTGTCGTCAACTTGACGTCCGTTTCATCATGCCTTTTAAAAAAACGATTCGAGCTTAATTCGTACGACGTAAATGACAACGGGGGCGATTTCGTCGAGATCGCTCGCGAAACATCGAAAAAGGATTGCCGCACCGCCGGATCAAAACCGAAACGCAGCGCGAACACGAAAATAATACGCAGCAGCGGGTTGACATTACACACCTGTATCGTAATTTTCCAATTCCTCGATTATTTTCTCGACCATGGTGGCGACGGCTAGTGCGACTATCGGTAAAAAATACGAAGCCGGTCGGTATTATTGCGGATCAGAAGGCTTTGAACGAAACACATATGGAGAAACGGCCGATTCCGTAATTTTTTGGGCACAAAAATAAAACACTCGTTCCCTCTAGACACTCATCTTCGCTACTACGACCACGGATCGCGGCGTCGTGCGACGCGGTTGGGACACTGCCTTGTCACGTACGCCGGTCACGGACCACAGATATCGTTGCGGCCGCGTACGATCGATAGGCTCGCGACTAATGACGTCAGCGTAATGGTTTCTACGCGAGGGAATGAAACGACTGCACTGTATAACATCGATTTATATTCAATAATCTACAGCGTTAATACAAAATACGGATTAATAATAGAAGTGAAAACGTGGTTGTCAGTCCGATATCGTTACGTTCTGTGAGCGGCGATCAGGACAGTATAAACATTCGAAAGCAACTGGAATTAGGCCAATTTTTGAAGCCGGCAACGGCTATTTTTAAACACCCGCCAGATAAAAACGTTCGATGTATAATTAACCCAAAACTAAATCTTTGGAGAAATTTTCCGGATAAACGGAATTGTACTGTAAGTTGTGCATTATTAACGATCAAAATAAATTTGCTTTGGTAGCCAGCAAAAATCGTAAAACATCAACAAGCTAACTCAATATTGTGTTAGTTTTATACAAGACACAATCGAAAAGACTGGCACATACATAGTAACGACGAACATATATAATATATTACCCAAAATCTGGACTGAAACTGAAAATACCTAAACCAAAACGCACTTGGAGAACTTTTGCAGCTTCTTCTTTTTCCTCTTGTCACTGTCATTCTGTGGTTGGTTTCGTATGATCCTCACCACCTAGGACCACACGGCTCTGTATTCCACCCCGTCTCGGAGCGTCAAAATTTACTTACCTCGTGAAATGTCGCGTCAATGTTGAGCGGGGGATCTTTAGCGCTCGTCTCGATATAGGGTATGCCTAACTTGTGAGCCAATTCCCTTCCCTGTTCCTCGGTTACCTTTCGCAGGTGCACCAGATCTACTTTATTCGCCACCAAGAGCATAGGATACGTATCTCTGTCCTTTACTCTCAATATCTGAGTGTGAAAATGTATAATGTTCTCATAGCTATTCTTGTCGGTTACGGAATAGACCAACAAGAACCCGTCGCCTTTCCTCATGTACTGTTCCCTCATTGCGCTAAACTCTTCCTGTCCGGCCGTATCTAAAACGTCCAGCATGCACCACTGGCCGTCCACTTCGACATGCTGCAGGTAGCTGTCTTCGATGGTAGGATCGTAGTCGGTGACGAAGAGTTTCTGGAAAAACTGGATGGTGATGGCGCTCTTGCCGACGCCACCGTCGCCGACCACCACCAGTTTTACGGTCGGGAGATTATCTGTCGGGGGTTTCGTCATTATGCCTTCATTCTAATCCCGGTTGAAGGTATTAAAAAGCGTTCGTTCGCGTTTGAGGTCGTTTTTCGTGATTACCGGTTAAGAATTAGTTCCCATACTGACATTAGCGTTTAACTTAATCATTTTATTTCGCGATAAAATAAAGCTTGTTCAGCAACAAAAAACCCAAAATACAAGTACTCTCAGCAGAGAATATCCGGAATGCGATCTGTGAAAATGTCATGGATCTCCAGGTTTTCAGCTCAATCAGCAAAATTGCGAAAATAATTATAATAGCAATACAATTAAAAGCCATGCAATTAAATTTTAAATAATAAGTACCCATCTATGTTATACGTCAACAAAATTACAGTGCGCTTTAAGTCTTACGGCGAATGTCGTTGCGACCTCTGACGTTCTACGTACAAATTTAAACATTTTTGTTTGGAATCGTGACCATCATAGCCTAAAAGTCCTGAGATAAACATTAATCTGCGTTGTGGTCTATCTACAGTGTTGCTTGAAATATTGTAATAAAATTTAAAATGCCTGCTTCTTATTTTAGCGTTTATGAAAAATTCTGTTAATTTTGCGTAAAAAGTATATTTCCAATATGTAAAAAGCGCGTTTCCGATTCAGTTTTCACCATAGCCATGGCAGGAAAATTGGAAATAAAGTGGTCCTTAAGCCCGAGGAAATTTTTAAGTTGGGGCGCAGACAATATTTATCTGTACGAAGTCAAACCGTTGCAAGAATCGTCACCCCACGGTATGACGCATTAAGTAACTGTTTGTTATGGTGCGGGATGGTGGTTCCTTTTAGCCATAAAGTTATCAAATATTTACTGCGCCGACGTCATTGCCTGCTTCAGTAGCCAACACTACCTCAAGTGCCTGGACATTTACCCAAAGAGCGACAAAGATTTGCTCCTCGCCATAGGATTGGCCAACGGAAAAATAACATTGACCAATTTCGGCAACTTGGAATGGGACGCCAAAGGTTTCCCGGGCAGAGAGCTGGGTAACTTCAACGTTAAACTCGTTAATTATGATTCACCGGTCCGTTTTAGTGCCCAAATACGCGAGACAGTGCAACGCGGTCCTTTTCAACCCCGTGGAGCACAATTTCCTCGCCTCCGGCTTGGACAAATACAAACCCGACTGTTCGATAATGATTTGGGACATAAGCCATCTGTCGACATTCTACGATTACCAGAGGAGTTATTCGTCGGGGCCCGACCAACCCGTCTCGGCCGTCGAGTTTCCCAAACCGTTGTGGGAGTTTGGGTCGTCGGAGTCTTGTCAAAACCTCGCGTGGTTTTATAACAACAGCAAAGTGTTGGCGACGGGCATGAACATGAAACACATAAGGCTGTTCGACATAAGGGGTAAGTGTTTGCCACTTCACCATTTTCCCCCAACCGCCAAGCCGTTTCAGACTGTTCGAAAATGGTAAGTTCCACCCTAACCAAGGCGGCTTGCGGCGTCTGCACCAATCCCCTGGACGACCGGTACCTGGCCTCTTACTACGAGAACCAGATATTCGTATGGGACACCAGGAGCATAGAAAAACCGACGGTCATCTTGCAACAGGCGAAACCAGTGCTGAAAATTGGATGGTGCCCCACCAAGTACGCTATAATCCAAACAGGGTCCGCTCTAAAAATTTTCCAAGTAAATAAACGTCCGCAGGAGCAACCTGCTGACTTCGTTGCAACGGGAAAGCGGACTGCTGACCCTGTACGATATTCAGCATCCGATCGTGGGCAATGAAGAGGTCGAGCCCACCGTCATGGAGAGGTTCGTCAACCCCGCCCCCCTTCAGCAGATTGCTTCGTTCTCGTGGCACCCGACTGAAGAGAACCGAATACTTACGATCGCATCTTTGGGTGAGTTAAATTATTGTATTTATTTATTAATGATAGTGCTAACAAGATTAATTTCGAAAATTCGTCGGGGTCGGCAGTTCGTATTGATTAGTGGGAAGCAGGTTTGAATTTCAAAAAGAAACCGCACGCCCTGTACATAAATGAAAAAATTCCGGAAACGGAGGTTATAGCCTTGGATGTCCTACGTTTCCTGGTGCAAGAATTTTTCCAAAATAGTAAATGGTTTTTCGAGAAAATAAGTTTTTTCCGAAACCGCAGTTACAAAAATTGTAGCTTTTGATGCGGCCTATTTGAACCGATTAGCCATGTTTTTTACGATTTTTGATTTGCTGTTAATAGTTGACTCTGGAAAAAAACAATTTTCTGGGCCCTTTACATTGTTGTGTATAATTGGAAAACCCTGTATATAATCGCCTAATAACCAAATAAAAACCAAAAAAAAATTTTTCAAAAATGCTTTGCGAGATTTGAGTAAGTCCCTTTTCAATAGATGAAATACGGGTACTTCGAGCCTTCGGCCAAATCTGAAGTCGGTAGCTGCAAATTTAATTTAATTTTTGAATTTAGCACTTAATATCTTCAACACCCTGTAAACCTTAAATACTTTAGCTTTAGCAGTGTATGCGAGCTTTATTGCGCTATCCGCCTGCCAAATTTTAAGTCGATAGCTTCAATTTTTGGACACTTATATAGCTTATACATAGCAACGTCTAAAAAACAGCAGAAAAAAAAAAAAAAAAGATGGACGCCGAAGTTTGAACGCATCCATTTTTACATATCTCATGCACCCCGTGGACGGTTCAAAAGGAGCAAAATTTGAAGCGTGTAGTTCAAACCGTTCGGAAGCTATCGTCGAAAAACCCTGGAACAGAGAACCGACAGACAAAAAAAAAATTTTTTTCTACGCTGATCATTTATGTTAATAACTGTTCTGAAAGCACAAATTATTTTTGATGTATGACAATTGTTTCGACAACGCGGTGACTTTACTAAATATCAAACAGATGGTATACATCAATAAATATTTTCAATTTACAAACAAGGTATATTTATATTTATACAGCAGACTTTTTAGTTTGTCCTAAATATTGCCGGTCTCATAAATACACTAACTACACTACGTGCAGATTTATTATTTATTTCACTTTTTTTTTGTCTTAATACACAGAGTATCTGTGTTAATTAGAACTTTAGTATAACTTTATATAATGTTAGGTTAGTTCCTATCAGAACTTGGGTGTTCTTGTGGATGTCAATTTAAAGTACGATAACCACCTGACATTGATGTCAGGTTCAAGGACATCCTTACGACGTATGACAGTCTAACATTATCGAACTTTATTATTATATGGGTTATTGTTTGAACCCCAAGAAGTATGATCATATTTCTGATTACCTAAACCAATCTAAATGGGTAAATTTCAGCTTCAGCTTGCATCTTTAGATTATAAAATTGAAAACGTCACTTACTGAGTGATATACCCCCTAGATTGGCAATAAAAACATTTTGGAATGAATTTTAACAGGACAATGTATTTTTTTGCTCCACCAATGTCGTGTAATTTTTAAAGCAGGCACACCTACCATCACCGCCACCTCTATCACCCGTTCGTCTCTCCAGACGCTGAATATCACCACTTACTGAGTAATTTACCCCCTAGATTGGCAATAAAAACATTTTGGATCGAATTTTAAGATGACAATGGATTTTTTTGCTCCACAAATGTCGTGTGATTTTTAAAGCAGGCACACCTACCATCACCGCCACCTCTATCACCCGTTCGTCTCTCCAGACGCTGAATATCACCACTTACTGAGTAATATACCCCCTAGATTGGTAATAAAAACATTTTGGATCGAATTTTAAGATGACAATGGATTTTTTTGCTCCACAAATGTCGTGTGATTTTTAAAGCAGGCACACCTACCATCACCGCCACCTCTATCACCCGTTCGTCTCTCCAGACGCTGAATATCACCACTTACTGAGTAATATACCCCCTAGATTGGCAATAAAAACGTTTTGGATCGAATTTTAAGAGGACAATGTATTTTTTTGCTCCACCAATGTCGTGTAATTTTTAAAGCAGGCACACCTACCATCACCGCCACCTCTATCACCCGTTCGTCTCCCCAGACGCTGGATATCACCACTTACTGAGTGATATACCCCCTAAATTGCCAATAAAGACATTTTTAATTGAATTTTAACTCCACTAACGTATAATTTTTAAAAGAAATATCTATCACCCGTTCGTCTGTCCAGACGCCATCACCGATTGCAGCGTCTTCGACCGTATCACGCTGAATTGTTCGCCGTTGTCCCAGTTGGTGTGGTCTTGCGATCGAAGGGTGCTGAAGAGCGTCGACGTCAGAAGTTTACCGAACGCCGTCGACATCTCGCACAGGATGCGGGAACGTGCCAAAGCGAAGTACGGTTTGGAGGTTAGGATCGCGCTACGCAACGTGGCGACCCGGCTAACGGTCCCAATTTTTACAGTACGACCTGTACAAAAACGCGGACATGGTCAAATCCGACGAGATCCTTTCCAACGTGTGGAACTGGCTGCACCTCAGCTCGAAGCTGAGCGCAGACGGACGTTTGGGCCCGACCGGAAAACATCCCGGAGTTTTTTCGGTGCTGAGGCTCGACTCGGAGTCGAGTCCGTCGGAAAGCGTCACGGTCACGTGGGCCGAACTCGGCCACGCCCATTGCGGCGGATCCGCGGTGTATTTCAGGTACGGTGCGTCCCGAAGTATATCGTTTCGCTTTTGACCGAGCCGCCCTTAAAGGGATTACGACCTTCACACCTCTCGTTGTAGTTCTACGCGCTACAAGTGGTTATCTGGTTTGTCTAGACGTTAAGTTACCAGAGTTGGGGCATTTTCCATAAACATTCCGATTCTGCGATCAAAAATATAAATAAACATTTTATCTGTCAACTTTTGACGGGTCGACATTTCATTGAATTTGTTAATAGGTTGCATTTTTTCTCCTTATTATCTAATTACCTAATATTGGATGTAAAGAAGTCAATAGCCATTGTTTCATAAATCAAACTGGCCATGATAGCTGTTGTCATGGAAACTGACGTAGTTAACTGTCATTATACAGTGAAAACTCCCTATAGCAAAACATTTTTCAGTTTTTTTTTTAATTTGCGGCGCACCTTGTATATTCTTGAAAAATTGTCGCTAATAAAAGTTTATGGTTCTTCTGGTTCAAGAATTTTTTTGGTCCCGTAAACAGTTTTTGAAAAATGGTGTTTTTTGTATACCCTTGCACACGTGATTTTTAATTTTTTTAGAAACCCCCCCAGCCCCCCCATTTTCAATAGGTTCCGTCACGAGGCAAAGCTGTATATATGTGCCAAATATAAAGTCGATTGCTTCCAATATCAGACACTTATCGTGTTACATAGCAAGGTCCAAAAAACAGTCGAAAATCGCGAAAAAAAGATGGATACCGGCGTCGGATCAGGGCCATTTCTTACAAGCTTATGTGCCTCCTGGAGTGTTAAAAAGGTGGCAAATTTCAATTTTGTAGCTCCAACGGTTCGAAAGTTACTCAGGAAAAACCGAGAACGGAGAACGGACAAATAGACAAAAAAATTTTTTTTTTCGACGGTGATCATTTCTGTACCCACGGCGATCCCACAGGACTTACCGTTACCGAGATATAAAATTTTTATACGAGCGCAGATACTTTCGAAAATTGGATTTCATCGATTTTCGGAAGTAAAAGACTGCGCCGCTTTTGAGCTATCTGTTTACTTTTAGTTGAAAAATATTAATATTGTATATTGTTTTTTTTTGTTATAATAAAGGCTATTTATTATTATTATTACATAAGTATCCCGTACGGGAGTCGGTCATCCGAGACAATGTTCATGCCCCTTCTTTAGCTCCGCCCCTTCATCCAGTATGGGGTAGTCACTTTCAGTTGACTAAGTATCTTTTTTTGTCATTTTTTATTGGACAGCTGCGCCTGTCTGTACGAAGAACTTGTTTATAAATAAATAACGGCTCCGACTTTCGCAGACACGACGATCGCAATAGGGCGTTGCAACTGTGCAGCTGGCCGGCAGATCGTAACAGCGCGCACCTCGCGACCTTCGCGGATAAACTGGAAAAAGAGGGGGCGTACACGCGAGCGGCCGCCATCGCGGTATTCCGCCTCAACATCAAGCTGGCCATAGAGGTGTTAAACCGCGCGCCGAAAAGCAGCGCATACGGCGTCAGTCTCAACGTGGTCGCGATGGCCTTGGCCGGTTTCTCGGACGATCCGACCAGCGTGTGGCGCACCTTCTGCGCATCCGCCAAGACGAAACTGAACGATCCCTACCTGAAAACGATGTTCGGTTTTTTGACGGCCAACGGCGACTACGATTACGTTTTGGTAAGCGCGCGTAGATAGATAGGCAGATAAATAGATCCTCGATTGAAAATTTTCTGTTTAAAAAATAAAACAATATAGTCCGGGAGCCCTGGATATTTTTTCAAAATGATCAGCAACAAGCTAATTCTTTGGAAATCGTTTCATTTCATCAAGACGCCCAACCTTTTCCTGTGCGAAAATTGTTGTATCAGGTAGCTAACTATACACGCAGGTATAAAATCATGTCAATTTAGCTACCATACTAAAATGATCAACAGTTTAGATTTTGAGCTTATCTCCTAACTAATAACACCGCTAATAAGCAGCACGAAGACAAAACTTTAAAGTCTTTGTTTAAGGTTAAAAATACTGTTTTCCTCAGTTTTCGCCACTCAAGCACATACAATTTTAAAGTATTCGTTAAAGCTTAAAAACACTGTTTTGTCCAAGTATTTTTTACAGAAATAAATAATTAATACACCACTAACCAAAACTAACCAAGTTGGCATCTTCAGGAGAAGATTAAAACTAAACTTAATAGAACAAATATTCTCTATGTATATACACATGGGAAGTGGGAGGGGGAATTACCCACTGTTCAGCACGTATAATGGGCTAAACGGGATTGTTCTGTTCTGTTCTGTCCTTGTTCAGTGCGTTATTCCCTCTCTTAACAATTTCTAAGCTTTCGTAGGCATCTAATTTTCCACTATTATTTACTTGTTTTACTAATTTTAAATTACTAATATCTACCTTATCTACCAAATTTTAAATGGGCTAAATGTTCCTTAAATCTAACATTAATTGATCTTTTGGTTTGCCCTACATATGACTTGTCACAATCTTCTTCTTCTTCTTCTTCTTCTTCTTCCTACTTTAGTCTAGGCAAATTGCCTGTTCATTTTCGTCGTCTCTGCCTATCCCACTGCCAGGTTGTCACTCCATCGTTTTCGGGGGCGACCTAAGCTCCTGCGACCCAATGGTGATTTGTCGCGTGCAATTCTGACTATTCTTCTGTTGTCCATTCTACTAATATGCTCGTTCCAGTCTTTCTTTCTACGCAATACCCACGCATTAACGTTTTCCACCCTGCATGTTCGTCTTATATTTTCGCTCCTCTCTCTGTCCAAGAGCGTTTTTCCAGTTATTCTACGAAGTATCCTCATTTCGGTTGTCTCTAGTAATTGTTTAGTTTTCGCTGTGTCTGGTTGGTCTTACTATTGCCTTGTAAATTCTCGATTTGGTCTCGATTTTAATGTTTTTATTTCGCCAAATTGTGTCGCTTAAGCATCCTGCTATTCTTGTTGCCCTTGTTGTTTGCTCTCTGACCTCTGCCTCCACATCACCATAACCCGAGATTTCTATGCCCAAATATTTAAATTTCATTACCTGCTGGATGATTTTGCCTTCAACTTCTAATTTGCATCTTAATGGTGTTTTTGATGTTGTCATGCATTTAGTTTTTTGGGCCAATATTATCATATTAAGTGATTTGGCAGTGCAGTTAAATCGATGTAATAGTCGTTGCAGATCGTCTTCACTTTCAGCCACCACTACGGCGTCATCAGCGTAGCACAGAATATTGATTTCATGGTCGCCCATTCTGTATCCTCTCAGTAATCGTACATTTCTTATTACTTCGTCCATGATAATGTTGAAGAGAAGGGGACTCAGGGAGTCTCCCTGTCGGATACCTCGGCCCACTGCTATTGGTTCAGTCAGGATCCCATTTATTTTTGCTTCGATCTGGTTTGCTTTACTATCGTTTTGATGAGGTTGTGTGGAGTTTGTCTGTTGTAAAGGAGGTGTAAAACGTCTCTTAATCGCACTCGATCGAACGCTTTTTCCAAATCAATAAAACACATGTATGCCGGTCTGTTGTATTCAATTGATTTTTCTGTTATCTGTCTTATGACAAAAACCGCATCTGTACATGATCTGCCCGATCTGAATCCTTGCTGTTCGTCGGCTAAGGGTGTTAAGTTGTTGATTTTGTTTGCTATAATTTTTGTTGTAAGTTTCAGTGCAGTGCTTAAGAGATTTATACCTCTGTAGTTTGAGGGTACTTTCTTATCTCCCTTTTTGAACATAAGGATAGTGATGCTAGTTCGCCAATCATCGGGTATTCTATGTTGGTAGAGAATTTTCCGAGTGAGGGATGTTAGCTGCTGTGCAAGACACGGGCCACCATATTTAAGTAACTCGTTTGGGATACCATCTTTACCTGGACTTTTCCTGTTTTTTAGTTTTTGAAGAGCTGCAGCTACGTCGGCTACCTCAATTTCTGCGTTGCGATTCGTCACTATTTCGGGTGTATTGAGTTCAATCTCAGGTTTCTCTGGTTCATACAATTCGGTTAGGTAGTTAACCCAGGTTTCCTTTGTTATCTGATCTGTTTCGACTAGTTCGTTCACTTCCTTTCTTTGGGTTCTAATAAATCGCCAAATTTGCTTTTGGAGTCCATAGAAGTCTTCCTCCATTCGCTTTGAAAAAATTTCCCAGTGATGGTCCTTTGTTCGTCTTACTAATGCTGTTGTTTCGTTTCGGATTCGTCTATATATTTCGTAGGAATCTGGTGTTCGTAAAGTGCTGTAAGTGAGGTACGCTATTTGTCACAATCGTTACAACATATTTCATAAATTCCCGGCTTTTCAAAGGAATCTAGTTTATCCTTGGGATTACCCAAGAGATATTTTAATTTTGATCCGGACTGATAGACACTTCGAAGACCTGCGGCCCCGAAGACTCTATCAAGTCCACTTGTATATTGGGGAGAGAAAGGAATTGAGACTACTCTTAAATTTCCCTTATCGGCTTAAAAAGTCGTTGATTTTTGAAGTTTGTTTTTAAATCTAAATTTCCTAATTAACTTATCAATAAAACTATCTTCATAGCCATTGATTCTAGCCACCTTTTTTATAAGGCTTCTTTCCACCTCAAACCTTTCTTGATTTAAAGGAAATGTGACAAGTCTATGGACTAGAAAATTAAAACTTGCCATTTTATGTTGAAAAGCATGGTTAGAATCATTGGTTATGTATCTTTTGTAGTAGTGCCTTTCCTCTATAAATGTCAAACACTATATGATTTTCACTGTTTTTGATAACGAGAACGTCCAAAAAAGGCAACTGCATGTTACTTACTATTTGATATGGGAAGAAGATGGGAAGTAATTATTCAAGTTTGAAACAAAGTCATTTAAATCCATGCAAGTTGTATCAAAAACCGCGAAAACATCGTCGACGTATCTATACCATATCCTAGGAAAGTACTCGAAATTTTCTTTAGCATTCTGTTCAAAATGAGCATGAAAAGTTCAGCCAGGAAAGGAAATAAACAATTTCCCATGGCCGTGCCATTTTGTTGTTCATAATAGTTGTTATTATATAGAAAAATATTTTGACTCATTCAAAGCTTTGTCAGAGCAATTAGCTCTTCAATTATATCTTTACTGTAGTTATTATATTCGAGTAATTTCCTGGGGTATTCCAAAGTTTCTGGTATAGGAACGCTTGGAAATAATGAGGAGACATCAAAAGATACTAAAACTTCATGTTGCCAGTTTTTTACAGAAAAACTTTCTTTTAGATGTAGGGTAAAACGCTTTATTGGGTGTATTTACTTTTGAGATACAGGGCTGTTAAATTTTAATCAAATATATTTTTTTAATATCTGTATTACCACTTACCAGATATTTTAATAAAATTTGCCACACACATACTATGCAAGAAGAGGCATTATTTAGAGTACCCGTATTTAGTATACCAGTGTCGGGCGTACGGAATTTCACCTGAGTGTTTCGGCAGACATTGATGGTATGCCACTGACAATCTCCAAAAAAATTAAATTCCTTTTTTTTGCGATCTTATGTACGGATTTAGCTTTAAAAAAAACCTCTTCTCTCCATGGCCGTTATTATTTGTTACTTAAATAATTGTTTTATTAAAATATATCTTAAAATATTCAGGTAAAATTCCCGCCTGGATGCATCTGTTGAAAAGGTAAGAAAGGTGGTGTGATAATAACCAAAGGAACCTTATTTTTTCAACATCGCAAGTTGGTAAAAGGTGACAAGCAAGTCACGGCCTACTTATAAAATAATTGAGACCTCACTTTAGGAAGTGTGATGAAATCTTTTATGATTTGGATGTTGCAGAATGAGAAGGGCATAGCGGTAGACGACAGGGTGGCCTTCGCTTGCGTTTACTTGCCGGACGCAAAATTGCTGGACTATTTGAAGAAGTTGTGTCAGGAGCTGGCCGAGCAAGGCAATTTGGACGGCCTGCTGCTGACAGGTAGGAATCGCGCGAATTGCTAACCGTCTAACTAACTAATTAACGGTGCCAGCCAATCAGAACTAAATCCATTACAGGTTGGTCCATTTAAGATGGTCCTATGCCTTATCTCAACAAGTGATGAAAAAAAGTTAAATACAAAAAGTTACAGTTAAATTATTTTAAAGCACGTGTCTGATAGTCTGATAGTCAGTAGCTTTTCTGAGGAATATCAAAATTACTATTACAATAGGAGTGATGAATTTAATCGTTTTTAGACAATAGTGAAGCGTTTTTCCTATATAGCAACTCAGCACTCTTCGGAAAAGAGAAACGTCTTGCTCACATGTCAACGATACCTTGTCATATTGAGAGTTTAATACCTCTGTGTGGAAACAACAGGCTAGCAAGGTCACAATTATTATTTTTATTAAGTAAAACGAAATTTGTTTTGGACTTAAATTGTTTTTTTCAAATTTTTTCAATAAGTCCCTATAAAAATTCTGTTATTTCTTTAAAAGTGACGTAATTTTTTTTCCGTGTGCCCTTCATATGTAGAAATATAAAAAACGTAGAAATAATATGTTCTATTTCTTATTTGGATAATATGTTTGCTTCTCAATTTTCCTTCTTTTGCATACCTGCTAAATGACTGTTCATCTAAACTGCGAGCAATTGTCCTGCAAATTAATTTTTGAACAAGTGTCTTGTTCGGATTTTCATAATATGTTGACCTTAGTTTATTGTTGTACCATACACGAGTTTCCAAGAAAAAAATAGATATAGATATATAGGGCATGTATTTTCTGCCTGTAAGGCAAGCATAGTTGGCTTTTGCATTCTCGTGAGGCTTCCAAGCTGAAACTTTTCAACATTTTCTAAATTTTTGATTAAGTCTGCATAAAATAGAAAATGAGGCTGCATATTGGGCAGATGATATGCAGAGTTCGTCTAGATCCGATGTAGAAGCTATATCTTGGTCTGAGTGTTTTTATGTGTCAGATTTTAGTTGAGGTACTTCAAAATTCCATGTAAAAAAATTAACAGTTTGTTCAAAAAAACAAAACATGTGAATCCTAACCTAAAACTATCGAATAAAAGGAAGAAACTTACTTTCCCAGGCTTTAAAAGCTACGTAGGTAGCTGCTGAAACTCGATATTCAAGAAAACGTGCTCCGTGAAATATTTCCGCAACGATAACAGATAATAACAAAAACAAAGCGGAACAGCTACCGAAAACGTCGATAATAATTGTTATTAATGTTAAGAGAGTGGCTCGATAACACTCCGTCGCTTTTTAATATCGGCGTTTAGGTTATGTTTGACGCAGGGAACTGCGGCCAGGGCCTGAACATTTTGCAGAAATACCTAGACGTGACCGGCGACGTTCAGTCGACGGCGCTGATCGCCGTCAGAGCTTTCCACGCCGAACTGTCGACGCCCCCCGTCCAAAACTGGATCGCCAAGTAATGTTTTATTGTTTGTTTACTGTCGTATGACGTCACCGACGAAAAAACGCCAGGGCGATTTCGTTTATCTGAATTTTCGTTACGACAAAACTCGCTAAGAAATTAAATTTCATCAAATTATCATGTCATGACTTGTAAAACTTTTGGAATCCAAGTATAGAACCGGAGGATGGACTTCTCTTGCAAGACACATTCCCAATTCTTTCGAAATCCAAAAAGGGTTTTTTTTTCAAAAACACTTCCACACGCTTGTGTTGGGTTAAGATGTTAAGGTTTAACCAAAGTATATGACCTTTAGTTTTTGGTTAGTAATGATTCTTCTTATTCTGTGACCTTGTGTAATACCTGTTATCAAAAATATCTTCCTTATGTTAAAATTTTCTTGTTAGCTGCGTGCATTTGTTTTTTACTTTCGTCAGCTACCAAATCCTGTTGAACGTGTGGAAGCTATGGTTCGAACGGGCCGAGTTCGATCTCATGGTGATGAAGTACAGCAACGAGAAACCGTCTCAGCAGATTTACATATCTTGCAATTACTGCGGCAAAAGTATCTCCGCCCACCTAAGGAACCTCCGCAGGGAGCAGTACACCAGGATAAGCGGTACCGGCGCTACTACGAAAGTATAACCTCGCCATATAATGAAGTTTTCAGTGGTTAAACGGGATGTTCGCAGCTGTCCAGCTGCCCCAACTGTCGCAAACCGATGCCGCGCTGCACCATATGCCTGATGAACATGGGTACCACCATAAGCGACGTGAATTCCGTCAAGCCACTCGATTTCGACAACTGGTTCACGTGGTGTCAGCACTGTCGCCACGGTGGACATTCCAGGCACGTACTGAGGTGGTTCGAGTGAGTTTATGAGGTGAGACCGCGCGGGGCGCTCCGGTAACGGCTGTTATTTCAGGGACCATTTGGAATGTCCGATGACCGGATGCACGTGCAGGTGCTTCTCCCTCGATTACATAGTCTCCAAAAATTCATGACACCAATAAAGTTTCTTTGTTTTTTTTCTAATTCCATGATCAAATGATTAATATTAATCAAAGAACCGCTAATGACCTCATTGGAAAGCTTTTACGGACCGCCGCGTATCGTAAAACTGCGTTACTACACGCCGAGCACAAAATTTGAATGATTAGTTCCACGATTAGTTTAAAGCAAAACTATTTTCTATGAAATATTCATTATTTTCGCAATAGTTTTTTTTTACTTCTAATGGCCACAACTGCATAAGGTCATTGGGCCAGCTTATACAATTTTTAACATTATTCAGATATCCTAAAGAATGCCTTCTTTAGAGAAGGGTCTGGACCAATCCATCATCCTCCAGGTTATTTAACGTATACAAAAACGGAAGCAACTTCTAAATAAATTGTCATAAAATGACGACCGATTCTTCAAACGGCTCCCGCAATTATCTTATACGGGATATCCGATCCCATCCGGCCTGAATACAAGAAATCCGGAAACCCTGTTAACATACACCTCATTGAATTACACATCACGAATCCGTGTACATCCGCGTAAGACGAACACTATGGGCACTACGTCTCTAACACTTCGGATAACAAATATACGTAATATTTTCTTTAAACGACACTAATTTCGACCGATTTCTACACATTTTTGGAACCGGGCAGGAGCAACGTCCGCCATGTGCTATGCTTCTCTCGAAACTCCGCAATATAGTTATGCATTGCAATTCTTCATTTTTGCTTTTCCGTAACGTGGACAAGTTCACTGAGGGCACTCGCCCGTCGAGGTTTTTATAAATTTGGTTACAGACCAACACATGTACACATCGTTCCGCCACCATTTTGATCTCAAGTTGCAAAAGACGGACTTTGACCGATACCAAAAAGTCGGACTCTCACCGCTTTACGACCGAAACGGATTTTCCTCATGCAATACTCCACTACAGAATCAAACGTTGTAGTTATGTTCAAATATTAACCGAACGCATACCACCTATTTATGGTCTCTGGCAAGATGTCAAATAAATTTCACCATACATCTGTCAAAAACCGATGGTTACGGCGGAGAAATCGTATATTTGAAAACGAAATACATGATAAAACATGCGTAAACTGTTTAAACCCATACGTGTGACATGAAAATTTTCGTTAAACGTTAAGTAAGGCAGAGCCCGGGCCACGAATCATCGAAAATGGCTCACAATCAATACGTCGAGGAGTTGATCAGAGAGTACTTCGTGTTTAGGGGTTTCGCGGGCACTTTAAAGGCCTTCGAAAACGATTTAAAGTCTGATAAAGAAAAGAGTTTCCGCGTCGACAAAATAATCGAGCAGTTGATGCAGTCGGTGTCGAGTTACGATCTAGTGTCGCTCAGAGAATTGTGGTCGCACCTGGACAACCACATATTCAAGAAGCTCGAAAGTCACTTCGCGCCGGGCATCAAAAAACTCGAAAATGCCGTGCTGAAAATGTACCTCGTCAACGCGGTGGCCAATAACAAGCCCGACAAGGTGGTCGATTTTTTTCTGAAGCTTACGCCCGAGTTACAGAATCAAAACGAGTGGAAAGACTGGTTCGGTTAGTTGCGGGTGTAATGACGGTCCCATTTTTGTTATAAGCGCTGCTTTCAGTACTGCCGTACGTTAAAAACCCGGAGGAGAATCAGACGTTTGCTTTGCATTTTACGAAACAGTGGCAAGACACTCTGCTGGTGTCGCTGCACAATTTTCTCGCTTCCGTGTTTCAGGTTAGTATAAACGTATTTTAAATGTGTTTCGCTGACACCTGTGTGACGTTGTAGCATATGCCAGTTCCGACTTTGCTTCAGTTCGAAGAAGAAGCGAATCGCGTCACGAAGCTCGAGCAGCGCATTGACTCTCTTAAAAATCGTCTGGCCTTGCTCTTAGATCGGGGTCCCGAGGCTACCACCGTGGTACCCGTCAAGGTGGAACCACCCCCACATTTGTTAGATGATTTTTATATAATCGCCCAGGAAAGTAGCTCGATCGATAATCAGGCGAAGAGCTTGAAAAATCTGATTCGGAACATGGGCACAGGCTCGAGTCCCGTGTTGGGCAGAAAAGACGTGACGAAAAAACGAGGATCTGGCGCTACCAGAAGGTCGGGTCATTTCCTGGATCACTAAGACAATTGGCAAATGAAAATTAGTATATTAGTATCCAATGAAATTTGAGGATAAAGTCGTTATTAAGTCGTGTTTGCAACGTTTCAATAAACAAATTGCTTCTGAAATTTTTTTTTTTGCTCAATTATGACATTTACAGAGGTTCCATAGGAACTGCTGATCATTTATATTTGTGGTCTGTGGTTACTTCAATTATTAACGATATTGGTGTGAGTTTCGATTATAAAGGTCTATGCTAGTATTTTATCATGACAACACGTATCGTATTCGTATTCTTGTTTGATAACTGCGTAGACACGGATAATAGTTGTCGATCACATTTAGCACGGAACAGAAACAATGTGAACTTGATCTGTGGTTTGTGACGTAATCTGACAGCATAGGTCAAGGTCCATTTTCGTAAACATTGTCCGAAAACGATATAAACAAGTTGCTGTTATCGCTCGCGAATCCTCAAACCAAGCATGATTGCGTATTATCATCATCGAACGGGAGAATTCGCGAACGTTTGAGTGGAGTGGAGGGCGCTGCCCGAGAATGAGCGTCAAACTGGATTCGAAAGTGTGCGGAGTGTGCGGAGACAAAGCCCTCGGTTACAACTTCAACGCGGTAACATGCGAGAGCTGCAAGGCCTTCTTCCGAAGAAACGCGGTCCTCCAAAAGGATTTCAAGTGCCCGTTCTCCAATCAGTGCAACGTCACGACAGTCACGCGGAGATTTTGTCAGAAATGCAGGCTGGACAAGTGCTTTTCGATCGGCATGTGCAAGGATCTTATCATGTCCGAGGAAGATAAAGTGCTGAAGCGGCAAAAGATCGAAGAAAACAGGGCGAGGAAGAGGCGGATGTCGTCGTTCAAGTCGGGTTTTAAAAAACAAAAACGCGAAGCCGTATCGGATTCCGATTCAGTCGATACGAACACATCTGATGGTTACCATCCAAATAATCCTCACGTGGTGAGCGTTATAAACTACGTGAATCCCGAAGGGGCAAGAGTTTTAAGTGACGACAGTGTGAATTCGAGTGTCGTGTCGTCCAGCGACGATTTATCCTTCGAGAACCATATAAACGAACAGGAGCTTAACGGTACGGCCGTGGGACAAGGCGAGGAGTGCGCGATTTCTAATTTAGTGAACAACAATACCACGAACAATTGTGATAACGACGCAAACGATAGTGCTTACGCGAGTGCGCACGCTTACCAACCCTCTTCCTTGAACGGTACCTCCGATGTCACTAAAGATGTGGTCGAGGACGTTCAAAGGTAAATAAAATAACAGTTTTCCGGGAATGATCTGCCTAGTTGATATTAACGGTTGAAAAAATGCTCTCAATTCACAATCCGTCAGACGTTATAGTCTGGGTTATAGATTATATACCTTACATTAGCCATTTACACTCAAAATACACGCACTAACCTGCAATTTGGGCCATTCTCTTTCTAAATATCGATTTCAACACACCTAGATCGTTTTTCTAGAACTTTTAATAAGATCTGGGCGTATTTTCAGAAAACATTGCCGTAAAAATGCGCTAACCAAACCGACCATCTGTCAGCCGCCATGTTGCTTGTTGCAAGGTCGTTGATTATAGGCTATCTTTTCAAAATCTTTATTGTTGCTTAAGTTCTTGTATTATCGGCGGCATATGCAGGGCCTCCATATCTATAGTAGCTATATCTAAATAATAGTTTAAATACGAATATGCTGAACAGGAAGTAACTACTAAAATACCTCATCTAACGTCTTCTCTACATTTTTAGATGTTCTGTAGTTGTAGACGTAAGGTAATTTTTGTGGTCTGTTATAAGAATAGTGTGGGTTGGCATTACTTAGCTCAACTAAGACTTACTGTTGGCGAATGCAAATGCAAAAAGAAGAACCCAGTATTTTTAAATCGTAAAAAAATAAAACAGTCGAAAACGGATACGTTTTATAGAATGACATCAGGCGGCACGCCCGGTAACTCTATCGAGTCGATCCTCTGCGAGGCGATCAAGCTGGAGTATGAGGCGTACTCTTCGATCGCCCAAAGCCACCCGCATTCCCGAGAGCTGAACGACGCCGAACGGGCCAAATTAAACGAGCTGATCGTCGCGAACAAGGCGTTGCTCACGCCCGTCGACGACGATTTGGATCTAATCGGAAACAATTTCAAGTACCACGTAGGTATCGGCCGTTTAACGCTTTGCGCGAATAGAAGAGGTAAACATTGTTATCGGTTATTGTTATATCATTAGTTCAGGTCACAACTGTTGTTGAATTTTGTGTTCTGTGGCGGCACTTTAATTTTTTTTATATTTGGCGCATTTTATAGCAAATGGTTAATTAGTAGGGAGGTTTCCCAAGTACTAATTTGCAATGGTATATTTGCTAGTTGTTCGTCGATCGTGAGATTCACCCATTAAGTTATATGACGTCGTCATGTCAATATATATATGGTCCGTGGTTACTAATATGGCCGCGTTATTTTAGTCGTTACTGTACGGCAACCCGAAAGAAAAAGATCCCAAATTGGTGGACGTTATCAATCTGACGGCCATCGGGATTCGGAGACTGATAAAGATGGCGAAAAAGATCAACGCGTTTCGTAACATGTGCCAGGAGGATCAGGTCGCGCTGCTCAAGGGCGGCTGCATCGAAATCATGATACTGCACAGCGCTATGAAGTACGATCCCAAAAAGCAGATGTGGAAGATACCGCACACCCAGGAGCCGCTAAAGATCAACGTCGACGTGTTGAAATTGGCGCGGGGCAGCGCCTACCTCGAGCACGAAAAGTTCATCAAAACTTTCGACCCCAAATGGATGGCCGACGAGAATATTATTTTGATATTGTGCGCGATCATACTGTTCACTCCGAACCGACCTCGGGTCATACACCAAGACGTCATCAAACTGGAACAGGTGAGCAGGTCTAGAATTGCGCTTACGGAAAAATTCAAATGACAGCGCCTTAGAATACTTCTTCTTCTTTAAAATTTCCATAATGCTGGGCCGTCTACTAGGGACACTCGCCAATTGTCTCTCAGGATTTTTCAATTTTATTAATGCCCGCACGTATAATATGGCGTAATGTCATTAGTATGACTTCATAATTTGTGGTTAGGTTTTTATTTTTTTCCAAACGTCACTTGCTTCCCTGCTATGTCGGATCGTGTAAGCATTTTAGAAGTAATCATAACCCATTTTATATGAAAATAATTGTGGTGGTAATTTAAAGAAAGTAATTTATTACAATAATAATATAAAAGAAATAAAACTTAATCAGTAATAAACATTTTTGCAGTGTCGGATGCTTGTGACTAAGTCGTCTTTAGCACAGAAACTTCAATTCAATTCAATTATGCGTTTCACAAAAAAATGTTGGGCTCGACTGCTAGGATCATTCGCCCGTTGCCGACTTCCGTCGAGGATTTTCGCTTCTGGTCAATGACCACCACGTACAAAGAAGAAGAATAACCAATAATTTGCTCAGCTAGCAAAAAACGATTCTGACCGATACCAAAAAAATCGATTTCCACCGCGGACCATCCGGGCCCATCCGGCCTCCATACCGGCGTGAACAGGGAAAACGACTGGGCCGACGACGATTATCACTTTAAAACGTACACTGAACTCTCAAAACACTAAATCCACACCGTGGAAACCGATATCAAACTTATTGTTATTATACAAGGGATTCTGTCGGGAGCGAACGGAGGTTAAACCGCCGTGTGCAATGCTCCACCACAGAATCACCACAGAAACTTCAATTCAATTCAATGATGCGTTTCACAGATAGCTGTTGGGCACGACTACCAGGATCATTCGCCCAAGCACAGAAACTGTTTTTTCTCGAGTTGGTCTCTTCTTTTTTTCTGAGCAGATTTAAGTCAATCTTTTTTTCATTGTGCCCGAACTTATCTTTTTTCTAATCAACAAAGTGACATCTACACAGAAAAGCTCCAGGACCTGATTTTACCGTTCTTTAGCAATTGCATAAAAAAAGTCTATTCGAAAACAAAATTTTTATATCTCATTGCCTTGTTTGTGTCATCAATTTGCTTCTTATTTTTTGATCCTTGGATGTGATGGTTACAGCCTGGCGTCCAATACTATTTTGCCTAAAGCTGAATATATGTTTTAATTATGTTAGTACATACCTTTGCATTTAAATGAATCATTTTGTGCCTCTAGATACATCGGTTAACTTAACCTCCAAAAAGTACTTTTAACCGATTACAGCAGTTTTATACTTTTTTAGATCGGGATTATTAAATTATATTAACTTTATTCAATGTGCCTATAGGAATAAGTTGACAGGTGCAAAATATTTCAGAATTCCTATTACTATCTACTGAGGAGGTACTTGGAGAGCATCTACCCGGGTTGCGAAGCCAAATCTACCTTTCTAAAGCTGATACAGAAGATCGCGGAGCTGCACAAGCTCAACGACGAGGTGATTCACGTATACCTAGACGTGAATCCATCCCAGGTCGAACCCCTCCTCATAGAAATATTTGACCTAAACAAGTGATCATTTTTACGTGGGATGTTATTGTTTGTTAATATGTTTTAAGAGAGAGTAAGATGCCAAACCCGGCTACGCGGTAGTTTCGGGCTTTATTTTAAATAAAAATCGCTTTAATATAGTAATTTCCTTTATTGTACATTTAAAACCGTTACTGTGAGGAAATTAAGAATGTGATAATAGTACGACTGCAATAAAATGTACAAAGTACAAATTAAATAAATATTGTCATACGTTGTTTTTGATTTGTTTTAACTTCCCAGTTAATGAGCGCGCAAAAATGGCATAGTGTATGGCAAAACGTCAGAACCATGTCTCCTCCAAATTTCATCCACTAACCCGTAATTTACGTCATTTTTTTCTTAAAGAGCGGTCTATACATAATTTATTCGTTTTGCTAGAATATTTAATGAGATCTGGGCATATTTTGGAAAAGTGCTATACGTAAACGAATCGACGCACTGTCAGTGGCCATGTTGGCTGTTTAACGTCGTTACATCATATTTGTTGTAAACGCAATATTTTTCATCGTCGCTTCAAAAATTACTGCATTTTTCGGATATATCTCTAATAGCTATCGTTATAACAGTTAAACGCCCGTAAAAATCTATAAATTATTAGTGTCATTGATTAGTCTACCATAATATGAGCAACCCGATCGATAATAAGGTTGCGGCAACTTACAATTTTGGTATCTATGATCACATTTACTAAATACCTAAATCGAACGATTTCCTATTGGCGGATGTGTTATATGGAAAAAAAAAGCGCACCATACTGATGACGTTTCTCTAGCGAATAACACAATCGTTTAATTGCAAATGTGCGATGCTTTTCGTATTCGCCAATAAATTGCCCCAGCAATCACGAATGTTCTGTGCCATTTAATTTTTTCATTCCGTAACCGAGTATGCTGTGGTCGACATTAATTCCTAACCTTAGCGTTTAGTGTCGATGAAATGGGAACGAGATTAAATTTGTTTTCGATTGGTGTCGCCCGCGTTTTCGGTTAACTTGCTAGCGTCATTCGGTCGGATCGCCGCGTCCCGACGGCAACTGTGCGCGTTTTCCGCATTGAAAGTTTCATTTCCGAACATATGTAGTATACAGAAGAACTGTTTTCTGCTCTACAATGTCTAATTCGTTGTGCAAAACATCGGTGCTCCGTATCTACCAGGAGGTGATCGAGGACGTGATATCGGGGGTGCGCGAGCTTTTCGTCGAGGAAGGCGTCGACGAACAGGTGCTGCAGGAACTGAAGCAGACATGGGAGACGAAACTTATGGGCACCAAGGCAGTGCAGAACGAGCACGAAGAGAAACCCAAGAAATCCGAACCGCTGACGTCGACCAACGGTTTTCCCAAGCAGCAACCTCAACAGGCTCAACCGATGCAGTCGCATCAACCGACCCAGTCTCACGTCGCCGTACCCGTGCAACACATCGTCGAGTCTAAAATGGTGCCCATTCAGATAACCTTACCTCCGCAGCCCGGTACTGACGGAGGCCAGAGGGTTTTAACTATACAGGTTAATAATTGATCTTGACATATGCATTTGACAGAGTCCATTTTGGCTTCTTTGGAACTTAATTAAAATATGCCAACTTTTCACCCAATTTAAGCAACCTTTCCATAACTATGTCGACGCTTCAGTAAGCAATGGGAATTGAACATTTATCGACCTCTCCCCCTCGGCTTTTGCTGTAGGTATTCTCCTTAATATGTTGTTTATATTTTTTTCTGTCAACTCAGAAGCTGAAGGGAGTTTATTTAAGCATCATTATTACCAACAGTTACTATTTTTCTCTGCCTGTGTTCTATAATATAGCTTTAGGCCAAAGATATAAGCCAATTAAGGTTGTTGTCAAGGGTGTATCCATGGACTTTGGACTTTGAACCTCTCACTGGGGCCCAGAAACACCTGTCGCTTTTTCAGCCACTAGCTTTTTTTTAGCCCTACATTTGACAGCAATGAATGTGTAATATATTTTTCATGAAGTACGCGCTATCAACTTTAGGATTTTATTAGAAGGGCGTTTTTTCCATATTTCAGGTGCCGGCCAGCGCACTTCAAGGAAATCAGCTGCAAAAAGTGTTGACGGGGCCCGTTATAACCGCTACGATGGGCCTGCCGGCAAACATAGCTTCTTCGTTGCTGCAGCAGCACGTGAACGCGGCTTTCAGCAGCCAGCAGCAGTCCGTCACCCTCTTAAACAAGAATATCATACAGACGGACGGTGCCTTAACCTTCGAAGAAGGGGAACAAGAGCAAAACGCCAAAGAGAAGGTGAAGAAAAGGAAACGGATACGGAAGCGAAAGGCCCAAGTCCGACAGGTGGACGGATCTATGGACACTTCGGACGAAGACGAAGAACCATCAGATAACGACGACGAAGACGACTTGGACGACGAAAAGGACGAGGACGATCACGAGTTGGACGACGAGGGCGGCGAGGAGGAGCCTTTAAATTCCGAAGATGACGTTTCGGACGACGACCCTTCGGATTTGTTCGATACCGATAACATAGTGGTATGCCAGTACGATAAGATAATCCGGAACAGGAATAAGTGGAAGTTCTACTTGAAGGACGGTATCATGAGTTTGAACGGTTTGGACTATGTCTTCCAGAAAGCGAATGGTGACGCGGAATGGTGAATGGTGAACCGATCCCCCCCCCCTGCAAGGTGTGTGTTGTGAATAATATTTCCTGTAATTTTATATTGATAATATAATTATTCATATTTAGGAGTGATCACGGTTCATTTTTATGCGTTTTATTTCATCCTAGACCACGAAATAATTAATTTATTACGGAGTTAATGAAACATGTCACTCAGCACAGGTGAAAATCCAAGGAAACAGCTTGCTTTGTAAAAACCATTTTGCATATTAACTTTCGCCAAGAATCGGCTGAAAACATTCAAATTCATTTAAAAACTATGTTAATCCACAAGTTGTTTTTGCTCCCTTATTTGCTTTATGTACCTGCTTGCAGGATACTGGAACTGGCCTGACAGCACTTGTAATCTTCTTAACTTTCTTTATTTTCGAATAAACTATTTAACACGAACATAACAAATTCATCTGCATATTTTCTGGATGTAAATGAAAAATTAACATGACGAGCCTAAATTAAACCTAAAGCACAGAAATCAACTCAACACGAAATATTTTCAATTATTTCCGTCCGTTTACAAAATAAGCAAGGTGACGCCTCGCAAGGCTGCCATCTAGCGTAATGTTTCCGAACCGTGGTCGCAATAGTTAAAACTCGCCTTAATAAAATTTTAATTTCCATCTATTGGTGTAAGGTATATACGAAACATACGCTGGTGTCGTTGGAGCATTCGGCGAATTTATTAAAAGAAATACGCACATGTTTATCTAATTGAATATATGTCATTTTGTCGAGATTATCCTTCCCGATACATTTTTTGGGTCTCTTCGGAGGCGATCATGGCGTTCGCGACTTCGGAGTTGCGTTTGCCTGCTTGGATCGCCGGTCCCCTTCGGTAAGAGATGGTGGATACTTCGAGTGGAGAGCTGAACTCCTTCAGGCGTAGCTTGAACTGTAACCAGCTAGCGATCTGATGAATACCCGGATTCGACGTCGCTGAATGCTTCGAAACATAACCGTTAGTTATACAATCGTGGATAATTTTAAAAATACATTCGCTCGAGGTAGTTTTGTTGGTTAGTTGATACTGCCGCCACGCGAGGTCGTGATCGTTAAACAAAAAAACAATGTGTCAAACACCATGATAAGCCACCTTGAAAGGAGGCGTTAAATGCTTGAACGTGACCCAATGATGCTGGCTTTATTTTCCGGCAAGCATTTGACTAGTTTTTGTTATTCTTATTTGCAATATACACAATGATATTTCCTCTCAACCAAACAGAATAACAGAAACAAACCAAATAGAGCAAGCAAAATTGAATTACAAAACATTTAGAAGGCGGCGGTGGGTGACGTAACTTCCGCGTATTCTAAGACCTATGTAAAGAAAAATTTCCAAAAAGAAACCCATCGATCGGTATTGGCAGATGTTTATTATATTTATACACAACAATCAGAATGACTCTCGCTCGACCGAAATTCGCAGAGTGGGTTGCATATCTGTCGTTTGATTACTTGATTTTTTGGCAACTATTTTCGCGTTCTTGGGAGGCTGCAGGTGGTCCCTAAAAAAGTTTATGCGAAATACGTTTGCATTGCGATTGGCCGGAAGGATTTTTTTTTAAATTTAGTACGAATCACTTAACCGTGTTCCCATAGTAAATATAATAAAAAATGTGACAACTTACCTCGCTTTGCGGTTATCGAATTACACTTTCACCACGACCACCTTAAATTATAATAAAATCCGAGATGGATCCATAGAAAACGAAACACTCGCACGATTTATCAATGGCCCGCCTCGCGAACATTTTTCGACTTTAAGAACGCAAAAAAAGCAGCCGCCGGTTCGCAATCGGGACCGACAATGTTACGTCGGCTATTTTTTCCGTTCCTTTTCGCAATAATTTCATCAATCATTTCGTTCCCCCGCCAACATAATAAACGTTGTGTAACTCGGAAAAAAGGCAATGAAACGAGAAAATGTGCGCCTGCCGTTTATGTATCGCGACGAACCGCCACAAACACGCTCTTTATTTCCTCCCCGTCCACCCGCGGAGAATAATTGGAAAATATTTTTAGATTCCGCCGTCCGATTGGAAATTAAATTCAGTTTTTTCGTGTCAGAATCAGAATCTCCTGAAAAGAAGCGACGTTTTGTAAATCACGACACTTTTTGGGTAGTTTTAGTTGAGACCCTATTTAAAAAATATATAGATTTATAGGGAGTAGAAAAAATAAATATAAATTTTTGATTTAAAATGCAATTGTATTTTTTTTATTATTACAGTAACTTTCCAGATGGCTAACGATGTTCATAATTGAATATTTATCAAATGTATACAAGAAGAAATATAGCTTATGACGATATAAAGGATGTTGCTGTGACTGATGCTGATTAAAAAGGCAATACCTCAATACAAAATAATAATAATAACAAAAAAAGAATTAATATGGCCCCGTCTGCGTAAACACATCTGTGGTTTTGATCTTTGGTTAAGCAACAATCAATTCAACGCAGAAACGTCATCGTTTGATTATGTTGTTATAATCGCTTAAGAAGTTAATTTAAAACTACAATGTAATTTGAACGCAGACCGTTCTGAAAGTATTTTATTCCGTCCCAAAAGAGATGGTTCAGAAACGGAACCACGCCGTACCGCGGGCATCGTAGTTACAAGCTGCCGTAATGGCGCATCAGCGCTGCTGTGCCGGTGGCATTTTTCCCAGGTAATACGTCCTCACTGTACATTATTAGTGACTTAGGATTTAAATGAAACTGAAACCTTAAAGATGACGTGCAACTTTCTATGATCAATAAGGAAATTTTGACAGATATCGAACTTTACGTTCTTATGGTCAATGAGGATAACATGGCGGATAATGTAGTGCAAGGTTCTATTCAAGATAAAGAGAAAAAGTGAATATAGACATTCAAAGTACGAGAAATCGAAGTCAGTGTTCGCCACCGTGAAAACTGAATTCGAATTACAGTTTTTTAGAACATCTTCTAATATACCCGGATATACACAAGATTTCTTTCGGAATCTCGTCGCTATGCGAAGCTGCAGCTCCGCGCTACGCATTCTACGACGCCGCTAGGTGCCTTTGTTTTACAAAGAAGCCGCTTCGCTTCACTTTTCGTGGTCCATGAATTTTTCAAATAGAGTAAATCGTTTTGGAGAAAATATTTGTTTTTATCGATTTTTCGAAAGCAACAAAGACTTATTTCATGTGTGTGCAATAAAAAGTGTGCTCTTTGTAGAAAGAAAAATGTCCTCATTTAATATCTTAATTTTTTTAAAAATTGAAGTGGATATTTATCAGAGAATATTTTTCTCTACTCCCTTCTGTAAAATACCTAATTATACACCGATCTAGTGTGCGGGAAACGTCGCTTTACCACGTGAGTTCCTTGTGTCACGGATCGGACATTTCCGGGACTTTACTTTGTCAATTCTGACAGTCACGTCAGTGAACGTATTCGTGTTCTTTCGCAAAAATGTACCCAAAAACTAACGGTCGTAGAAAAAGTATAGTATGCAATACGTTTTGTAAAAATGCTGTTTACCACACTTGTTGCGTAATATACTATTCCATTTGATTTCGTTTTTGTGTTAAGTAAAATATATTTAACTATAATTTTCAACTATGTATTTATTTTCTTTCCGCGTAAATGAAAAAAACCGATTTAGAAATGGCCGAAACTAGTTTTGTACTTTAAAAATTGTGCGAAATTCGACCATCGAATGTGACATATACATTTCCGCGCAGGCGCATATCATTCTAACAGTCTTCTGAGAGTGTCAATTCTATGGTAATCTGCATAGATAAGAGATATATGAACCAATCGTTTGACGAAAATAGAAATGAAACGCCCGACACAGAAAGACTTGTTTATTTCCGATTATAGTAAAACGTAACAAAGAATAAAAGACAACTCGCCACGTCCAGTCCTCTCACCACAGTTTGGAAACCAGCTCGGCCAGTTTCGACCAGATCTCCCGGAAAATCGTACCGATAACGCCTTCGAACGAGGCCCGACGCCCGGCCGCCCCGACTTTTTGTACGTGGTGAGCGCCCCCTGCCGGCACTTTAACTATATAGTTTCTGTGGTCCGTGCCGTGGTCGATCTCGTTCTCCGCGGAGTCTACGTCTCGTTCCCAGCGGCGTCCGCCTTTAAATTTCCCGTTCGTCAATGGGAACGTATTAAAGTCCCGTTTCAAATACAAAATGTCGGCCGGACGCCATGGCCGGAATCTCGCGCTGATCGGCTCGTACCGGCCGAAAGGCCCGTCGTACCTAGTCGACTTTATTCCGGCATCGAGCGCGTTTTCCGGCCGGTCGCGCTTTCGTCTCGCGTAGTCGAAAATCTGAAATGGAAAGTCGAAAAAAATGGCCCTCCTTTTTGTTAAGCCTTAAGTTATTTAACTTACGCTGCAGATCTTTAGTTTTGATTAGTTGTCAAAAGTAGAACATTGTCAAAACAATTGCCAACATAGGTAATATGGTTGCTATCAAGGCAGACTTGACCATTTTTAAACAATATGGCTATTGTCCAGAAATCGAATGTTTAAAGTGAAATATCTCAAAAATGGCTCAATGAAATGTCAATAAACTATATGTTTTTGAAATCAGAAAAAAAAAAGATCTACGATTCAAGCTAATATATATAAGGCACTCCATTTCACAGAAAATAATGTTGCCGTCATGCAGCTTGCGATCGTCGTTTGTTTCTTCTGACATTTGCATAAGTCAATCACGTTGTAATATGTTTTTCGAATTACACTTTCTTGTTGTCGATCGATCCACCGAGCATAATTTCGTAACGACAACACAGCACAGCAAATTTTCAAAATTCTCAAGATCGTTTCGCGATTCTTACCGACGAACATGGCTGCTTGCCGAAGAACTGTCCTATGCACGGTCCTAATTCACCCGACGCCGACAAATACTGCAAACGGCCGTCGCCGGACTCGTCGGAAACGATTTTTTTCGCGATCGGGCGACGTTTGGGCACCTGGACCTCTTCGTCGACGCTCGACGTTTCCAGCAGCTCCGCGAAGAGGTCGTCCGGCGACGACCCCACCTCGGAATCGACGTCCAGGTCGTCCGAATCGAACCACCTGCTTGGCGCGGGTTTCGTGGTCGTCGTCGTCCTTCTTTTCACCTTGAACGGGTCGGCGAGGTCGCGATTCCCGCTTCGTCTCTTGAGCAGGTCCAGGTTGATGTCTCTTTTGACCTTGACAAATGACCGCGACTGACTTGGTTGCCGATCGAAATGTTTTAGCCAGAGCCGCAGAATCCAAACTTTAGTTTTGGTTAGTTCCGACAGACTTTAACAACCCTATAGTGAAAAGGTCGTATCTACTAATGCAAAATATAAGTTTGGTTTTCTATATATTTGTGAATCATCCTGTGTATATGAAAATAATTTAAAATTGTTTCTTTTAGTCTTATGTACAACTTCTGATCTAAATTAATTAATTAATCTTGATCCAGCTACACAATTATGTCTTTTATATGATATGATTCACATAATAAAATGTATTAAAAATAATTGGATAACTTAAAGGATCAAAAGATCATCTTTTCACTTTCCAAAGTGTGATACATCAACTTTGAAGTAAAAGCCATCTCAGTTCAAATGGTGAAACATTGCTAATGTCAGAACCCGTTGTGAATTAAGTTTTTTTTCGAAAATGGTTAAAATTGTGGAAGGACTTTGTCAACATATGTTTGATAAAGATAAAATTGATTATTAGTTCTTAGAGAAATATGAAAAAAAACATTTAAATGGAGCAAATTTTTATATACGTTTTGTTCAACTACTTGAAAGTGAAAGAAAATTTCTTTTTAAAAATACTGTTAACTTTTTATGTGACAAAATTACATCAAATTTGCCTAATTATATTCAAAAATCAGCTGTCTCATATTGTTTTGGTTTTGGATAATTCGGTTTTTATTTATATTGCATTACATATGACTTTTTTTGTTCTGTTCGTGATTTACGAACATTAGATTAAAAAATATACAGGGTGTTCCACTGAAAAAGAGTACATTTTCCTTATTTTGTCCTAAACGCTACATTCAATTGTTTTTCTGTTTTCGCCATGGTCATTGGTAGTAATCTAGTATGACAATTGAATCGACTTTGTATCTCTACTCATAACAAAGTTACCAACGATGACCCTTAATTTAGATCAGCCTGTATAATATTTGACGAGGTTTAAAATAACTGTATATTTCCATCAGTGTTTACTTATGTTTAACTTATTCATTTTTCTATGCTTATAGGTTAAAACAAAAATAAAAAGTAAATTGTAAAACATGAGTCGTATAATATTACTTAATGTCGATATTTAGCCACGAAACAAGAATAAAAGTAGTATGAACACATTTATTTCAAATTCTATGAATACAATTTATGATAAATTGTTGTTGATTCATCAAAAACTAACCAAACCAACAATAACAATCACATATATCCTAAAACCGTACCTTGAAATCTCTAGGCAAGCGCCCTGATTTACCGGCGTTGCCGAGTCTTTCCAACGCCTCCTGGCTGAACGTGTTGTATCGGTAAAAGCTGGCCTTCTCCTCGAGCAAGGCCCGATTAATGTCCCTCTTGATCTCTACTTTCCTGGGCAACGTGATGGTCGCCTTCCGTACGAGCGCGTCCAATTCGGCGTCCGTCAGTTTGACGCGGCGTTCGGCCGCTTTCGCTTGCGCGCGTCTCTTCAGCACGTCCTCCACTTCCTCGACAGTGAGCCTGAAAGTCGACCGAGCGGGCTGCGCTATTTGGAAGGCCTTGAACCGAGTCTCGACGCGCGTCGGCGTCCGGGCTCGTAACTTAGCTCGGCCTCGGTCCGTAGTCGTCAATTCCGAGTCGATTTCGTTTTCGTGCTGGACGCAGGGCGGCATCCTAGCGCCGGCTAGCACGTGAAACGAGATAGACGTTGCGGGAAGCTCGACGGACACGTGGTTGGGGGTTTTCGCGCGTCTTACTACGGGTTTCAACGGGTTTACGTCGTCCGGCGAGTGTAAAACGAGTCGATTCCCGTTTAAATACGTCACGCTGGAACATGGGAGGGGTTGCGACTTAAAGTCCTATCCGTATTTTGTGAAAAAGGTACGCGAACCACTCGAAATCCATCCACCGACAAATATTTAATAAAAGCGTCGACAGCAGCGTCACCTGTTATCCGGTAGCCGCATGAACGTAATGTCTGTCACCCGACTAAATAACTAGCGTCTGCTCCGTCCTTAAGCTCGGCTCTCGTATTCTGTGACATGTGATAATGACGGACGCCTGTCTAAGTTACGTCACGTTAGTTACGTCACTTCGCGATTTCTTATTGTAGACCACTATGGAACTTTCGCAAAAGCGATGTAATTTTATGGTACATCTCACCCTATATAAAGCGTCTTTCACGTCTCGCCGAACTTAAAAGCTACGGCGAACTTTGCTAAATATAAATATTTGTACAGTAATATTTTTATTTAAATATCTGACGCACCCTGTATAATAAACAAAACTGAAAATCAGAAAATTGTAGCTCTCGAAACAGTTTACGATACTGTTTAAATCAAATCTCGTGCCGTTTTTCAAAAAAAAAAAAAAGAGGAAATTTTCAGGATCTCTTAGATTTTTTGCCAAAAAAAAATGTTCGAAGTAGAGGTTTCTTGGCCCATTAATTTTTTAAATAAAGTAAATGATTTTAGCGAAAATATGTGCTTGTGTGATATCCGAAAACCGTAAATACAACAATTAGCCATTTTTTTGATGAATTTTGATTTACGACTAATAATTTACTCATAAAAAAAGCAACTAAAACACCCTGTACATAGTCGAAAAAACGTTTCCAGGGTTCCAAAATTTTGCTGATCGGGTGAATACTTTTCGAGAAAACAATGTTTTTGAAGTCAAAATAACAAAAAAAAAAATTTACAAAAATATTTGGTGATATTTAATTAAGCCGAAATTAATCACGGGCTTGGTTGAAATAGCACTATATTCCACGTTCAAGTATAACTGCACCTTTAACACTTCTTTATAATTAGACATTAATCTGGACCAAAACATTCTCAAGTTTGTAGTAGGCGTAGTAGTAGTAGTATGTATTTTCTAAGCAGGTTTTTTTTTCTCTGGTATTTATTAATTATTATTATTATTATCTATAAAATCCCACATAAAAAATCTATGTTTTTATTTGAAAAATCAGGGTTGATAATGGTTATGCAAGAAAGCGAAACCTTCTTTGTTGAAAGTAATCATTTTAATTTTTTTCAAGTATGTATCTGAAAACCAATTTAACAAAGGCATCGCCGGCAGTGCCACCTGTTATCTGGTAGCCCGGTTAACTAAATAACAATCACCCGAATAAAAAGACACAGTCCGATTTGATGTGCGGAAAGCCAGTGGCGTATCTCGGTAAACTTACGTGGGAGCGTCCGCCGCGGCCGTGAGTGTGTACGTTTGCACTTCCATGGATTTCTCGGCGAAAATGGTGCCCAGCACGACGTGAAGATCGATATCTTCGGTACCGTTGTTGATCGCCATAATGGTCACTGCGCCGCTCCTGGCGAATTCGTCCTGCCTCTTCGCGCAGTGGCAGTAGATCGACAGGGCCGGACCGGCTCGCGATTTCACTTCCAGCACGTGGTTGCCCATCAGTCTCTTGTGAAGCACGGTGAACCAGTAAACCTTCCAACACGCACGATAAGCCTGGGAAAGGGGGGAGGTCGTTCGCCATAGTTACAGGGGTATCGGAATAAGCCAGCTCTTGCGTCGTTAACTGTCTGTAGATCACTTGGTATCCGTTTTTGGCCGCCTTTCCCACTCGCGACGCCCAATCCATGGCGGAATCGAATGTCACTTTCTCGGTAGAGGGCGGTGCGCTGGTCCAAAGGGCGATGCGTTTGGAGGCACCTAAAGTCCGCAGGCCCGCGAAACCGTCGCTATCGTTAGGGGATGTGCTGCAAATAAGGCTGGGTAACTAGAAGCGGCTCTGGAAACGGACATCATTGTTTCGCGGAAATTTCTTCAACTCAATACAACATGTTACACACCGAATCTGCACTTTTTCGGACAAAATCACGTCAAAAACGATGCTGCCATAGAAAATAATATAAGAGTCCATACCGCAGCCGACGAGAATAGCGGCCTGGGCGCGTATTTTCGGTATCGGTGGTCACGTGACCCTAATAGATCCAGGATTGAAATAGACTACATTGCAATAAAATGGTTTCCTAAAGATTTCCTTTAATATTAATTCTCTAAAGGTATTTGGAAACTTATTTTAGTCAGGTATTATTTGTTGTATTAGTATCAAATGTTTTAAATATATTTTTACGATCTACAGTTATTACAAGCTTTTATTTAACATGCAATGCAATGTAGGTGTTATTATCGTCAAATCTTACAATCGATTTTAAACAAACTTTTTTATGTATATTGCATTAGCTCTTCCAAAACATCCATATTATTTAATATTTGCAATTTTTTTGGAACTTCAACCTCAGAGGACACAAAATGCTCTATATGCACTGTAAATATCTTCTATAACAATAGAGCCTAATATAGTTGCCTTAATATCAAATTTCACAAAATTTAAGTATATTTTTCCATTATCTCAAATTAGCACCCACCCATTGTGCAGATTATTACTGTTACTGTAAACTGAATATCTCCCAGTGATGAAAACTTTTTGGCATTTTCTAAGGTTTTTTGTGTCTCTAGGGTTGCTTTCATCGCTGCCTCCTTTTGCTCTGCTTCGACATCAGCTAAATGAACAAATTGGGCTGTGTTTGGGTGAAGTACTTTGGGGCATTCTCGAAAATAGTTGGCACAGCACCTTCCGCTAATTTTGGCCTCTCCTTTAACTAGGCACTTGTCAATCCAAATAACATCTTTCTCTGCAAAATGTTTTATACATACAGCTGGTTTCTTTAATTGCCTAATATCATTAGGTATCTTTCTTAGCCAAACTTGTTTTTGATTCGGGTCAGATGGTAAACTGAAAGTGGAAACGGGTCCCATTTCTTCGGACTTGTAATTTGACCGACACCCAAAAACACAACATCGCGGCATGTTTGCACTGTTCTTTGTACTTTCTGGTACTTGGTTTTTATCACAAATGCCCACGGGTTTTCTCAAACATTTTAGTTATTGATAACACAAAAAATAAAGTTAAAAACCGAGTTTCAATGTTTAAAATACGGCGGTATAACCTACAAACACCGATATCCGAAGACACAACTTTGCGGGCTGCTTGCACTGTTGTTTGTCCAATTTACGTCACATGGCTTTTACTACGAGTCCGCTGGTTTTTAAAACATTCCAGTTATTACTGACACAAAAGAAAACAATAAAAAAACAGAGTTTTAAACAATTTAATACGCCGGTAACCTACATAAACATACATGTTTTCCCAAACCGCAGCCGGACTAACTGAATTTGCTGGATCTATTAGAGTCACGTGACTTTCGCGCGGCAGGGCCGGTCTTTTTCGTCGGCTGCGTCCGTACGCAGTCTCTGCGTTGTTCGACTACGTCATAGTTCGGTCATGGACCGCGGAATATTAACTTACGGTTCCCACATGATTGCAATGACGTCGTCAAAATTGTATTTTTTCTTGCGCAGTGGCGCGTTGCCCTCGGCGAGGCACGCGCTGGCATCGCTTCCCACTATTTTCCACGAACGCGCGGGATATCGTTTCAGCGTTTCGCTCATCACCATCAAATTGTCGACGTAATGCTCACTCTTATTGCCGCAATCTAAAAACGCCGTTTCGTAACATCCAGCGCTATCTGGCGGCCGCGGGTTCACCGTAACCTAGCTGCCAGTGGCAGTCAAACCCGAGCTCGTTCGTGACGTCAAACAGTGGCAACGTTGGTGTGGGATCCCACGAGCCGTCGGATTTCACGTCGACGTCACTGATCCCGAATACCGGCGTCAGATCGGTCGAATCGAACCACTGGTTGACGCCAAGCCATATCGAAGGTGTGATAACGCCGTTTTTTACTTGTTCGGTATCCGAGTAAAACGATTGGTCTTGGTACCTGACCAGTCGCGTCGACGGACCCGCCAGACGGACGTAGGCGGGGCTTAGATATTTAGCCAGTAAGGACGCCTCACTGCCAATGGAAAAAAGGACGGTTTGAACACGAACGCGTAAAAAAACCTGCGAGTTAACCTTAGGTTAAGACCGTTGAATAAAATGGCCGGATCTATGGACACGCTCAAAAACTTATCGCTCACTTTATTGAGCACCCTCACGCCGTTAACACTGCAGAGGACTTCCTCGCTCTCTGCCAGGGCTAGGAAGCACGTCACAGAAAAAAAAAAGCACAGTTTTTTTCCTAGAAACATCTTAATTTTTTGTGCCACCGTTAGCACTCTTTGAAACACTGGTTGTTTCGTCGGAACTTGTTGCAAAATTACGTTTGGCAATAGACGCGTCAGCAAATGTAGATTTAAAAATAATAAACAAATTTCGCGTTGTTTTGAGTGGGCATTTGGGTGTCGAAAATATTTTAATAAACAAGTATACGATAATAAAATATCGATTCTCTTTAAATGCAAAGTAAAATTCGAATTTTAAACCGAGCGTGCTATGGGCAATGACGTACCTATTCGAATGAAACCGTCCAAGCTCGTCTACCGGGATTGACAGATACCCCACCACTTTCGTATCTACGGGTAAGGATGGCTGCTGTTCCCGATAGGCCTTCCGTGTTCATCGAAGAAGAATTAAACAGAAAATGGTCGAAATGCATTTCAGACAGCGCGATAAAGTTCGGTAAGTGTCGCTACGCTTTGGCATTTATCTGCACGAGGCGTGTCGCAGATTGAATCGGGTCGGGATTCATGTTATGTTTACGCAATCCGATGGCTTTTAAAGTGAAGTCGGTTTTTGTTTTAGGCGGAGGAGTGTTGCTAGGTTCCGTGTTTTCGCTCCTGTTTTTTAAACGGAGGAGGTGGCCCGTGTTAATAGGAGGCGGCGCGGGGCTTGGTGTCGCCTATTCGAGATGCGAAAATTCTTTGAACGCGATAATTCAAAGCAACTGACATCCCCGTTTATTGTAAATAAGTAGCAACGTTGTAATATAAGTGTAAACTGTTTTTATTTCGCGTAATTTATTTACATCATATTCACGGACTCGCTACAAATTAGTCTTTATCAGGCTCCGTGTGTGGTAACTGAATTTTTCCGAAACGTTTGGGCAAAACAATTTCCAATGCCTCTTTAAACGATTTTCCTTCACTAACCTGCACTAGGATCTCGAATACTGAAACAAAACTCGAAGTTGAATGCCAAAATGAACTCCCGCACATTTACCTTGGTTGATGGTTATGACCTTCCTGTGTTGTAAGCGAAAGTAATCGCCGATGGGTAACTGTCCGTGGGCTATGCCTTGTTCTACGGCTTTGCGGTGGCACAAGCCCTAAAATTACCCACATCATCATCACGGCTAATCTAGACAAAGGTAAAAGTAACTTTATGCGAGTTGTGGTCAACCAAACCACCAATAATGTACACCTTGCCGGGTTCCAGCTGGTTTATCACGTTCTCACTTTCACTGCTCAAATAGACGAGCTTGTCTTTCGGAAAAACGTCGAGATAATCGCGTTCGTGAAAGTTAATGTCCCAATTCTCATAACCGTGGTGCCGGGTCATTTCCTCTTTACTGCGTCCGCCAAAGCTGGTGAGGTGGAGCTGCATCGGCTGGCGAGCTCTCCTATTCACCGTATACACTCTGAGCACTTGTTTTATAGCCTTGGCCATGTCCTACGCAACAAGCATTCCATATTACCTCCTTACCGTCAGGAGAGTAAAAAGAACCTAACCTTGTCAATCATTAAATGATCAAAACTTAGGTCGATGCACACGGCAATATCGCAAGAGCTCTTTACCATTTTCTTGCGTTTCAGTTCTTTTCTACTGGGACCTATGTCGATGTTGTGCAGTTTGGCAAAGCTCCGTTTTTCCTTGGACCGCTGCTTTTCTAAGGCGCGCTTTTTTCGCTTGATCTCGTCCCATTTCAGGGATTTGTGGTATTTTTTCAGTTGTTTCTTGCTCAGCTTGGAGATTTCCACGCCGTTGAAAAGCTTTTCCGATTCCATCTCGTGCGTCGCAAGATTTATTTAAAATCATACACGCAAAAAGTTTCAGACCATAGAACAGTTGTCAGTGGTTGCTGTTCCACAAATTCGACAAATTATGAGATAGCTAATAAAAAAACTAATAGTTTTCTTAATCCAGTATACTTTATTCGCTTCTTTTTGTTCTGCGGTGAAAGAGAGTCCTACGTTATACATAGAACCAGATTGCGTAAGTCACAGATCACTACTGTATAATGAGCCTGCTCCCATGGACTATATATTTTTTTTGGATCGACGATTCAGGAGGCGTTAAAAATAAATACAGCGTTTCGGTAGACTTTTTTTATTTATATACAAATCAAAATTATTGGAACAGTACATTGCGTGTTTATCTTGTTTGCTATGACGTCATCGATTTTCATGGCGTTTCTTTAAAACAGAGTTGGTCACTGACCACAAACTATATTTTTTAAGGAATAAACGGTTACATAAGGGTGCGTTCACGCGGCTTCGCCTTCTCCTTCCTCTTCGGCGGACGCGGTAAGGAGAGTGATGAGGGCTTGTGTGTCTATTCTGCCGTTGTCGTCGATTTCCATCGCGTCGAAAGCGTCGTCGACCTCTTTCGACGAAAACTTATCGCCCCACGTCATCAGAGCGTGACGGAATTTTTCGCTGTCGATGGTACCGCTCTCGTCGAAGGACTTGAACGCCGCGACGACTACCTCGTCGTCATCGGTACCGCCGGAGTCGGCCATACGGCTACCGAACAGTCCCAACAACTGGGTGAAGTTGATCGGTCCTGGTGCCTCGCGGATCATCTCGTCCAGTTCCTTCTCGTTGGCGATTTTGCCGACCGCGTCGAAAGTGGCCCTTAGATCTTCCTTACTGATGATGCCGTCCTTGTCGTGGTCCATCAGCTGGAACGCCTCTTTGAATTCGGCCACCTGGGCCTGCGAGAACATCGAGAACACATTGGATCCCGAACGTTTCGCCTTCTTCGACGAGCTCTTCGACGAAGTGCGTGTTTCGGCAGCTGGGGCTGCAGCCGGGGCCGGCGCGTCACCTCCCTCTTCCTTCTTCTTCTTCTTCACCTTCTTTTCCTTGTCCGCCTAAAACCAAAATAGCGATTGGTTATAAAAGAAAAAAACAAAACGAAACGAGAAGGCTCCTAAAATTTAAAAGGCGCTAATTGTTTGACAGTGCGCCAATGTTGCCGGCTGTTCTAAATTATTAACTTATTTGTTAGTTTTTGTTGTTCTGTTGTTGAGAAAAGAGAGCATATACTTGTTTCTACTATTATTGAAAAATACATAAGTGGGACAGAAAGAAGATGAAAAATTTCTTCGACGGACGTCGGTAATGGGCGAATGATCGTAGTAGATTGTGCAACGTAAATTCTATGGTTTGGACAATTTTTGCTTCGCTTATTTAAGTAAATTTTTACTATATCTGTTATTTGAAGCTATAAGAAATAACTTTTTCCCTTACCAATTAAGGCTTTCGTTGTGAAGTATCAAATGCACTTAATATTTTAGGTTATAAATGTAAAAATAACATGATGGGCTTTTATTTCGGCGTCCTTGCACATTCTCACCATTTAAATGTGTTTGTTTTAGTCATTTCTTTTGTGTTTCTTTTAGGGCAACATGAACAGACAATTACAGCTCATCGAAGAAGCAGATTTAACTGATCAATTCTTTTTTAAAAGAACTGAAGTGAAGTGTTCTTCCGTATTTGAGACTAAATAAAGTACACTGCTTTGTGATTTAAAAAAAATGAAGTTAACCTAACATTCTAACAAAACGTCAACGAAACAACAACGCGAGCAAAAATGTGCGAGTGCCGAGAGTGTGGCGTCACCGCGTGCCTCGCGAACCCCATACTTTCGGACCTCGATGTCATGTGCGCCACACTTTTCACGAAACGTTTTACAACAGTCCAAATCCGAAAATAGCAATTCCGATTACCTGGACGTCCCGCGTCCGCCATCTTGTATTATTACGTCACGCGCCTGGAAATGGAACTAACGGCATATTCATATTTATATTACGGATGCTCTATATAGGTATTGCGAACACCCGAGTCTTTTAATTTTTGAATTTAAATGCGCTGGGTGATTTATAAATTATGTTTTATTGTGCTCCCTTATCAGTAAGTAGACCAATTTTGGCCTTTGTTTTATATTATTATATTTTTCCGGCACTGCAGTTAAGCATATAATTTAAAAAAGAATTCCGCTTGTAAAGCACGTCTTTGATATATAGTCCTTCAATAATGGATCACCATAATCAATATAGAACATCACCGGTGCACCAAGTTCACTAAATTCGATACACGATCACCAGGGAAACGCTTACCATTGTGCTTTAGTTCACCAGCTGCAACGACTGCGATAATCTCGATCGGCCGCGGGTCTTAAATAACTTCGGGCGTCGCGACGCCAGCCCGACGCCCGGACCTTATATAGGTCCCGCCAAGAATAGCCGGCTCAGATTTGCCTATAGCCTCTCTTAACGGATCTACTGTCCTAGGAAAAACTTGTTGGCGTAGTCACGCGGGTGTGAAACATAAGGGTGTTATTATACAGGGTGTTTTCTAATTGAACTTGAACTTGAAACTTCATATGAACACATCTCCTAAACGTCTTAACTTTTGACATACAGGGCGGTAAATATTTTCAAAAATATAATATATTTTTTTTAATATCTGCAATATCACTTTAGAAATTTTAATGAAATTTGGCACAAATGTACTGCGTATCAAGAGGCATCATTTAGTGTAAAGTCTGTTCATAGATATAAGAACTGATACGAATTAAGGAAAGACCCGGGCAAGCTGAAAGAATGAAATATGGCCGAACAGGTCCGTACTTTAATTAGAATTTAATTATATGGGGTTATGTTAGGAAAGATACTAAACAATATTTATTTATTTATGTATGTATTTATGTTTAAATCTAAAATAAAATTACAAATTATTTTTATTACCTACTTAAATTACTTAAAATTATTCACATAATATATCAGTATCACTATCGCTATCATCGCCTGCTCTAATTATTATTTGTTCTGTATTAATTGCAATATGGATATACGATTGTTCTGATTTTTCTATATGCTTAACAGAATTTGCCGAACTTTGTGGAGGGATGTTAAAAACTTCGGTTTGTATAAGTTTGAGGACATTGGAGTTAAGACGGGGAAAAACATTGTTACGACGATGGCAGATTTCAGTTGGTGCCAGACATGTTCGATGGGATTAAATATACAGAGGTAAGGTAAATATATGCCCTAGATTTTTTGCATAATTATAACAGACGTATTCCTTTTGTAGGTTCAAGCTTTGTAGAACCTCAGTTAATTGCTTTTTGGTATAATCTTAGTGAAAATGAATGTCGTTATTATACATGTAGTTTTGGATTGTTGCTTTTGTGTCACATGAGGAAGGGGTTTTAGTCAACTGTGTACTGTGATAACTTGCATTCTCCATTACAATTACGCTATCAGGAGGAATGCTATATCGAGTACTTGTGACAGAGTTTAAATACAAACTTATTGCGAATTCTTTAAATTCTTTACTACCAAAAGCCATGTTATCAGAAACAATCTCAGAAGTATGTGTAGAAAAAATAGATTTGAGTTCTGATATTATTACTGAGGTGGTTTTACTTTTAAGAGGAATTATCTCAAGCCGATTACTATGATAGTCCATATTGAAAAATAATCTTACCAGCATATGTTTCTAAGAAATGTAACTTTTGGTTAGTTGTATTAAAGGTTCTTTCTTCGTCTTCTTTTGATAATCCTGGCCAATAAAATAACCTTCTAGCTCTAACTTTTGAACTTTTCTATGCCGCAATGACCCACACGTAATCATCTTAAGCCAATTACTATGGTAGTCTTATTGAAAGATAATTCTTACCAGCATAGGTTAAAATATCAGCTGCGACTTTCAGAAATGGAACTGTTGCTCTTTCATATTGTATTAAAGGTTCTTTTACAACACTCTTACTATACAAGTTATACATTTTCATACAACTGGCGAATAAAATAACTTTGTAGTTATAACCTGAGACTTTTCTATGTCGAAATGACCAACACGTAATTCAGTGAACATTTTTAATCTATGGTTTGAGTTTTGATATTATTTATGAGGTAGTTTTAATTTTAAGAAGAATTCTCTCAAGCCATAGTATTGAAAGATAATCCTTACCAGTATATATTAAAATATCAGCTGCGACTTGAAGAAATGGAACTTTTGATTTTTCATGTTGTATTAAAGGTTCTTTCTTCTTCTTCTTTCTATAGTCCTGGTCCATAAAATAACCTTCTAGCTCTAGCCTAAGACTTTTCTATGCCGAAATGACCCACGCGTAATTTAGGTAACTTTTTTAATCTAAGGGCCTTCGGACCTACTAGTCGACAACCAAGAAGCATTACATCTCGATGCACAAATAAATTATCTTTAAAAGCAATAAAACAGTAACTTGTTAGTAAAGGTACGTTTAATGGAACATATTTTGGGCTTAAGGTACGTATCAAATGTTCGACTAGAATATTTGGGCATTCGAATCACTCGTAATGGTCTGGCGTGGTAACCTGCAATAGGGGAGCGCGTTCCGCGCCATCTTGCGGCGTCTCGAAACAAGTCGGCAGAGCCAGCTCGGATTTGTTCGGGCTGCTCGGAGCCGAAATCGCATGGTACTGACGGGGTACGACGAGCAGATGGCAGCACAGGGCGGGAACGCTGCGGCACACGGCCGACTTGCCCCCAGCCCCGCCGTCGAGGCGACGTTCCGTCGGCGTTGCCGCGTTGAACAGGTTTTCCATGCACGGACAGGACATCGTCATCGGCACATGTTGGGCATCGAGAGAAGGCTGCCAATGGAAAATGTCAAATATTTGTTCCATGTACAGCGTGTTTTCTGTCAATGTCAATAATTAAGAAGGCGATTTTTGGGTCCATTTGTTTCTAAAGAAATTTAATTTATTGATTTTTTTAGATTTAAAAAAAATGAAGACCTCTTCTCTGTATGTTAATATGACAGCATGCAGAGGATTATTTTCAGTATTATTTCTTACTTAAGTAAATGTCTAGGTTAGAGTTTTAGAAGCGGATTTGCCTATCCCAGATAGCACACAAAATACCACATCTACGTAAAAAAATTATAAAAACTCAAAAATAATATATTTTTTTATAAGATCCCATTTGACAACACTGTTCGGCTGCAACTACTCGCGGTCGTGCCGTGCCGGACTCGCTCGAGTCTCGTCGGCTTCTCCTCCGTCTCGTCGTCCGCCATCTTTTCAGCCTTGTTTTTGTTGGCGGTGTAAGGCGTCTACTTTGAGTATTTTGTGTGCTGTGCTTACTGCTTGTGTAGTCTACCAACATCATGCCTTGTTTTTTATTATTTTGCTAGGTCAATGAGATAGCAAGCTCTGACCCCGCTGATTTCAAATGAACTTGCAATGAAATTTAGTTGGTTGGGCATGAAGAAAAAGGAGACATTTTCAAAATTCATTTTAGCCATACAAAACTAATTTTTTTTTATTTAAGTAAGCAATTTTGGAGAAAATTCCCCAGAAAAAAAAAAATTTTAATTATATAATATGGTTAGTATATTTTTTTCTTAAAATGGATGCGAGAATCAGCCCCCGAAAAACAAAGTATTAATTTTAGGAATCACCCTGCATAAAATACAATTTTCATATTAAAATGGTTGTTGGGTTAATCCATGAAAACGTTTTTCCTATTTTTGAAGGCTGTTTCATGGTGATAGAATCTGATATACTGTGGACGTTCCAATTAGTAACATCGTATATCGTTTTATAGACGTCCTTGTGCTATGGGGGATATTGCTAGAAGTAATACATTTAATCCAGAATTGAATGCGGATCACGCATGACGGCGCGCCTGCGCAGTAAGCGGTAGTGTTGCAGTAAGACAATATTTAATTCACACATTTAATAACAGATGGGCAGGTCGCGGCAGACCTCAACTATGGCCCCCTAGATCCCCAGATTTAAATAGTTTTTCGACAAAGGTTGTTATTTATTTAATTTATTAACAGACAGTTCTGTTAAAAATTATTAATAGTAGGTAGTGTTTTCTTTTTTAAATAAGAATTTATCTTGTTAGGATGGTATGTTATTTGCATTTGTGCCAAATATATTTTATTTTTGAAAACTTTACCATTCTGTGTCTCAAAAGTTAAGACGTTCATATTTTTAGATGAAGTTTTCTTTTTATAATGGACTCAGAAATCGTGTTTTTGACTTTTTCTACTAAGAATTCAGGAATGTAATTGAGCTTGTGAAGTGGAGCCACATAATGAGCAGAACATGGTCGATGAAATAGTAGCAAGGAATGTAGGAATTTTAAATTATGTTGGTCTTACGAATCCAAACAAAAAGAGTTAAACAATACTCTTACTGATTTTAATTAATTCATTACCGAAGAATTTTTACGTTTTTTAAATCCTTTTATTTAAAAAACCACTTCCTTCCTGCTCTATGACCGGATAATCTAAGCAAGACACATTTTTGATATATTTTAGATGCGCTATATCTATCTCTATGGATGCTATTTTTTGACCAGTTGGGTAATGGTTTCGAGAAATTGAACCTAGCCGAGTAATTATATGGTCAGCATACCATCAGCAGCAGCTGATTGCTGCGCAGAACCTTTCCATGGCCGGCTGCGAACCTGAGCTTCTTCGAACTCTCGAAGGACGTGCACCGGGATATGCCGGGATTCGTTTTGTTCTTCAACGAGCTCCTGATCACTGCGCGGTAACCTGAAAACAAGCAAAATAAATAAGAAGAAGAAAAAAGAAAAAATTTTCACGAAATTACTTATGTTCACAGGACAGTTGTTTCGACAACACCGTGTTTTTATCAAATGTAATATTTACAAACTACCTGCTACTATATATACCGAAAATTGACATTAAAACGTTAATTAACGTTGTTGTGAGAAGTTAAGTTCAATAAAGGACAGGTATTTAAATCTAATCGATCGTTAAGCAATACATTTGAATGTCTCATTTTGTTAATCTCCATGGCTTCCAATAAATTTAGTTTTCTACTTTTTGTGGCTGTAAGTCAAATATCCAAATTGTCGTTAAAATGAGTTTAAGTGTGTAGCCTAATTAGAATCTTGACTATTGTTTTTAAACCCTTTTTTATGTTCGTTAATGCGTTTTTTGAAGGATGTACCTGTTTGTCCAATATAAATTTTAGGACAAGATCTGCATTTCAACCTGTAGACCCCGGATTTTTGAGATTTTCCTATTGTGTTGTTAGTTCCGAAAGCTATTTTTAGACCACATTTTGACAAATGTTTTGAAACTTTTTCACTAGGTTCTCCTATCTATGTAATTGTTCGTGTTCTGTATTAGGTTTCGGATAAATAGAGTTTACTGTTGTCTTGGTTTGTTTTTATTTATAGTTTTATCGATAATGGACGGATTGTAGCCGTTGTTCAGTGCAATTTGCTTAATGATGTTAAGTTCTTTGTTGTAATTTTCTGCTGAGAGCGGCGTATTAAGAAGTCTGTGTATAAAAGAGTGAAATGCAGCCATTTTGTGTGTATAAGGGTGATTTGAGATGTTATGTATGACTGTGTCCGTGTGTGAAGGTTTATGGTAAATGGAAAAATCTAAGTTGTTTTCCGTTTTCGTAATAGTTAAGTCTAAAAAATTAATCGATTTATCCTGTTCAATCTCGATAGTGAATTATATACGATTATGTAATGAGTCTATCTAATTTAAAAAAGAATTCAATTGTCTGTCCGTTCCAACAAAGCAAGCAAAGACATCATCCACGTATCTATAACGCCATAGAAAATTTTTACTTAAAGGATGTCGGCTAACAAAGGACGAAGTGGGTTTCCCATAATCAAACCTTCCTTAGAGATGTAAATCTGTCCATTTAATTCAAAATAATTTTGGTCTAAAGATATTATTAAGCAATCTAATAAATCTTGTTTCACCAATGGGTTAACCTGTTTCCGAGTGAGGGTGAAATCTACTAAATCTATCACATCCGTAGGTGGAATACTGGGAAATAAGTTTTGTTCATGGCTTCTTTTTAAAATACAAAGCAGTCTTGTTTATAAATAAGTAAATTTGAAAACGCCTTACCATCCACGTCCGGATAAGTCGTGAAGTATCGCGCGCCAGATTCTGCCCGACGTTTCTCCCTCGCGAACGTCCTCAGTCTGCGCGCGCAGGGGTCCTCGTCCAGTAACCAGTAAGTCCGCTGGTCGCCCTTGCCCTTGAGGTTGATCAGGCCTCTCTCCACCAGATAGTAACCACCCATGGCTACGAGAAGGTCGCGGCACGGTTTGCTGCAGTGCACTTTGAGCGCTACGCAAAACGATGACGTCATAGCGTTACCGGAGGACCCGAAACGCATCCGGACCAAATACTTCATATTAACATTACTAAATTTACTATTTACTATTTACGAATCTTCTGGGGGTTGGGGCGTCGGGAAGTAATTTAAAAAAATTAAAAACTGCCTTTGCAAGGGTCTGTGAAAAAGATCATTCTCGGCTGCATAAACTTTTATCCTTGACAATTTTTCAAAAATGTACTGGGTGCGCCGCAAATTAAAAAAAAACTGAAAAATGGGTCCCAATATTATTAAAAATTGTCGATAGCCAAAGGACTGTGTTTCAGATATCAGTTTCTTTTACATGGTAATAAAGCTAACGATTTTGTATTTAATGGTTTCACCTATTGTACAGGGTGTTCGCGATATTCTGTGCAACAAATGCCTTATTTTTATCTGTCAAAAACTTCAAAGGTTCAAGTGTGGATTATCATGAAAACATGACAGCGGAAATATTTGAGGACTAGTCTGAAAATAAACTGGTGTCAAAACTATCTCCAAATACTGTTATTGGGCTGGATAATGCCTCGTATTATTCAGCCCAAATTAAAAAAATTCCAAATACTTCTTAAAATAAAGAAATAAAAAAGAATTTCTTTACGAAAATGATTTATATTTTGAAGAGAGCAGCGTGAAAAAACGGCTTCTGGAATTATTAAAAATAAAACATTTTAATAAAGATTACAAAATCGATTTGATAACACAACAAAACGTGGATTGTGGATTGAAAACATACTTGTATCCCGCTTGTTAGTGTAGGTAGATAAATTTCTAGGACGCTCCTGTAATGGTTACGGGTAAGGGGCTGCGGTTTTGAAGTAACAAACAGTAGGCAAACTTAATCACGGGGTCGGTTGTAAAAGTACTATATTTTTGGTCTAAGTATACCGTGCGCCGGAATACCTGAGGCTGTGAAAAGTCATAGAAAAACTCTCAACGTTACGTATGCACCATGTAGTGAATTGCGTCAATTGACCAGCCCGAACACTATCTGTAAGTGATTTCTGCAACATCCTCTATATATGAAAATATATCTTGGAGATATTTTTGAACAACTTTTGTATTTGACTGGGACGGTTGTAAAAGCACTATATTACTGGTTCAAGTATAACTAAGAGGTAATCTTATTTTCACCAATGTTTTTAATAATTCTTGCAATTTCACTGGCCATGTATTGTCCCGTGTGCCGGAATAGTTCATTACGTCAATTGACCACAGGCAATTGACCAGCCCCAACAGTATCTGCAGTCGATTTCTGCAACACCCTCTATATAAAAAAATATTTCATGCAAATAATTTAATTTAATTAACAAAGTATGATTATCATTAAAAGTAGATTAATTACAGCCATTTAAAAATTACTAAATTTTGAACTTTTCAGAAATAGCTACATAATTTCTCAAAATTTTTATCCTGCTTTATTTCTATGGGTTTCAAATTTTAAAATACGGTACAGTTGCCAAATTATCAATGTCAAATATCAATATATTAAGAAATTATTGTGTATTGTCATTCTTTAAAGCTCTGAGTAATTTACATTATTATCGCTGAAAAGAAAATTTATTTGGATGGGTTTTTCATACAGAAAATCAAGTAAACGAAAATTACCGAGTATAAGAAAAGTTTGAGAATTATTTTTCTACAAGCATACAGATTCTAACCTCACAATTCGACAGAGTCTTGATGAAGTAATTTATAATGTTATATTGCCTACTGGTATTCTCGTATAATGCTATTACTAAAATCATGAAAGTTTATCGAACTTTTGAAAAAAAAAAAAAAACTCAGAAACAAAACATTAAGCAGCATACATTTAAAAGTCGCCTTGAGAATTTGTTTGATATATCTAATCATAACTCAGCACATTCTTTAACAGAAGCTCAGTCTAAATATTTAAATGAAGAATGGAAAACGTCAAATCGACATAGTATTTTTTGAACTTCTGCCAACTTAGAAGCTTCGACAGAGACTCTAATGGATTCAGATTTAGGTGGAGAACCAAACAACGATTACACAGGTACTTATAAAATCATTGATTCTACAAATAAGTATTAGTAGTATTCTACAAATTCTAATTTATAAATTTAACAATATGAATTGGTTTTTTGTAAAAAATTATGTTAATTAAATGGGAAACTAAAATAAAAATAGCGACGCCTTAGAGTTGAGCTGCAGGGCTCATCTTTAGTGAGGATTTTTTTTATATCAAAAAGAAACATTTGAGAGGGTAAGGGCTAAAAAAAAATAAAAAATTTTTTGAAGCACCCTACTCTGTATAAAAATATATCTTGCAAATATTTTTGAACAACTTTTGCATTTGGCTTATAGACAGAGTGAAAGCTCCGGAGAAGCTACTGGGGTGATCAAAAAAACGTCGGCAAGTTTGATTTATAAACAATAGACGCAGAGGGTTCGAAAATAGTATTGGCAGGTTCTGTGAAAAATTACGTCCAAATTTTCACCTTTTTCACCTGGTCCACCCTGTATACTTACGAAGTCCGGTGGATTCCATTCTGCTGGCAGTGTTCACGGTGTCGCCGAACAGGCAGTACCGGGGCATCTTTAATCCGACCACACCCGCGCATACTGGACCTTAAACAGTGTCCAAAATAGGGTACTTTCTTACACAAGCGATATAACCTTCAAAATGGCGTTTTCTTCTTTTTTTTTCGCGATAAAAATAACGAAAAACGTTCAACTTTTAAGTTTTACAAAATATAATGGACTTCCTGTGCTAAAACAGGTTGAAAATTCACTCAACCGTATTTTTAACCGTCCATTTAATAACACCCTGAATATTAGACTAAAAAACTGGATTTTATTGGCCCACCTGAGTGTATCCCGATCCTTAATTTCAGCCTGTCGTCCGGTCTGTGTTTGATGGTGAAATTCCGCACCGTAGACAGAAGACGTAGCGACATGGTCGCTATCTCCGAAGCGTGTTGGATATCGTTTCTCAGTGGTAATCCGCTTACCTTGCCAGAAACACGTTCATTTGTTTCGTAGACAAACGAGCATCGATGTTTATCGGCAGGCAGCCAACATGACGGAAAGGCTGAACTGCCAGTGGCGGCGGATATTTCTAAAGCAAACTAAATAGATCTCTCGCTTATAGACATATTTTTTTTTTACTGTAACAGAAATTTACACACTTTTATTAGTTTATGAAAGTGTGCCCACAAAAGTTTCCAGTAAAAATATTTTCTTGCACTCCCGTACGAGGGAAAAAATATTTACAACTTTTTTGTTACACCCCGTAGCAACTCCCGTACGGGAGTGCAAGAGGATATTCTTAGTGGAAATGAAAGCTAACACTTGGCAACACATTTTCATCAAAAAATGAAAGTGTAAAAATGTCTACTATTTTCTCTGGAAATGAAAGCGAAAGACATATTTAATTTGAATCAGTTTTCTAAACTGTTTTAGAAATCTCCGCCGTCACTGGTTCGGCCCTTTTCGTACTTTCGGTTGGCAATTTTTAGCTGCTAAGTTATAACAATATAATGAGGTAAAAATATTTTTGTTATACCGAGTCCTCAAAATTTGCAACTTCAATTTTTTTCATTCATACAAAAAAAACTCGTAAACGTAGTTTCAAACATACATATTTTTTCAAATGCCTGAAACATTTCAAATAAAAGTAAAGGAATGTTACTTCCTTCTTCAACTCAAGCAGACACCACCAAGAATTTTTTTTTTAAATTTATTATACAGGGTGTTAAAAAAGTACGCTGCCAAACTTTAACAACGTGATTTTAAGAGGAAAAATTGATATAAACATAGGTCCAAAAATGCTTATTTTTCAAGATACAGGGTGTTAAAATTTTCAAAAAAAAATGTTTTTCCTCTACATCACTTTCGATATTTTTATCAAATTTGGTGTACATCTTTTGATTATTGAGAGGCTGTTTTCGACACAAAAGCTTTATTTTTATTTTTACCACTGGCGTCCGTACGGGGTTTGAACTGAATATTTTTAAAGAAGAAAATGGCGCGTCACTGCTTTTTCTGAAAACAAAAATTATTTTTAAAATCAAATAAATAAATAAACTCCGCCAATGCCGGTCCTAAGCCCGGATGAAAAAGGAGGAAGGTTGTCGGGCCAGGCCAGCTCCCTACCCGACGTAAAAAGACATTATGGCTCACAGAACCGATACTCTGCCTCGGAATAGGACTGACTCACGGATAACGACACACGCAAGAAAACGGATAACGGCATGGAATAAAAAATATATTGTGCGATTTGCCACCTGGAACATAAAATCATTTAACAACAAAGATCAAGAAACCCTGAAGGAACTAAAAGATAATAACATCGACATATGTGCCCTACAAGAGACCAAAAAGAAAGGTAAAGGCCAAATGCATTTTAATGATTACCTAGTGATTTACAGTGGAGTGGAAAAGGAAACAAGGGCAAAAGAAGGAGTAGCAATTGCAGTATCTAAGAAGTTCCAAAACAATATACAAGAATGCAATTACGTATCTTCACGAATCCTGGTTGTAAAAATGAAAGCAGAGGACCAAAGATTGAACATTGTGTCAGTGTACTCACCTGAAGATAACAAACCAAAGCAAGAAAGAGAATCCTTTTATGACCAACTCCAAAATACAATTCAGTCACTGCCCAATGACCAACAAATAATAATTCTTGGTGATTTTAACGCCCGTATCGGAAATGAAACAATACCTGGAATCAAGCAGAGATTTAACGAAAACGTGTTAAATGATAACGGAGAACTTATGATCCATCTATGCACGCTTAATGAGCTGCGAATCAACAACACATTTTTTGACCACAAAGATCAATATAAATTCACATTCAGCAACACTAGAGGCCACAGGTCTACAATTGACTATATTGTTACCAACAGACACATCCACCCACTCCAGATACTCGACGTAAAGACACTGAACTCTGCCGACGTGGGAAGCGACCACAGCTTGCTACTCACAAAAATCAAAATAAAATTTAAACATCGAAAGAGTCCAGAACACGTAACACAGGAATCTAAAATAAACATCGATTCACTATGGGACCCATCGATAAGGCAACTATATGAAAGGAGACTGAAAGAAAAAATCCAACTAAACAAAATAAAAGAAGAGGATAGTATAAATGCTTCCTGGGAAAAACTGAAGACCAACATTAAAGAAGCCGCATATGAAGCTCTAGGTACCCGAACAGTAAAAATGAATAATAATAACATCAGAACTCCATGGTTCCGCCCAGAAATTAAGGAAAAATGTAAAGAAAAAAAAATAGCGTACCTCACTTACAGGACTTTACGAACACCAGAATCCTACGAAATATATAGACGAATCCGAAACGAAACAACAGCATTAGTAAGACGAACAAAGGACCATCACTGGGAAATTTTTTCAAAGCGAATGGAGGAAGACTTCTATGGACTCCAAAAGCAAATTTGGCGATTTATTAGAACCCAAAGAAAGGAAGTGAACGAACTAGTCGAAACAGATCAGATAACAAAGGAAACCTGGGTTAACTACCTAACCGAATTGTATGAACCAGAGAAACCTGAGATTGAACTGAATACACCCGAAATAGTGACGAATCGCAACGCAGAAATTGAGGTAGCCGACGTAGCTGCAGCTCTTCAAAAACTAAAAAACAGGAAAAGTCCCGGTAAAGATGGTATCCCAAACGAGTTACTTAAATATGGTGGCCCGTGTCTTGCTAACATCCCTCACTCGGAAAATTCTCTACCAACATAGAATACCCGATGATTGGCGAACTAGCATCACTATCCTTATGTTCAAAAAGGGAGATAAGAAAGTACCCTCAAACTACAGAGGTATAAATCTCTTAAGCACTGCACTGAAACTTATAACAAAAATTATAGCAAACAAAATCAACAACTTAACACCCTTAGCCGACGAACAGCAAGGATTCAGATCGGGCAGATCATGTACAGATGCGGTTTTTGTCATAAGACAGATAACAGAAAAATCAATTGAATACAACAGACCGGCATACATGTGTTTTATTGATTTGGAAAAAGCGTTCGATCGAGTGCGATTAAGAGACGTTTTACACCTCCTTTACAACAGACAAACTCCACACAACCTCATCAAAACGATAGTAAAGCAAACCAGATCGAAGCAAAAATAAATGGGATCCTGACTGAACCAATAGCAGTGGGCCGAGGTATCCGACAGGGAGACTCCCTGAGTCCCCTTCTCTTCAACATTATCATGGACGAAGTAATAAGAAATGTACGATTACTGAGAGGATACAGAATGGGCGACCATGAAATCAATATTCTGTGCTACGCTGATGACGCCGTACTGGTGGCTGAAAGTGAAGACGATCTGCAACGACTATTACATCGATTTAACTGCACTGCCAAATCACTTAATATGATAATATCGGCCCAAAAAACTAAATGCATGACAACATCAAAAACACCATTAAGATGCAAATTAGAAGCTGAAGGCAAAATCATCCAGCAGGTAATGAAATTTAAATATTTGGGCATAGAAATCTCGGGTTATGGTGATGTGGAGGCAGAGGTCAGAGAGCAAACAACAAGGGCAACAAGAATAGCAGGATGCTTAAGCGACACAATTTGGCGAAATAAAAACATTAAAATCGAGACCAAATCGAGAATTTACAAGGCAATAGTAAGACCAACCAGACACAGCGAAAACTAAACAATTACTAGAGACAACCGAAATGAGGATACTTCGTAGAATAACTGGAAAAACGCTCTTGGACAGAGAGAGGAGCGAAAATATAAGACGAACATGCAGGGTGGAAAACGTTAATGCGTGGGTATTGCGTAGAAAGAAAGACTGGAACGAGCATATTAGTAGAATGGACAACAGAAGAATAGTCAGAATTGCACGCGACAAATCACCATTGGGTCGCAGGAGCTTAGGTCGCCCCCGAAAACGATGGAGTGACAACCTGGCAGTGGGATAGGCAGAGACGACGAAAATGAACAGGCAATTTGCCTGGACTAAAGTAGGAAGAAGAAGAAGAAATAAATGGAATTATGCAATGTTAATAATCTACTAAAGTTGGCACGTGTAATGCTATGTCATAATAATATTGTAATAATCTAGTGATTCTTTTTTCACGGTCATGCCTTTTTTATCCCCCGTACTCGTTTTGCGACGACGTTTAAGATTTTCAATTAGCTTTTTTTTAGCACTGCGTGTGTGGAATGACATATGGTAAAATTCGCGCAGCAAGACGGATGTATCAAGAAAGATATCCTAACCGTCGAATTTTCGGTAAATGTTTGCCTGGTAGACTTACTGGTGAGCAGTACAGAAAATTAATTGAACGCGTATTACCTGAACTTTTGCCCACGCCAGTATTTAGATGAAAATTATACTGATCGCTGGATTGGGCGTGCTGGACCTCATTTTTGGCCACCCAGGTCACCTGATTTAAATCCAATAGATTTCTTCCTCTGGGGACACTTAAAAACACCAGTCCAAAGTGAGGAAGATCTAAGAAATCGGATAGAAGACTCTTGTACAGTTATTAGGAAAACCCCTGGTATATTAGAAAGGGTTCGCCAGTCCCTAAGAAGGCGTAGAAACGCATGTATCGAAGTCGGGGGAGGTCATTTCCAGCAGTTGTAGTTTATTTTTTTCTGGTAGAGTATTGTTTGTAAGGAAAGTTATCTTTTTTTAGAGTTATTTAATAATAAACGTCTTCCTGTTAGTAGTTTTTTTTTGTATTTATTATTTTTTTCAGGCGAAGACCGGGCGTCGTACGCAAACAAGTTGATGCACCAAATTTGCTCCAAATCGAATGGGGATTTTAAAAGTAATTTTTGTTTTCAGAACATGCAGCGACGTGCCATTTTTTTCTCTAAAAATGTTCAGTTCAAACCCCGTACGGACGTCACTGGTAAAAATAAAAACAAAGCTTTTGCGTCAAAAACCACCTCTCAATAATTAAAAGATGTCCACCAAATTTGATAAAAATATCAAAAGT